GCCGAGCGAATAGATGTCTTCGTAGCGTTCTTGAAGTAGGCGATGATCCCGAGCGGAAGGAGGATCGCGACGATCACGGCGAGGTTCACGTCGAGCTGGAGGTGCACCGGAGGAAGGATAGTGGGATGGATCATCATGGGTGGAGGAGTGGAGTGCACCCGGCTGTCAGAGTGTGGTGCCCGTCGGTCAGAGGCGGAAGGAAGAGGATGTCGTCGAGACGATGGCCGTGGTGAAGAATAGTGTAGTCGGCGTCGTGGGGGAGAATCAGCGTCAGGATCTCGATGTCGATGTTGTCTGATCGAAGGGCCACGGTTGCGGTGGCGGTGATGTTCCGGCGTGTTGGACACCGGAGTGCGGCTGCGATGTCGTCGGGACCGAGGAGGAGACGTCCGGCTGTATGCGCGATTGTCCCGGAAGGACCCCGACCTGGGAGGTTGCGTCGTCATGTTCCGCTGGGACGAATAGGGATCATGTCGAGAACGTTCATCACGTCCATGTAGACGATGGTGTCGGGAAGGTGGAGTGCGAGAACGGTGTGGAGGCATCAGGAGGAGGAAGAATGGGAGGAGGCGTGAGGAAGCAGGCGAAAGGAGCCAAAATAAAAACGGCTGCGGGAAGTGAGCTCGGTTAGGAACTGCTGCAGTAGCAAATAGTCCTCTTTGTCCAGGTCCTGGGCGCGCATCATGAGAAACGTCCGAGCCGGATCAGAGGTAACTCCTGGTAGTTGGAGGGAATGAAGACCCAATGCTGAAGTCCACGGTGTAACGCCATGCCACGGACTTGTTGTGGACAAAACGGATGGAAAATGGACAGGCGCGGTCGAGAAGAATGTGACCGTGGAAGATCGGGGGTGCGTTCCACGTAGAAGGCATATTGAAGTCCACGATCACGAAGAAGGGCTCGTACTGCGTAATATGTTCGCGAGCAGGTCACCATCAAAGAAGCAACGGCACGGGGATGAAATGTAATCTCGGCGAGGGCATAGTGAAGGTGATAGTCGCGTTCCGTCCGGAACGCAATGGCCTGGCCATGTAGTTCAGCAATAGGAAAGAGGCACCTTAAAGTGGAGTCCGGAGCAGGTGTACGGGCAGAGGCAGTGTCCATGATCGAGTCCGGAGGGACGAGAGCTGTACGTAGACGAAGTTCCAAGAATGGTAAGAACACCCGGAAGAGAATGAAAGGATCAGTTAATACGTCCAAGTACTCCAGAACAGTTGCCGAAGTGGATGACGACAATGTCGAGCAGGAAGAGGAGGCAGAGGATGAAAAGGGAGCAGAGCGTCGGAAAGACATGTGTGGTGTCAGGGAAGCGCAAGACTGTGGAATGATGTAGGAAATGGCTGCGGAACATCCAAGAAACAAGGAGGCGCAGAGTCCGCGGGGGGCGCATGTTTTGTTCAGGCCCGAGCGACGGAGTAGAGAGTCAAGGGTGGCCGCTGCTGGTCGCCGCTCACATCCCGTCGGTGTCGATCGCGGTCTCGATCGCGATGGGGAACATCACGCGCACCTCGAGAGCGGTCAGGATCCTCACGATCGTCACGGTCTCGGTCAGCACGATCGCGGCGGCGACGCCGACTGCGGGATCGGCCAGTTGTCGCCGTTGTGGTCCGCGGAGGTGGAACTTGTGGTCGGGCTTTGACAGGCACGTAAATGACAGTGCCGTCAGCATCGACCTTAGGTGCAAGAGGGCGTCCAGAGTGCTTGGAGACGGCGGGGGGTGGAGCTGTGTGGCCGATCGGGTTGGCATCAGAATATCCCGAGGTAGATGGCATCGGAGGAGAAGAAGGGCCGGCTGGTAGTGGGTCAGCAGGAGGTGACGATACTGAGCGACGTCGCCGGCGATGACGATCCCGATCGCGGTCTGCAGGGCGAGAACGGTCTTCATCTCGGGGATAGTCGCGGTCCCGTCTGCGAAGTCGTGGTAGGGTCTGGCGCTGGGAGGGATCCAAATGAGAAGGATCCAAATGAGAAGGAATCGGTGGTGGTCCCATGGGGGTCGCAGGCACCACAGCTGCTCTACCACTGCTGTCTGGAAGTACTGGAGGTCCAGAAGAGGAATAAGGGCCTGGGTCACTGGAGGTGAGCAGCGCCGTGGCAGGTGGGGGAGCATCCGGAGGTGGTGGAGTAGTTGTCGTAGCCACCGGTGTCATAGGAGTCAACGTCGATCGATTCTGATGGGCTCGTAGTAATACATCACGTACTTGGAGCAGTTGGTGGTCGGACAACGACTCGAAAAACACCAAGAACAACTGCAAATATTCAGGAGTGAAGGCGGAGGAGGCCATGATGTGCTAGCAAGGTCACACTTAGTTCAGCAAAACGGCTGCGGGATGAAGAAGAATAAGGCGGGAACAACAAAGAGACCAGCCATGCCATAACGCAAATCACGCACACCTTTTGTGGGTCCTCTCACATGAACACGGCGATGCCTTCTGGTTGTGCGAGCGTGGAGTGCACACCCCAACGGTTGTCGTTGCCGTGCAGGATGGAGACGAAGTAGTTCGCCGCGTTTTCGGGGACGGTGCCTCCGCTGTCGCTCTCCAGGTGATAGGCCGCGGGAGTGTTGGGAAGCACTGAAGACGGTGTGTCGGTAGGCGCGGCATTGGCTATGTCGAGATAGCAAGTAGGGATTCGGCCATATACACAAATCGGACGGGGAGAACCCCATCCCCCAAACTTGGCTGCAGCCCGTAAGGCTCCGCTGAGACTGTGGACGGAAGCGCGAGAGTAAAAGGCAGGACTCGGCAGCCAAGAAGTGTCAACGGGGTCATAGTTGCTGGGGCGAATGCATCCTTCTTTCAGGATGCCAAAGGCGGCCTGAAGGTCCGTGTTATGGCCAAAATAGGCGACTGCAGGTGCCCCGCTAACCCGTACAGCTGCTGCGGGGAAGGGGAGCGACACCATGAGCATGGGTCGGCCAGCTTTGTCTGGTTGATGTTGGGGAGCCTCGACATGTGTGAACTTGAACTGAACACTGTGAGGATGGTATCCCGCATGTACCAGCAGATGCATCACTGTAAGAATCGGATCGGCTAAAGTAAAAGGCACGTCAAATTTGCGTCCCTCCAAGAGCAACTCCTGTTGACATTGTCGACGATGAGGGAGCGCTTTGAAGTAGGACCTGTATTGCAGCAATGCAGTATATACTCGATCCCAGTGTACCGCCTTGAGGGAGCCCAGTCGGGTGGAGTAATCGGATTGCAGGTAGGCATCAAGCTGGCCTGCCGCGGCCAAACACTGGCGTAAGGTGGCCAGCGTGCAAGCAGAGCTGAAAGGAGCTGGTGAAGTCGAAGATGCTGTAGGTGGCGAAGTCGAAGATGCCGTAGGGGTAGAAGACGGGTCCGGCGGCGAGGTAGAGGCATAAGCAGCAGGCACGGACTGGTCGTTGTTGGAGGAAGACGGCGGTGAGCCAGCGGGAGGTAAACCAGGCCAAAACGGGCTCGGAGGAAGAGGAGAAAGATCAGGGAGAGTGCTTGGAGCTGCCATATCAATAGGTCGTGGAGGCTGTAACGGGGCAGCGATTCGGCCAGTCAACGTGGAACGTTGAGGTGCGGCAGTCCGGGTCGTAGGTGCCGCCGGCGTTGACGAGGAAGAAGAAGTAGAGGACGATGAAGACGCAGACCTCGGGCGTCGCCGAGATCGTGATCGAGAGGGTGCGGTCGGCCAGAGTCCAGGTGCACAGGATGGACGGGGACGAGGAGGCATGGCGAATGCAGACAAGCAATGCACAGCCTACAACAACAACTACTACAGGGAAAAGTCGCTAGAACGTTACGGTCAAAACGCATCCTGCCTGAGTCCTTGGGTATGAGTGCTTGAAGCCGCTTGAGCTGCAATCGCGTGTTGGTAGGCATGGAGCCGAATTTGTGGGTGCCATGAGAGGCGGGTAGGCCGTGTGGCTTCACTGTTCTCTCCATTGAACTGGTCTAAGCGCTGACACTGAATTTGGCGCCTCCGAACTTGGAGGATCTGAGTGCAGCACCGAGGCGTACACCACCGTCCCGGAGGACTACACACTGAATGCTAAGGAAGGTTTCGGTATGCGACGGACCACCTGATGTCCAGGTCAGAGACTTCGGACAGGTAGCTTCATGGACAGCAACTGCAAAGAGGAAGTGCAGAAAGTCTGTGGCTGACACCTCAAACTGCCTAACTAAACCACAACGCCAGCCTGAACCCCAACGCACCGGAGGACACGGCAAGGACTGAAGAGGTGGACACTGGCACTGAGCAATGCTTGCAAGTGTACGTACTAAACGGGGTTCTCGGCTTAGCCCCAGGCCATCCAGAAACCAGCGCATACCAGACGACATGAACTCAAGCACTGACTGTTTCTGAAGTGATACCATAGCTGCAGGAGAACGACTGGTCGGGGTTCTCGGCTTAGCCCCATGCCATATCCAGAGAAGCGCAACCAGAATAATAATAGCCAAGTGAAACCAATGTACAGCAAAGATGATATACGATGTCACAAACGGCAGGTACACACGGTTGATCAGACCGTGCTTCACCAGGGTATCCAGAGTGTCTTCGTTGGTGGCAGACTCTGGACCCTGCTGCCGCCCCCTGCTGTGTAATCTGCACTCAAGTTCAGTTATATGTACATCGTAAATAGGAAATGGCTGCAGAGCGTGAGGAGAAGGCCCTTGGATACAGGGTTGTCACACACACACACACACACACACACACACACACACACACACACACACACACACACACACACACACACACACACACACACACACACACACACACACACACACACACACACACACACACACACACACACCCCTGTAAACTCCCCAAGCCCTACACCGGAAAGCCCTAAACCATCGGAAACCCTAAGCCCGAAGCTCAAAATCCCGACACCGCAGACCCCTGAACTCTAAAGCCGCGAGAAGCCCTTGAACCCGAAGCTCAAATCCCCAAATTACAAAAACAAATTCAAAGAGCCCCGAGAAGCCCCCCCCGAAAAGCCCAGAATCCCTTGGCTCCGAAAGGCGGCCTACGGACAGCACCTCGAGGACCGGGCCGGGGCGGAGCTCTGCTTTCCTCCTTTGTTTTGGTCAGGGAGGATGATTTTGGAATCGGGTTTTGGCATCTGGCGGGGTGGCTCAAGTGCTATGTGTGTGTTGTCTTCGCGCGGTGTGTCTTGTGCGGTTTCTTTGGGTGGCGTTTCGTACTTGTAGGACTGTTGAAAGCGCTTGAAAGGGAAGCTTGGCACGGGTTGGTCGTTTGCCGTAAGGGCCTGCAAGTCAAGGCTTCAGGCCATGGTTCGATAACCTTCGTGCGGTGTACGGGCTTCCACGTTACCTGCATATGAGCAACCTGCACGAGGTTGTCAAGTACTTGATCTCGCGCCGAGCGGATCTAACGATCGGCACCCGCGACGAGAATGCGACCGCCTACGATTATGCCGCTCGCATGCGAGGTCTGGGAAACCGCGAGTTTTGGACAAGTTGGGTTCTGAGCAGGCATTGCGCATCAGGGAATCAAAACTCCCTAAACCCCCAAATCCGACCACTTTGAGCAGTTTTCTTTGAGGACGACCCTCCTCACAGGGCTTTAGGGTTTCGGTGCAGGCATAAGTGTCGCAGACTAAAAACCCTAAACCTGAAACCCTAAATCTTTATGACCTTACTTACTAAGTCCCATGATCCTCCAAGTAAGTGTTGCAGCTAAGGGTTTTGGGGGTTCGATGCTGCCGAGGCCAGAGACGGTGTTCTCGCCTTCTTGAGAGATCCTGGGCTGGAACGATGGGGTTTTGGGTTTAGGGTTTACTTACCTTTGGTTAGTAGAGAATGGAGGAATGGAGTACAAGCATAACTACTATTACTACCATTCTTACATTCCCTACTAACCCAAGGTAAGTGGAACGATGCGGGAGTTTCCGAAAATAGGGGACCCTAATCTAGTACCCTAAATAGCAGGATCCTGATTATAAGGACCCCAAAATAAGGTCCCCTAATTTTCGGAAACTCCCATACGCCTGGGAATCTGTGGGATGAAGTAGGGTTGCTCTTCTCAGATACCTGGCTGAGTAGATTTGTTTTGGTGGATTTTGGAGGGTTCCCTTTCCGATGGGCTGAAGAGTTCAATTATTGTTTCATTCGAGAAGGCATGTTCTCCAGAACATCACCTACGAAAGACTTAACTTGAATCTTGAGTCGGATGGTGAAGAAGATGCTGAACACTCCGGATGATCGCGATGGAGAGCGAATCAAGAGCAAATGCCTGATGGTGTCATTGGAAGGGCTGGCCCACCAAGCGGGGCCTCTTATGTGCAAGAGGGAAAAGGCCCTTAAGAAACAAGTCCAAAAATTCCCAAAGTTTACACCCTAAGCCTAAGCCCGTCAACCGAAACCAGCAGCCCTTGAGCCCACTAATGAAGGAGTATGTGCAGGTCATGGAAAAATGGAACACCAAAAACCTTGCTCTGCTCATCAAATCCCCTGTATTGCCACCTGGGGTCTCCCTTCAAAGCTCCTGCTTTGTGTACTCCAAATGAACATCGAGGATGCAGAAGCCCTGGCGCGCTGCCGGGCAGAAGGCGACGCCTGGCTGGCGGACAAGGCCTGCAAGGTTCAGGTTTCAGGATTGGGGTCCAGCCTGGCGGGGTCGTTCAGAGTAGGATTTGGGAGCTTATAGTCTCGGTTGAGGCAATTTTCGATATTTCAGGGCGAACTTGTTGACCTGGCGCTTGTTGTTCAGTGATCGTACTGGAACTGGCACCGGTATTCGCTCTAATGCCTACCACTCCTTTCTATGCTTGCAACAATGAATCTCGTTCCTCTTATCGCGGTTCTAGTGGTATTGCATTTAGCCTAAACCCGAACTTTTCCTGAATGTCACATACATCAGACGTCGCAATGGCACAGGGAAAAGCAGATAGCGGATTGCACAACAACACAAACACATCCAAGGCCCTCAGAACAGAGCTCAAACCCCCAAACCTCTGTAGCAACCCTTATGGGAACCCCTCATAAAGCCCCATAGAACCCTTAAAGCGGGACCCTATTATGGAACCCCGTAGTACTCGCACTTTGGCTCTGCTTCAGGAGGCTGAGCGGAAAGCCGAAGAGCGGAAGGCTCTGTGTTTTGCGGGTTGGAAGAGGGTGGATGGGGTTGAGAGTTCAGGGTCTAATTATGAACAGAACATTAAAGCATAACTAGAGCCAAAAATGCAACAGATCTACAGGACTTAGAGGAAAGGGTTTTGTCAGGATCAGGTTCTTGAGTAGGATTCTGGTTTGTGGGCGTTTTGGGTTCATCAGGGTGCAGGGGATGCAGCACTCGTGTCAGACTGTCGGCGTACACTGCGCACAGTGTTGTGGTTGTTTCTCTAGCGGTAAGAGTTAGCATAGCCGAGACCACAGAAACAAAGCCATAGATGCTCCTTTTACCAACATCATCATGTCGCTCCTATCAGCTCCACTTTGTATTCTCTTGAGAGGTTGCAAGGGCCTCGGCTTGAACCACAGGCTGCGAAGCCCTACATCGAAGAAGCCACGGAGGCCCGAGAAGGGGGGTGCGTGTGATCGCTGACGGCATGTGCTCATGTGCATACGTATTGAACGGCTCCCGTTGATCCAATCACTTCTGAAAGCAGTAAGGTAGCTACAGTGACAGGCGTATCTACTTCTAGCCCCAAGCAAATGACCCTGATGCACGTTGTAACGAGTGCTGCTGCTGACCATGATTAGGATGATGATAAGAAGCCCTGAGAAGAGTCGCATCAACGACAAGAGTATCGTTGTGGAAGATCCAGTTAGCCAGAAGCATGTTCCGAGTGCTGCTCGGCAGCTTCAACTCCGATCCCAGGAGCTGCGCGCAGAGTTGACTGCTGCTCACGCAAGCATCTTGGCCGCGCCCAAAACCGCAAACCCATAAGACTCGAAACCCTAAACCATGCCTTTTTCTCACGTGGTATTCAGAAGCCTAGGCTCCGGAGTGTGCAGGAGATGTTGTGGGGGGACGTGAGAGATGCACAGGGGTCCTGCTCCGTGTTGCAGATCTTGCAGCTTCAAGAGCTAGGAAGAGTTCTTTGCCCATAAAGGCTAACCGAACAGATAAGCTCGAAACCCTAAAGGCCCTAAACCTCAGGATTTGACATCCCACACCACAAACACGAACCCCCTAAAACAACCGATACGGATGTTTCAACCCCAAAGGCCTGAAACCCTAAACCCTAAACAACTCTGAACTCTACCCCCTAAGCCCTAAACTTCCCTAAGCCCTTAGCCCCACAACCCCGAACCCTGAACCCTACGTGGGAAACTCTGACCCCAGCCCAGGAATCCGGCAGCTCGAAGAGGAGCTGGCGCGGAAGGATGCTCCCACAAAGACCTGACGCGAGAAAAGCGAGATGACGAGTCGGGTTACGCTGGTTTCTGGTTTAGGGTGGTTTAGGGTTTAGCGTTCAGGCTTGGGGTTTCATGTTGGGTCATTGGTACAGCTACCCCAAGATGCAAGAGAGAAATGAACTGCTACATCGGCTTACCCCATAGGAGCTTCGAGTCGTGCGGCTACACGGAATCTGAACGAGGGTTGTGCAACGGATGCTTCTTGCGGGTTGCACGGTCGAGTGAGAAACCCGTAACCAGTAACTGTTTTTCTTACCTTTGGTTAGTAGGGAATGGAGTAATGGGGTACAACTATAACTACTATTTCGACCATTCTTCCATTCCCTACTAACCGAAGGTAAGTTTTGGGGTAGAAAAAGAAGTTCGAGAATGTATGCGACGGTTAGACTGGAGTTCCGGTCGGAAGCTGGACGAGCAGGACCAGCACATGGCCCCCATCTTTCTTATGGTTTAGCTGCGCTCAGCTTCGACTCTGGGAATCCCATAAAGCCTCCCAGACCCCGGGAGGATCTAGAAAGTAGATCACCTAATTTGGGGCCCTAGACTACTAAGGGTACTTTATGGGAACCCACTTTAAGGGATCTTCTTTTTGGATCCTCCCGGGGGTCTGGGCTGAACCGCAAAGCCCGTACAGGAACTAGGCAGACTTTGCCCGGTGTCCGAGGCCACCGCATTGCCAAGCAGGCGGTGATGTACGCCCTGAAGATGAGGCCCTTTGAGGTTACGGTTTCCAGGTTTTCTGGCTGTAGAGACTGCTACTCCCTACTATATTTACACTTTGTATGCAAATCATGTTCTAATTATTAAGGCCGCTACATGTGGGGGTTCCGGGTTTACGGTTGACGCTTTGGGTTCCTAGTAGTACGCACCCCGTGGGAGTTTCGGAACATCTGGAGCTGCCAAAATGGACCCCCAAACCCTAGCATCTAATAAACCCCAAACCCCAACATAGACCCCAAATCCTAAACCTCAGCCTTAAACCCGGTTCTCGTTCCTATAAGTCCTAAGCTCTCAGCGCTAAACTTCAGCATGGGTCCGTAAAAAGAAGAATCAGGTCATTTCTTGCCTGCTCGAACTTCGGCTTCGACACCAAATAAGTTTTGGGGTTTCAAGATTTTAGGCATCTATTCAGGGTTTAGGGTTTAAGCATGGTCTTTTGGCCCCTGGTCAGAGGCGAGTTTTGGGGCTCGAAGGTATTTCAGATCTGTCGCTCCAGTTCTCGAGAGCAGGGAAGTCTGGTTCTCTTTACAAGACAGACTGGTGCCGGCAGTGGAAGAGCCCCACAGAAATCTCCAAGCACCGAAACGCCGAAACAGAAAGACGATGAAGATGTCAGATACCGCTCCCGCCGCGTCTTCAAGCGCACTCGCCGCGAGCTGTGGATCAAGCGTGCCGGAAGCCAAGGGTTCAGTGAGAGGCCTTTTGTCCCTTGCCACTGCCCTTTGGGGATTTCAGGGCCTTTGGGGCGTTTGCTTTTCGCAAGTTCGTGTGCCTCAAGCTTTTGATCACCTGGTGACCCGAGGTCAGCAACAACTCCAAGCTGCACGGAGTCCGGTCCGAAGCCCAGCCCAAGCCGAATCATCGCGTTACAACTCCAGGCGCTTGCGAGAGAATCGAAGTGACCTTCAGGTACAACGTGTTCATCTGCCGGCTCAAGGAGCAGTGATGGGAAGGGCCCATGCCACAAAGGGATCTCAAGGTCCAGACTCCACAGCCCATCAGGCCTGCGATCCAGGCCGTATCTTTTGGTTCTTCGATCCGTTCAAAGCTCTCCAGGATCTGAGCGGAGTGGTAGACTTGTGTCCCGTGAGGAGAAGAACATCAATATCAATCGCAAGATTTTGTCCCAGCTGGGCGTCTATGACCGGGCGGTCTTTACGAACGTTCTTGAGGTGCGCTCCTTTCGAGTCATAATTCTTCCCACACCAAGCCCCTCAACATGCCCGCAAGAAGCCTTACCCAAGCCCTGCGAACAGACCGCCATCCCCGAGTGGAAGCAGCTGAAGGCCCCTGCTGTGGCTTCAGAAGTAAGGTTGTTGCGCTGCCCGTCTTTGTCGGAAGCACAGGAAGAGGCGGACAACAGAGGTAAGAAGCCGGAATCTCAGAACTTTCTGCCCTGCAGCGCCTGAAGAATCGGAGCCCATTCAAGGATTGGGGTTACAGGTGATCCCACCACTGGCCATCTCCCAGGAAGGAGTACACCGTCAAGGAGTTGGACGACATCGCCGTTCCGTGACCTCGGCCTCTGGTTGCACGTGCGATTCCACAAGACTCAGCTCATAGGACCCACTACACGGAAGACAGTTAGTCAAGTACTATGAGATGCGATGCGACGGATTCCACGGCCGTCGTTGTGCAATTCCAAATCCCGAACGAATCCGCTTCGCGCCGCTTGCAGCTGCGTGCAGTGCACAACTTGCAGCATTTGCAGCTGCTCACGGTCGTGGAGTAGAATCAGCTATTCATGCACACTGTAGCGTCAGTGGGATTCCACGCGCCACTCCGCTTGTCCAAACCGTACCAAGCAAAAGACAGCCACCTCCAGCACCCGGCACATCTAGGATGAGCATGCTCGAGCCCGAGACCTACTTCCCAGCCACCCACCAGCTGAAAGCTTTTCAATCTCCTGACTCGAAACCCACCCGAGGCCCTTGGTTCTCAATTCTTTTGCCAGCCCCCAAACAAGCACAGAATGAAGCCCGCCCTCCGGGGCCCCACGGCGCGAAGAACTATAAGCTTCATGTTCATCACGGCTTCAGGGTTCAAAGCTTGGGGGTTTGAGCAAAAGAAAACCGCTGACAAAGCTCTTGATTCCGGAGGGAGTCCTGATGACAACATAGCACCAAAACCCTCAGAACACCTTTACAAAAAGGCTTGAAAGCATCCCGAGAAGGGCAGAGACTTCCATGCTCCGCCCGGCTCCGCCATGGTCCGCTTTCTGGGTGCCGCCGCGGCTGGGCGCCCGGCAGGTGATTTGGGCCCGGTCCCCGAACCTTCGGCACCCAGGCGCCCGGGGCCGAAGACGGAGAGAGAGAGAGAGGTTTAGGGTTTGGGGTTTAGGGAGAGTGGGGAAAAAGAAGCAGCGAATCAGACTGGTGAGGGAAGATAAGATTAGGAAGGCAAGCTAAGCTAGTATACCATGTTATCGGCGGAAATGCATTGATGTCAACAGTTATAACTCAGTATGAAGCAAATGACCAAGGCAAGTAATACAGTACGTGTTTGTATGTATTTATATATATATATATATATATATATATATATACGTTGATATAAACTTACATATACTACATATATATATATATATATATAAACTTACATATACATATATGCATACATACATATATCCTCTGAAGCGTTCCGGGGCCTCCCTCGCCCTTTTTTTCGGTGCTCCGTCGCGAGGCCGGAGCCGGCTCCTGATGCGGGCAGCGCCGGGGTCGCGGCCTCGGAGGGAAGTGAAAAGGGGCTTTTGGGTTTAGGGATTTAGGGTTTAGGATTTAGGGGTTTGGGGTTTAGGGCTTTTTGGTTTTGGGCTTTTGGGTTTAGGGTTTGGGGGTTTAGGGTTTAGGGTTTCGGGTTTTGGGTTTAGGGGTTTAGGGATTAGGGCCTACTTTCCTTTGGTTATAGTGGGGAATGGAGGAATGGGGTACAATCATAACTGCTATTACTACCCTTCTTCCATTCCCTTCTCACCAAAGCTAAGTGAAAAGGGCTTTTGGGGGGATCAGGGTTCAAGGTTTAGGGTGGAAACCGGCTTCTGGGGGGCTGAGGGTTTCTGTAGGGCCTAGGGGGGTAGGGGTTGCAGTAAGTACTACACAGGAGCGAGGTTTGGGGTTCCGGGTCTAGCGGATGTTTCAGGATGTGTTTTGGCGGCTTCGGGGGCTTATCATGTCGTTTATTCCAGCCGGGTTTTCATTGGCGGTTTGGTTCTGGTTGTGCTTTGCTGTTAACCTGCAGGATTATGTTGTTGCGCGACCTGCCTACGCCTTATTCTGATTTTGAAGGGGCCCTTTTTGGAAGGTCCGGAGAGCAGCGGCAGCCCCGATCCGACGAGGAGGACTCAAAGAGCCCTCGGAGGGGTGGGGGTTTGGAAGGGTGTTGCAAGGTTTGTTGACGGCTGAAGGTTTTTTGTGAGTGTTCGAGGAGGGTGTTGAATAGGAGTGTTGTGGAGAGGTTTTAGTGATGTGTTGGGCGGGTTTGAAACCCGTCTAACAAAACCTACAAGCCCGTTTATCATAAGATCCAAGAAGCCCTAAATGGGTACAACCCTGATAGTGAATCCTTCTAGTGCCCTTGTAGAACCCTGAAGAATCCTTTATGATGCGTGTTTACCGGAGGCTTCAAAAAGCTCCGATAGTTCATCCTTCCCCGCCAGCTGCGAAGGAGCTGGGCCGTTTGAAGAGCAACGCTGGCGCGGCATGGCACCGTGACCAACTGATGTCTGCAGAAGTTTGGAATTAGGCGTTAAGGGTTCAGGGTCCGTCGAGGGTCGAGGGTTAACATTTGCAGTTAGAGCTAGAGTCATCTCTTTTCTTGATGCATGCTTTCTTTGAGATTCGTTTTTGGTTTCCAGCTGGCATTTTTGTTGGTTGTTGTTATCTTTGTTGTCGTCATCGTCGATGTTATGGTTTTGCTCAGTACCACCACGATTCCCTACGATGCTTTCCTTGCTGTTATCTCTGGGTGCGGTGCGTTCTTCTGAGTGTGCTTCTCGGGCTTGTGACCTGTAGTGCATTATCTCAGCCGTCGTCGTCATCATCTTCTGCTTCGTAGCCACTATGCCTTGGGTACTGCCCCCCATACAGTAAGAGTCTACAGCAGGGCTACTATTAAGGTCCTAGTATATCTATACTACGAATGATATTCAACTATTACTGAATGGGGGCCGTACCTAAACTATGCCGCAGAAGACATTGAAGACCAGCTCCCGTGGAGATTGCCAGCCGAGGCTTGTGAACATCACGCTGGTCGTGTGGATCGTGTGGCTCTACCAGCGAAGGTGCCTTTGCTCAAACGGATACCTAGCCATGACGTTTATTCTGGTTTGGGGATGGGTTTCTTTGCAGTTCTAAGCTAGTGTTGCTTCGCAGAGCTGTGGGTAGAAGCATGTTTGAAGACATTGACTGGAAGGTATGGCACCTTGCCTCGAGAGTTAGACGAGGCCGGAAAGCAGGACAGTGGGTCGCACCGATTAACCCATGCAGGGCAGCTCAAAGCTTCTTGGGTCATATGGCGAGACCTCAAACCGTTGGCCTCAAGCACTCCCCCCTATCGCCCCCAGAGCCGCACGGCAGAGGAGATTTTTTCACTGCTCCGACAGCAGCTCGAGGACCTTCAGATAGCAAGGGCTGCTGTTGTTCAATGGTAGGCAACGAGAGGCTGATGAGGCCGAGCGCAGCGCCAGTGAGCGACCTGCTCGTGGCTGAACAAGCATTTGCAATAATTCTGGACCTAAGAACCCCCGACACCAGGCATGTGATGTGTCATGAGAAGAAGTGCAGCTTCCAGAACCCACCGTCAGGAAGAGAAGGGAACTCTGGCAGCAGACTTCCAGCTCAAGGAGGACATGAGGCGTGGCTGGGTGGCTAGCTTGGCGTAACATAATACTAGTGTAATCACAATAGTATATACAGAAATTTATAAGAATAGTATATACTAATAATGTTCTTGCCACATGGAACCGATGTTCGGATCTTAATCACAACGTTTCACAAACAGGAGGGCCAGCTTTCCCACGATTTCCTCGAACCCAACCCTCAGTGGGACCTTCAGTTTGTACCGAACTCCACCAACGTGCGCCACGCGCTCGCGCCAGGAAGGAGGCCCTTGAGATCGCAGACGTGTCCTCACGGCTGCAGGAGCACAGGGCTGGCCTTGTCAGATCTTCGGACCCAATCCTTCGGAGTTCAGGCCCAAAAACGGGTGGGGGTGAAGATTTTTTTGCAAATCCTTCAGGGCCAAGCCGGTCTGCCAAAGATGCCCGTTCCCCGAGGCAGATCGTGTAAACTTCGGATGAAAGCAATCGTCGCGCAAAGAGCTGTCAAACCCTGTGAATGCTGATTACTCTCCACACGTATCCCCATACTATAGGCCCTATACCAGTACCTTTATTTAAGGGGCTTGACGGGCACAGGCCCTAAACCCTAAACTCCAAACCCTCAACTCTGGCCTAACGCCAGAGCGAGTTCCGGAGGCAGGCGAGGGACAGTCGCTAAAACCTTAAACTTGCAACAGGAGCAGACGGAGAAAAGAAGGCATTCAAAAACAAAGTTCGAGGCTCTCCTAAGAAGCTTCTTTAGGGCGTTTAAATCAAAGGACGAAAAGCCCTTAAACCCTAAATCCTAAGCCCCAAACCCGAAAGGAACTAAAAGCCCTCTTCAGGAGCGCCTCTTCCTTACCGCAGAGCCCGGGGCTGCTGGGCCTCTGAAGAAGCCCCCGGGCAGCGTTTTTGAAGACGAAGGGGGCACCCGAAGTGAAGGGTCCCTTGCTAGGGTTTGGGGCTTAGGGTTTCGGGTTTCTATCGTAGTTTTACGAGGGTCTGTTATGAAGGGTCAGCCGAGGTCTGCCAGCAGATGATAGCAGATGTAGCGGGCCCTCATGTCAACAGATATGGGACTAAGTCAACAGAGCGGCACATCGACGTATAGCGAAATTTTTAGCCACATGACTTTATGGGTATGTGTATGCATATACACATTACACATTTGCATATACATACACAGTGTAATCAGTATGATCGATCGACAGATAGGTAAGGCAGCCAGGCAAGGTTGGGTCGGGTCGGGTACGATGTAGGGCAGGGCAGGGTAGGTGAGGGTAGAGAGGGCGTTGGACCGATGTTCCAAAAATTATGTGTTTTGGATATGTTGGGGCAGGTCCCAGTAGCCAGAATTCTCTGAGGCTGCAGCAAGTGTTGCGCGACACGCTCCAGCAGGCCCCACCGCACACAGAACCAGTGGCAGGGATGAGGAGGAGCTTTGTGTTGTACCAATGCCTGCATGGGAGGTTCAGAAGTTCCCGAAATATGCCAAATCAAAATTTTGTGCTGGAGAGATCCTACACGTCCTACTGCCTAGCTTCCGAGACGGTGCGCTTTTTCGGTCACCTCTGACCGTGATGTCAAGTCCAAGAGACAGCTCCAATCTTCGCAGCCTCGCTCTCGCTGGATACTACCAATGTTATGAATTATTGTCACTGCTGTTATTCTGACGATCATTATTGTTATTTGTTACCATTCGCGATTATTATTGTCGTTCTTATCATTAGGGTTGGGAGGGTCAGGGCCTGGCAACCTTGGAGAGCCCAACAAGTCACAAGAAGAAGTCCTGGACGACTTGACCCGAAATGCTAATCCCAAACCCTAAAATCTACTCCTGAACCCCTAAACCCTATCTTAGGATCCTAACCATAAAATTGGTTAACCAAAAGAAGGAACTACAATGGCGACTATAGGTGAATCCTAGTGGTTATCCGGGCGCGGGTGGCAACAGGTGATGCGCGAGAAGTCGTTGATCGACCTGAGGGATGCCCAGCTCGAGAGGCCTCGGGGAGGGGATCTGGGGGTTTCCGAAAATAGGGGGCCCTATTCTAGTACCCTATTTAGTAGGAACCTTCTTATAAGAACTCCTAAATAATGCACCCCTAATTTTCGGAAACTCCCATCTAGCGGGACAATGTAGCGCAGAAGCCCTCATAGCTAGAACAGAGCGTTGGGGCCTCGGGGTATGTTAAGTAGTTATGAACACAGGTATGTGGGGGATATTCTGACTAGTTGTATTGAAGGACGTCGTGTTTAGATTGTGCCCTAAACCCCGCCAAAACCCTGCGAGCCCCTGCACCAATAAACTCCACCCTGAGCCCTGTCAACTCTAGCTCCCAAATCTTAAATGTAGAATGAGCCCTAAACATTGTCATCATCATAATTAGTATTCGTATCAGCATCACTACTAGCATTATGAAGCCCATTTGTATTAGTATTAGTATCATCATCAAAGCCCTTAATTTCGGGACTGGACAGCCTGTAGAACCCCTATAGAACTTTAAAGAAAGCTTCTGAGCCCTTGTAGAACTCTCTTTCAACTCAAATGGAAGCCTTGTCAAGCGATCTACAACATGTACGGCGTGAGCCCGAAACCCCTGGAATGCCTCTGCTATGGCACCTTTTTGTGGGATACCTTGCAGCGTCCGGGAGAATCTGAAACATGCATAGATAGAAGCACATATAAACCTATGCAGCTCCTATATGATCAGAAAACCACAAAAGCCAGAATTACTCCTAATATTATAAATCATAAAACATTCTTGTGCTATCCCACGTCTTGCACAACAAATCTCCCCATCCGAAGTCCCAAAGTGCCTATGCAAAGCTCGATGTTTAGGCCTTTTCATAATTACTATTGGTATCATCATCATCATCATCCCTACCAGCATTGTTAAAAAAAGAACAACTCACGTCACCCAAGAGCAAATTCGGCCGCGAGGAGCTTCCAGGAGACACGCCAGGACTTGCGCGACGCGGTCTTTGAAACCCAGGCCCAAAAGGGGAAAAGAGGGTGGGCGACACCAAAAATGGGGTTTAGGGTTTAGGATTTCGGGTTACAATGGGTAGGCCCAAAGGGGAAAACCCCAAAGTATGTAGAATAATGGCCTTTTCCAGGTAGTGAGGTAGTGGGCCATTATTTTACCTACTTTGGGGGGTTAGGCAATGGGGGAAAAGAGGGTGGGTGACACAAAAGAATAGGGGGTAAAAGTACAAGGGGGACCGAGAGGGGTAGGAACAAAACGGGGTATTGGATAGGGTACTGTAGGGGTGTCTAGTAAACTCAAAGGACCCCATAAAACCTTCAGGTGACCCCTCCTAGCACCCTTGAACACAACCCCGTCTGAGAAACCCTTCAGCCGGAAGCCCACCACATGTGACTTCACCCGCCCCAGTCCACGCCTGAAGGCTCCGCAGCAGCTGGTGGACGATGTGGTATTTGGCCCCCTGACTAGCACCGCCGCCCACTGAGCTGAAGGGTTTGAGTCCATGCAAGGCAGAAGTGCAACATAAACATCGGGATCATAGAATCCGCCTGCAGGAGCGTTCCAAACCTAAATCAAACAGAGGATTCTTGGACACTGTTGAAGCCTTTAGCCTGAATCCGCCGTTCTCGTCCAGAATGGCTGTCTATGACGGGATGCTTGAGTAGAAACCCCCGAGTGCTGAACCCTGAAACCCTCCAGTGCACCTTTATTTGCAAAATCCTGGTGCCCTTTCTGGTACACTGAAATGGGAAGATCTTGGGGATATTTGCTTACTCTCCGTGGTCTGAGTTTCCTGACATGTCCTCGAAGCCTACGGAAACGATCCTTGTTCCTTCCTACCCGTTTGGAAGCCGGAAGTACAAACCAGACCTTATTCGACCGTATCCTAGACCCGAAACCAAGCACGTCAAGCACTAACTCCTCATCCCTAAACCTTCAACCCTAAACCCTACCCCCTCGTCCCTAGTTGTAAAACTTTTCACTTCGAGGCCAGCGGCCTCTTGGCTGGCCTTGACTTGGCCATTGCCGCGCAGCTCGGGGCCCAGCGAACCCCAAGAACCGAAGTTTCAGGCCGTTTCTTCAAAAACGTCTACAGCAAGCACCCTGCTTGTCGAAATTTATTTGGCTTCATCTTGCAAATATATTAGGTTTTTTGAAGTTTTTCTCGTTACCTTGTCTGCCCAGCAGAGACCCATTAAAATCCGCCAAACCCTACACACCGCATCATGCCTTGGTAAACACCCTTGCAACCGTTAACACCCCTCCCCCGAGCTTCCCCTCCTCCTCCGAGGGCAATGCTCTTTGCGGTGCTCCTCACGGCCACCAAGCAAGCACTTCCCGGCTTCGACAAGGCAAGGCTTGCTTCGGTATCGTTTGTTTCTCTCTAGTTTTCATTTGTTGAAGGTTCGTAAGCACAGATCTAGTGTAGCTGCTAGACTTTTTGCAGGTGGTAGAGCTCTGCTAGCGTGCGCTAGCGCAGGTTTCGGATCCCATTCCTGGCTTAGGCTTTGGGGCGAGTCATGGACTAAGGAATGCACAACCGCAGCAAGATCACGACCACTTCATTGGGGGGTGGGGTGAGGCTTCACGGCGCAAGCACACGAAATAAGCATGTCGGTGCCGCGAAGGCGCCCTGAAAGCGTCCCTTCATCGTCGTATTGGACACAGTTTTGTGATTAACATCAAGGTTGAGCCATTCGTGCATACTCTGCTGCGTCTACTACCTACAGATGTGTCTTGCATACATGTGTACATACATACACGCATATGCATATGTGCGTGTACATCTTATCATGTACCTCTGTATGCATACATGTACATGCCCTGCATGTAAGATTCCGAGAGATCTGCGAACGAAGGCGGCAGAGACCCGCGGGGAGCCGAACGAGGAGAGCAAGAGCAGCGAGCGAGGCCTTCACTTCTAAAGCCTTGGCCCTTTTTTGACTTACCTTTGGTTAGTAGTGAATGGAAGAATGGTAGTACTAGTAGTTATACTTGTACCCCATTCCTCCATTCCCCACTAACCAAAGGTAAGTTGAGTGGGTCGGGGGGGGGTCTTGGGGTTTGTGTTTAACGCTTAATTCGGGGTTAGGCGGTTGGACGGGTATGGGGCTTAGGGGGGGTACAGGATTTAGAGGGAATTCTTAAAATGGCGGGAGGGGTCGCTGTTGTGGGTGTTGTGCAGAGCCACTGACATTCTCCAGCCGACTAACACGTTGTACTTCGACGGATGCAGTTTCTTGCATAGCTCCGTGGAAGCTTACAGACTGGATCATGCGAAGCAGACGGAATCGGGGCCAAGTCTGACTCGGTCTTCGCGCCAGGCAGCAAGAGCAAGTCCAAGAAGCACCGGCCTGAGATCTTGGGGAAGTTTTTTGGGGCTTGGAGGACTCCGCTCTAACGGGGGGCTTTACAGGAACGTGGTTGATAGGGCTTCCAAAGCTTGGGCAAGCTTTTCAGCATTTTCATTGTTGCGTTGAGTTTCTAAGCTGAACCGATTGTCACGGCCTCGTCCGATGCAGATGATGTGCTGCCACAACCACATATCTTCTAGACGCAGACGGACCAGCTTCAGGCTTCGGTTTCTTGTCCGGTCCCATGTGCCAGTGTGTCGACGTGCAGTGGATTGCTTCTGAATTTCTTTGTTCCTTATGGGACGCGCCTTCCCAACTGATGGCAGCACTAGCTACCGGGCTTGTTCTTGCAAGAATCCGTCAAGTTACGAATCTGGTTTTCGTTCGTTGGGGACTCCTCATTAGAATTGACTATAGGATAAGGAGACGCCCAGTCCCATTGTAGTAAGTTTGTATCAGGAAGCTTGGCTAGGGGTAGCCTATAGCTGCTGATACGAAGCGAGGTCCCAGACGGCCGAGGCGCCCAAGGACGTCGGGAGGGCCTACCTACGCACAACAGTGTTTCTGGGATACATATCAGAATAGTGTTTGTAGTATAGGGGCCGAAATAGTCACCAAGACCATTTTGGGGTGCCTCATCATGCTAACACCCCCCCCCCCCTTGTAACCCTATTCTAATCATCTGTAAGTGGATTTGTGTGTGGATGGAGCTGCGAGGAGGCGCCCAGCAACCCAAAGGCCAAGGTTGTGCTCCGATTCTACGGGCCCGAGCCTCAGCAGACCCAGGTTGAGGCTCCAGCGGTTCTTCTCTCTGGTTCTTAGTCCTAGTAGGGAATGGGGAACGGGATATGGTATATAGACTACTACAAGAGACCTTGAGGGACTATCAACAGTGGGGTCCGTCCCCCCTCTCACGGGGTAGAGGGTAGCTTGCAGAATGAGATCACAGAGTTTTTCAATCCTAACCCTGAACGACGTCGAACAAACCCGAGGCCCTAGATACGCAGAATGATAAAGCTCGACGTGTAGACCTGGATGAACCCTGTTCTGACTTGTGCAAGGCGCTGGGACAACGAGGAGTCGCGGGGTTGGGGGGAGCTGTCCTTGTTGATGTTGGAGGTTCCGAGGACGCTGAAAGCATTCTTGGATGGCTTATACGGGCTAATCATATATGAAGTGGCTTTATGACATATCTGCGGTGTTTTGGCTGCATCTATGGGCTTCCCTAGAGTATAGACTGTGACCAGTAGATAGTGTTTGGTGATTTTCGTGGGGACACTCGTAACTAAGCTTTGGACTTTCCGCCTAAATTTGAGGATGCGGGGGATCCTGCTTAGACCTTCGTGTTCTTGCACAGGACAGCTGGGTGCTGCTCCAGTCGGTGCCTTTGAAGGGCATCGCTGGGACTTTGGCCCTGCCCTCAGAAATTGCGGAACTCGACCCTAGGGCTGTAGTTTGAGGGCTGAGGGACTCGGGCTTGGTAGACCCTATCGTGTGAAAGGTGCCTCTTCGCTTTGTTTCTGGTTCATACTTACCCGTAGTCCATGCACCTCACATGGATCAAACACACGTTTGACACGCGCAAAGCCGGCTTCGACATCGCATTTTGGGTGTTATGGTCGTGGTAGTCCCGGCCGACCACGTGCCTCAACATCTTGTTTGGACATCTTGGACACGCACACGGACACACACTGCTTGTGTTACCGTCCCGAGTGAGGTAGTCCACACGCACCACATGCATCAACAGCTCGTTCGGCCAATTTACACAATGCTTGGTGTTACGGTCGCGGGGGCGGCTAATGTACATGTAAGGTAGTCCGCACCATCCACATGCATCAAAAAAACTCGCTTGGACATTCTGGACAGGTGCACCCATCGAGGGCTCGTGTGGGCAAACTCCTTGTAATATTCCCTGTGAAACATTGAAAGCCCCGTTTTAGGACCCCGACAAACCCCTACTGCAAATCGTGTAAGCAGCACAACGGGGGAAACCCCTTTATGAAACCAAGAACACACAGAGAACCCCTTAAACAAATCCTCATGAGACTCTGAGAAGGACCCTTTTTTTAGAAGCGACGTTGCTTCGATTTGCCTCGCCTGGCCAGGTCGGGGCAGTGCGCGGCTCTCGTGCCGTGGTTGGCAGCAAATTGTTGGGACCCAAGGGGGCTCGGTCCTTAGGAAGGCTATATAGAAGGTCTTTTCAGATCTTTACTGAGGTTCCGGGGTTCCATTCAGCCGCTATCCGCTAGAAGTATCAGGTTCAAGAAGACTTGTAGAAGGTTTTGCGTGATCTTATTATAGTGTCTGCTCGTGGCTTTGCTTGTGCCTGCAGGTCCCACCGCCCTATCGGCTTGGGAAAATTGATGGAGTACATGCTCGCGATACCTGCTGGGCAATGGCAGAGACTGCACAAACGAAATCCAAAAGGCAAGGCATGTCTGCATTTTCGAGCATCGCACACCGAGGTCCAACCGCATCCTCACAGCACTGGTCGCACGCTCTGCACGAGGCCACTGGTTCTATTCACCCAGTTTTCGACAAGTACTGTTTCAAAAAGTATATTGAGATGTTGGTCACACTCACATATGTGGTATTTATAGAGAAAGCAGTGAAAGTCGAAGCCCAATCTGGGGTGGCCCCGTGAAATGGCCAGGGATGGTCCAACGGCGAGGATGGAAACCCATCGTGGAGAAGACCATGGAGGAGGCTTGGCTTTTGTGGCATCATGTTAGCAGGAGGTTCCAACTCAGGCTTCATAAGACGCACACTCGTTTTCTATGTGTCTTCCATATATACACATATACACACACACACATACACGTTACTAGCATTGAAGAGAGCTCAGAGTTTCAGAGGTTGCATTCAACATGCATGGTTTGCCGGCGATTCTTCCAAGCACAGCTCTATGCGGAAGCTCGTTGCCGTTGCGGACCCCAACCTGAAATCATGATGAAGCTCTAAGCTCCAACCCTGCAGCCAAGACAGGAGTTGAATTCCGAGCCAAAACGACACCCCCCCAACCCCAACACCCCACGCCCCCAGACCAACTAAACTTGTTTAGGCCAAGCGCTTGGTTCTATGTGAAGGTCTCCATTGTAATATCATCGGGTATGAGGGAAGTAAAGAAAAGCCGTAGTCCCATGGCGCTGGACCAGTGGCTGTTTGCGAAACTTTTAAATTGCACTTTGTACTCCCGCAGGGCTCTTTATTCAGAGGCTACGTTTAAAGCCGTAGATTGCCGTTCCACCAGAAACTGAGCCCTAAACCATCCTAAACCCCTAAACCCTAAACCCCTATGCAGGTTGGAAGAGACTTCTGCTTGGGCTATCTCGTGGAGCCTGGTGCTCGGGAATTCCTCTTTGCTGTCAATGCGTAGTACCGATCCCGAATCCCTAGCCTCCATAAACCCTAAACCCTAAACCCTTCGGCCGTCGCCTGTAGAACTCGTTTCGGTGGTATCCTTCTTCGAAAACCCCTGCGGAGCGCTGTCCACGCTCCCTTTCGCTGAGGCCCTCCGCAGCCTCCGCGACCCCGCGGATCTCGGTGCTCTCCAGAGGGAAGCATGTGGAGGAGGCACGTTTGGGGTTTAGGGGTTCAGGAGCTGAGGCGCATTCAAACGAAGGAAATTAGGGGCGTTTAGAGGGGTCTCTACATCACTCCAACCCCAAACCGTGTCCCGAACTTCGTGCCTGTAAGCTCAGTCCCTTCACTATAGTCAGAACCTTACTAGTAGCAATTGGAATAGGGTTTGGGGTAGGTTGTACTTACTGCATCTGTAGTGTACTTTAATGCCAACCCCAAGGAATAGTGTCGGTAAGTATTCAGGCTGCTACATTAGCTGACTGAATTGAGCCTGAGGTGCCGAGCCTCTGACCCGAGCCCTGCCCCACAGGTGCCGAACGCACGCATCCTGCGGTCGAAATGAGATGGGCGTTTCAGAAAACATGGGACCCCAGTATACAACTGAAATAGTACGATCCTAATTCTCCCTGCTACGTAGACCTACGCATCAGTTGTTGGTTAAACAGTTCGCCCTAATTTGGAGCGATGGGTCCTATTTAGATATGTCAAGACATGACACAAGCAAGGCAGTGTAGGGACCTAAACAGTTATCAGTAGCATTCCTCAGGGTTCCTTATTGTAGTGATAATAATATACCCCAGGACCCTATTCTAACTACGATGGCCCTTGTATTAACCCAAATTTTCTGAAACCCCCAGACGCTTCCATCTTCCGAGTCCGCAGACGAGGGGCAGCCTTGCATTCTTACAACTCTCAAAGTATCCGCGAGTCCTGAAATCTTAAGCGCTAAATCACACACCCCGAAGCCGAAGCCCTTAAGTCCCTTCATCCTACTTGCTACTATTATGAGTTAGTGGGTATTTTTTATTTGTGGTTTTCTTCTTCTTATTATTATTAGTGTTCTTCTTCTTATCATTGGATAGTCCTTGTCTAAACCTTGAGCTGCAGTGCCGAATACAGCACGCTCGGGCCGCCTGAGCAGTATCATCTCAGCATTTCTCGTTTCTGCCAGGGCCATCCGAGCAAGACATAGCAAGACATGTCTGCCCCGAGCCTTACCTTTGGTTAGTAGGGAATGGAAGAATGGTAGGGATAGTAGTTGTAATTGGACCCCATTCCTCCATTCCCTACTAACCAAAGGTAAGGAGCAGCGCCGAGCAAACTTTTTCAATGCGCTGCAGCTGCGAATCTCGCAGTCGCAGCCTCGAACCTGGCCAAGAGCCAAAAGGACAAGGGGTTTGGCGGTTGATGATATAAATCCTGCACTACCCATAATAAGGAATATGCCATTATTCCCATAGTTTAGGGTCCGTAAGGTAATGCAGGATTTATATCATCAACAGCTGGGGGTTTAGAGTTTAGGGTTTAGGGTGGCCAAAGAGACAAGAGGGGAGCCGGTGCACGCATGTCTGCGGTGAGTTTGCATTGCCCCAATGCACCTGTGTCGCACGCAACGGTTTGTCAGGATGACAGGGGCATGGTGATGATGATGATGACGAAGGCCATGATGATGATGATGGTGATGAGGATAACTGGACTTGTTACCAGCGGTATGATAACGGTTCTCGTTTTGGATACTGCACTGACTGCACTTGCCATGCCTACTTTTTGAAGTGCTGCTGCCTGTCTGTGCTCGACGCTAAGCCTCCAGCTCAGACGCGTCATTTATCTAGAACCGCTGGGTAAAGTGTGAGCGCAGGGCAGCATGCCTCTGTCTATGTTATGTGTATACACACACACAAATGCACGTACACGTATGTCTGTCATTGTCTGTCTATACATGCATGTAAACTTGTGCATGTATGTCTGGCTGTCTTATCGGCCTGTCGGCCTGTATGTATGTGGCAGTTTCCGAGAATTAGGGGTACCTTATTTGGGGTCCTTACAATAAGGAATTCGGAAACTCTCATGTATGTATGTCTGTATGTAAAAACGTGTGTGCAGAGATCTACAGCTCTTGGCACCAGGTACTTCGAAGCGACCATCCCCGAGCTGTACACGGATCCTACCATCCGTTTCAACAGACAGGCAGGGCTGCCTCCCGAACCCTGAGCCCCAAAACACAAAACCCGAAGACCCAAAACCCTGCAAGTACCCTTCCAAAAGCTTCAAAGCCACGTAAGAGAGCCATCGTAAACCTTGAGCCTTATACCTTCAAATCTCAGCCCTAAGCCCAAAAAGTCTTCCTTACACCATGGTGCAGGTGAAAGACTGGGGTGTGGAGTGCCGTCCTTAATCGCTTGCAGCACGACCGTACCTGCCATAGATCTCATGTTTCAGCTTCTGCAGCTTCGGTTGGGGCTTTTCTTGCGGTCTTGTTCTGTAGCCTCGATGCAGAGCGGCACAGGTGTGTCTGGGTAGAGGAGTCACACAACTACTAGGTGCAATACCGTCCAAGTCGATTTGGGATAATTGCATAGTTATAGGGTTCTAATTAATCAAAGATTACTTTGGGGACTGTTGATCACCCAACGCAGTTTGTGCACTTATAAAGTGCCCTCATTCCCCAAACCCTACTCTTCCATGCCATTGTCCTCGGCCTGCAAGGTACACCATTGACGTGGGTGATGAGGAGGACACTCCCGGGATCTTTTCAGATCCAAGGGCTTCGTGGTGTAACTCGTGATGAACCCTAAACCCTAAGCCCCACAGATCCCTTATGAACCTTATTATAGAGCCCTTAAAGGGGCCCCTAAGCCCTAAACCCCTAGAGATTCCCTATAGATACAGGAAGCCTTAAGCCCTAAGCCGTAAACAGGAAAGCCCGACGAAATCCCTGAACGAGGATGCAAGCCGGCTTCGTATGCGCATCCTCATACGACGCCCCCCCCCCCCCCCCCGCCGCAAAACCCCCAGACACCCATGTGGCGCCCTCATAAACCCCGGCAGAAGCTCGTAAAACCATCAAATTTTTGTGAAACCTTCATAGAACGCCGAATTGGTTGTTTTGTTGTTTTTGTTCTTTCTTCTGAGTGCTCTTCGCCGAAGGAGTGGCGCGATCTGTTGCCCAAGATGCCGGAGTTGGCCAACTTCCAGGTGCAAGCACAGTTACAGAAATAGTAAGAACAATGGCAAGCATGTTCGTAAATACTTGTAGACGACTACTACTACTACTACTACTACTACTACTACTACTACTACTACTACTACTACTACTACTACTACTACTGCTACAACTTCAACTACAACAAGAACAGCAACAACAACAACTACTACTTCTACTGCGACTGCGACTGCGACTTCGCGTTGTGATGCCGGCTGTGTATTGTTGTATATTGCATCCCTGTGCAGTTGCCGGACCACATGCTGCAGAACAGCCGCCGTCAGCTTGAGGACGGGGTGTGAGGCGTTCGGGCTTTTGGGGCTCACGGGCACCTCCTAGGTTCTGGCATCTCGCAGATTTATCTCAAGACTCCTATGTCCTGTTTGGACGGAGCTTGTCACCTAAAGCTCGAAACCCACACTCTCAGCCCCATCGGCGGCTCTTTCAAAGGAGATCCCCATCGAAAGCCGGATGATCGTTCCTGACGAGAAGACGAATGAGAAGTATGCGGATTTTATGACCCAGGCGGACATGAAGTTGGACTCATGTTTGTGCTTTTTCGAGGGTGCGTGAAACGTCTTGGGAGTACGGGGGCCGGTGCATTTTGCATGTTGTTCTGGAGGGATGCGAGTAATGAAAAGAGTACGTCTCTCATGACAGGAGATACTGAGGTGAGATCCATTGGCAATTGTATCCCCTTTGTAATGTGGGTCCGGAAGCCCTGTAATCATCACTTGGGCTCCAGTCCACTGCAGTACACATCCCAGCCTGCCCAGCTTTTCTTGAAGGTGCGGGCCATGTGGAAGGACGAGGAGGAGAAGAAGGAGAAAGGCGAAGAAGTCCGCCCCAAGAAGGAGGCGCCTGCGGCCTGCGGGGCTTTAGCTTTAGCTCTCCGCCTTTTGGCAGTCAGGGTCAGGGTGTGTAGTATATTGTGTAGAATGTAGCTTCGAGCTTGCATACGCCCGCAGTTTCATAGAGCAAGCCAGCCGTCATTGGAGCCCGGGGATCGTATGTTTGGAGTATCAGGGCCCCAGGAGGAGGGTGATTCCAGAAGGCTTATGTGTGGTGGTTTGGGCTCCTGTCCGAGCCCCTGCAACCCACTCTCCAAGCCAAAACCAAATCCCTAAACCCTTAGCCCTGAGCTCCAAACCCTAAAGCCGCGGCTTTTTCTCAAGGAAGACCCTAAAGCCCTAAACCCCCCTAAACCTTCCCTAAACCCGTAAACCCTAAACCCTAAAAGGCCCCGCCCGCCTTCCTCCTGTGCTGCTTTTCAGCGTTTTTTTTGCCCCTCAGGGCGTGTCTCGCGACGATTGGTTCGCCGACGAGCCATGGCCTTGGTGGGACCCGCGCGACATCAGAGATGCAGACATATCTATATCTCTATATATCTCTATATCTATATATCTCTATATCTATCTATCTATATATATATAATATGAACTTGTATGTATACATCATATGCAACCATATCTGTATATGTATGTATGCTGTATGCATGCATGCATGCATTTATACATGTATGTATGCATGCATGTATTTATGTACCTATGTGTATATGTGTTTGAGTCTGTATTTTTTTAATGAATTTATGTATATGTGTATTTACGTATTTATGCATGCATGTGTATATATACATATATACATATATACATATAGATATACATAGAAATATATACATATACATACATACATACACACACACATACATACACACAGACACACTTCCAGTCGCAGCAGTTAGAGCTTGATGGGAGATGTGGAAAGCACCTGTTCCGCAGCAATCTAGATAGCACTGAGGAGTGCAGAGCCTTGAAGGGCAGAAGCTCAGGCATCTTTTCGTACCCTCACAGCCCCTCAGCCTCTAGTATTCCGATTTCGGAAGCCAGCACGAAGCCTTGACACGCATACCCCGAGTCCACACGGTATGACCGACTCTGCTGACCTTTATGACCAACTCCCGAGCAGTCCAACCGCAAGCCTCATCAGTTGCAGTTGAAGCAAGTTGCTACTGTACTGGTCACGTCTTGCATACGGTCTTCGGTGATGACATGCCAGCAAACCCCCAGCCACCCATCAACTCGACGCTTGAACGTCCACCCACTGCCCGTGCTCTCATGCGGTTCTCCCTGTGATGACCGTCGACACGGCTGCGACCAGCACCATCTTCGACTTCGACGAGCTTGAGAAGGCTCCTTCCGGTAGCCTGTCGGAGACCGCAAAGCGTCTGTGCCGGGCGCTGACGGCTAGGCATACGCGAAGATCGATGTCGCTGTCGCAGGCGAGCAGAAGCAGCAACAGTTTGAGTCCAGGGATAATGTCGTGTAAAGAGCTGATGTGACTTCTTATGTTGCCGCTGCTTGGGCCAACGCAGGCTGTTGTTCTCGTGAAAGATATCGCATGAGGATGGATGCATGATCACTCATGCAGACGGTTTGTCGCATCTTGGTCGTAGCAGGCCTACTGGCTGTTGAGCTTGACATCTGCACTGCTGCAATAGAAGGTGGTCGGCGGCTATGGCGGTCGGAATATTCGTATCCCCTTGTAGACGTTATATCCTTCCCACCCGAACCTGGTTATTGGGACGTTATATAGATATATCATCACATGCCCCGCAACCCCGGTCGAAGGCCTATGCTCATTATTGAAGCCCTTGGACATTTGGCAAGCCTAACCGTAGCATCCCCTGTATGCGCACCACAAATCTCTTCGATGCCCCTGGATGGGCCGATCCGATGCCTTCCTTACCTTTGTTTAGTAGGGAATGGAGGAATCGGGTACAATTACTACTATTTATTTACTATCATACTACTACCATATCACTATCATATTATATACTACCATTATAACTACTATTACTACCATTCTTCCATTCCCTACTAACCTTTAAAAGTAAGCTTCCTGTGTGCAGGTGCTCCGCTGGAGGACCTGGCGGACCTAGACGAGGCAGAGCTCAAAACCAGTTTTGGACACCAGAGAGCACCCCGAAGACTTCCTGAAGTTGTGGGGAGGGTTTAGGGTTTAGGGTTTAGGGTTTCCTTGCGAGCTGAACCTGTAACCCCGAACTTTTCCCATGGGGTATATCCCCAAAACAGCGGGGTTTTGGGGATTTCCAGGTAGAGCTTGTTTCTTGCGGGTTTTAAGGCTTCAGGACCCTTCAAGCCCCTAACCCTTAACCTTCACTTGTGGGAGTTTCCGAAAACACGGGGTGCCTTATCTTGGGGTCTGTGTTATAATGGGGATCCTACCAGTTAGGGTACTACGTTAGGGTCCCCTATAACCCCCTAAACCCTAAACCCCATACCCAGAGAACCCAATACCCCTTAATTAAGGAATATACCTTAAATTATAGAGGCCTTAATACTATGATTTAAGGTATATTCCTTCGTTAAGGGGTATTGGGATCGCTGGGTACCTTCATGACCGGCCAGTGAGGCGCCCACTTCCGACGCCGATGGCCTGGACTCGCTGTCCGAGATCTGGCCAGGCATTGCGAGCTTAGGCCTTTAGGGTTCCTCTCAACCTGGGGTCGGGGTAGTGGTACACTACTTAAGTCTTAAGAACCCTAAACCCTAAACCCTGGGAGCCTGATACACTCTTCGTTTTTGTCATCATGGTCTGTATACGCGAAGAGCTTGCTCTCATTGTTAGGCCCGCGGTGTTGAGGGTTTTGCAGGCTTGATGGAGGCTTGTAAGGTTGTATAAGGGATATTACAAGGTTCGCCACATGTCGCCCTGCCAGTTCTTGCTTGTCTTTTTGTTTGTTTGTTCTTTGGCTGAGGACACTGGGATTGAGGTACCCCGTGTCAGTTGAGAGCTTAAGATGTAGGGCGAGAGATATTTGGGGCACCTTTTCCTTTTTTTCGGGTTTCCTGTTCGTGGCCGATCGTCCCCCAAGATTTCAACACGCCTTCAACCCTGAACTTGAGCCCTAACCGGTAAACTCCCCCAAACCCTGTGCGAGGCGATTTGCCGAATGTGGAGCTGGAGGACGATGATCTCCCCGAGTTGGTTCCAGGCAAGCATGGAAACTAGCTTCTTTTTCCCGGAAGGGGTGTTCTGTTGCTATTTTTTTCGTTTATGCAGTTTTCGAAGGAGGGTTCTATGGGTTGTAGAATGGTTTTGAACTACAGTGGTGCATCTCGTTCTGGGAATGCCAGTGCGACAAGCCTGTTATGCTTGTTCTGAAAGAAGATCCGTTAGGATCCCTTGCAAGAAAAAGAGACTAGAGTAGGTCCGTTCGTATCCCTGGAACCCTGGGATGTTAAGCCCTGAGCATCCCAAGCCCTAGACACGGTTGATGATATAAATCCTGCATTACCTTAAGGACCCTAAACTTTCCTAAACTGTGGAAAATATGTTATAGTCCTTATTATGGGTAGTGCAGGATTTATGTCATCAACCGTCCCTCCTGCGTGGCAGGTCCGGAGTACCGGCCTGGGGTCTGGGAGGCCGCGTTTAAACGGAGGTTTGGGGGTGTTTACGGGGTGTGAGAAGGATGAAGTAGGGCTTAGTAGTGCGCAGAAGGTTGTGTGGTGCGCTGCTGCATAGCGACAGGGGGAGAGAGAGAGAGAGAGAGAGAGGCAGCCCCATCGCTCAACTTTCGCTCAGCCTCGCTCAAATGCACGCGTGGTCATTTCTTACGGGGAAAGCTCAATTCAACCGACATAACTTTTGCTGCTACTCCCCTGACCCGACCTTCCGGGGGCAAACCTCTATAGGAGGGGATTTTCTGCGTAGACCGCTGACGTTCCTGCTTGTCGGTTTGCACACTTTAGGGCTTTAGCCATAACGGGGAACGGCAACGGCATATGCACGTGTCTTTGAGAGTGTACGGCCGAACCTTTCCGTTATCGCATAGTTTATGGCTTCAGCCTTGTTTTGGCCTACGCTCGTTCGTCATGCCTCTTGACCCGATAACACATCGGGTGGGCTTGAAGCCCGGGGGCCTTGACCGGCCCTCAAGCCCGAGAGAGAGAGAGAGAGAGAGGCAGCAGTGCAAGCAACGACAGATCATAGCCTGCAGCAGCGCAGGAGATGCGATCAGGATATATAGAGCTCCGGCGAGCATTTCTCGATTCAGAAGCAGACTGGATTAGCATCGGGTGCCTGCGTGCACTTGCCTATTCATTTGCCGTTATTGCCTGCAGCTCATTCTCACGAGTGGCAGGTGTGCGTCCTCCGCCTCATTGTGCGGAAGGAGCCGAGTGTGGACGCAGGGGCTCCCTGGCGCAAAAGTGCCATTGCTCTGAAGCTCACCAAACACGCCCAGCAGGGGCCAAAAGCCCGATCCCCAAAACCCATACCTAGTAGGAAACGGTAGAACCCAAGACTTCCTTAGGAAACCCTAAACCCTTAAGCCCTAAGCATAAACCCCTTAACCCTGAACGGCCTTAAGCCCGAAAAGTTGATCCACTGAGGTAAAAGGTCTCTGCCATGAGAAGGAGCTCCTCTTCGAAGAGCCGCTCGGGTTTGCGGGTGTTTTTTGGGGGTTTTGATGGGTTTTCATAGGATTCTATTGGGTTTTATAGAGTCTTGGGGTTGAAGGTGCCTCTTTTTGCGCAAGGGTTCAAGGGTTCAGAGTTTAGGGTTTTCGGGCTGTCGCGTTTCTGTAGGGGTAGGCTTGAATTTCACTCGCTCGGGCCTTAAGTAACTTGGCCCACAAGGGTTTTGTAATTTTATAAGGTATCATCATGGTAAGTTCCTTAAAGATCGTATATGGTAAAGCAGTTCCGGGCTGTCACCACAACTGCTTATGGAATCCCAGAAGCACGGAACCCGTAGATACCCCAAACCAAACCCTAAACCACGGCAAAACCTCAGTTCCCAAGGTTGGGCAGTCCGGAGAACGACTGGATATGCCTGGAACGCGGGGCGCTCGGATTTGTCAGGAGATTGTTGGGCTCCGTCGGTGCGATGGAATCCCACATACGAGATCTCAGAGTTATCTCAGCCTTTTAGACGAGTTTCTGGAGACTCGAGACCCATCCCCGTCTGCCTTCGGGTTCCCACATCTTCCCCGAGCTCAGGTGAACGAGGATTCGTGTTGAAGGCCGGGGCATGGTAGCTTAGTGAATACGTGCGCTTGAACAGCCAATGCCCAACCCCCGCCCCCCAAACTTAACCGTAGCCCCAAACCTAAGCCTTCAGCTAGAACCCGCAACACCAACACCTGCAAACATCAAAACTACGCACGGTTGGTGCTGCCCGCGAGTTCAGCAAAGCGAGTTAGATTGATCTAGATGGTTCAGGCTTGGGCGAGTTCTGCAGGTTTGGTTTCGAGTAGACGAAGCAAAGGCGGTCGCAGCCAGGATGGCAGCATGAAAGACCCGAAACTGGGCATGCTGGTGCGGCCGTTCCACCTCAGCAGTGTACCCGTGGACTCCTGGATGCAGTTGGTATCGGCACGTTTGTTTAGATATACGGCTTTTGCTTGGTCGGTTAGGCTTGCTGATTGGATGCTGTCCGATAAACCCAAACTACGAGGCCTAAGAACCAGCTTGCCGGGAACCGTGAGTCGCGCGTTCGGTTGCCGGCCTATGACCTCTCTTATAAGGCTTTTGCATGTGGGGTTCAGGACTGCATTTGTAGGTTCGAGCTGTGGAGACGCATCGGGTTCAGAGCTCCTGGCCATCACTATAAGGACCAAAGTGAAAGTGTTTTGTCCCTTCTGCGGACGACGTGGCGCAGCGTGCGGGAGCAGAACGGAAGCGCCTGATCGGCACCTGTGGTTCAGTGTTCAGCCTAGTCTGCAGGGATTCCGGGCCCCAGACCCTGTCTGTGGGTGGTTACCTTACCTCAGCACAGGTCTTTTGCGCCCGCAGCTTGTTGCAAAGCTGCGCCGGGCAGAAGAGGATGCGGCCACTTTGGCATGCAAGCCAGTTCATGGCTAGGCCTCAAAACGTCAAACCCTATCGGGTTTAGAGTAAACCTTTACAACAGGCGAACCCCGAAATCAGGTCAGGAGTTCTCGTGAACTGTACGCTTTTTGCACCGAGGTCTCCGCCGCCAAGTTGAGTCCTTCGTTGGCAGCTTTCGACTTCGAAACCTTCCAAGCTGAGTACCAAAGAGGTCTGGGCCGCCGAAACGTTGTTTCCTGGTGCTTTCCATAGGGTCATATTTTGGATCTCAACCCCAACACCCGATTTCACCAGTTCGCAGAACCAGATAGGACACCGAAGACAGGTAATAAAACCCTGTATGGCAGAGCCCCCGGCAGGAGTGAACACGCTCCTCTCAGAGCAGGGTTTCCTGGCACAGGCCACTCAACTCGGGGGTTCTCGAGAGTTGCAGTGGCTTTGTAGGGGTTCCAGTGGCGGTTTTATCTTCGGTTTAGTACGAGTCCAATCTACAACAATGGCTTTCTACTTCCCACAAGCGTGTCTATTCTTGTGCCGTTGAGGGCTTCCACAAGGGTTCATAGGGGTTTCATGTCCCTCTCATAGGGGGTTGCAAGGGTGGTAGCTTCTAGAACCGAAGGAGGGGTTCCCGTGATGAAGTTCTCCAGCCCACTTTTGGAAGATGCGGCTTTGTCAAGGACGGACATCAGCATAGGGTTCCAACATGGGCATCTGTATAGGGGGGCCTGACGAAGGGGGCGTGTCCTTCTCGGTGTATTGGCAGCATTGATACTAGCTCAAACGTTTCCCAGCCTTTCCAAGCTGGCGCCGGATTTGGAGACAGGATTTCGGATTCAGGTTCTCGTGCGTTGCATGGACCTCCAACGCCTCAAAAGCCTGTGCGACCCCCAGCCCTGAACCGTAAAGCCTTGACTGATCTCACAGAGATTGCAAATATTGCATATGGAGGGAGGAGAGATGATCATCGCCCCGCTTTTAAGAAGTTAGCGTTGCCGTAGAAGGTACGAAAGTCCTCACATGGTACCAATATACGAACCCAGTGTCGACTTCTTTTGCTCGATCCTGTGCTCGGGACCTTTGGGGTTAGGGTTTAGGGTTTAGGGTTTTGTTACAGACAAGTGTTCGAGAAGCTGGGCTATTGCTTGTTGGCTTGGTTTCTGACGGCAGGCCAGGCTGTTGATGCAGAAAGCCGTCGCCGCCGCCCAGTTGCAAATGCTCCGTTCATGACAGGGCTGGGAAGTTGGCCGTATTCTTGTGCATCCGATAGTGTAGTATAGTAGAGTGGAGCAATTGGAGTCGAGTAGAGTTGAGTAAACACTACTGTAGTAATGTAAGGTGAAGTGAATAATGTAGTATAGTATAGTTCCGTTTGGTATAGTACAGTATACTAAAGTGTACAGTATAGTAAAGTATAGCAAGGTAGAGGCAAGTATAGTGGAATGTAGTAGTAGATTTTATGAAGCTGCAGATTTGGTTGAATATGATATAAGTTGCAAGGTCTGTCCGACTGGCTCGCGACTTCGGGAGGTTCTTGCGGGTGGCTGGTGCGCAGAGGACATGTCATCGCAACCACACGCCTTCAATCTTAAAGCCCAATCCTTACGCCTGAAATTCAATCCTAAATTTGTCATCCCTGCTAAGCTTCATATAGATAAACCTCTAACGCCTTTGTAAACCCTGAAAATCCGTTGCCTGAGGTGGGGAACCAGAGCGCAGGCAAGCTGCGCTACGCGCCCCCTGAGCGAACGAAGGGCGACATGGACCAGGCGAGAGTTCAGGGTTTGCGAGTTGAGGGAGCGGGTTTTTCAAGGTTTCAAGTTTTGCGTTCTGGCGGTTGAGAGTGTAGGGTCTACAGGGTTTCCTGGGCTTTGAGGGTTTCAGGGCATGATATTAGATTCCGTTCTAATATATTTTTGCTAGAGTAATTATATTACAGTATAATGCAGTATATCATATGATCTTATATTGTATTCTATAATATTATATTATATATTCTATTCTATTCTATTCTATTCTATTATGTTTTATTATATTATATTGTACTATGTTTTATTATATTATATTGTACTATGTTTTATTCTATTATATTATATTCTCTTTTTGTATTCAATATGGGCCCGTGAGACTGGGAGGCTTCTGTGTCGGCTCTGATCGCGGCGATGCGGGCACGGACGCTGCCAAGCCAGGCATTGCCATGGGATCCGGGCTTTCGGGTTGGGGGGGTGGGGTTTTAGGGTTGGGGAGTGGGGATTTAGGGTTGGGGAGTGGGGTTCAGGGTTTTTGGGTTTGGGCTTATGACAACCAGGCATGTTGAAGTGCAAAAGAATGGGTGTTTGAGGATGTTGTGAATGGCGGCAATGCATGTGTAAGATGGACGAGACTTGCATGTGTCGGTCGCCGGCATCAGTAATCAGGCGAAGTGGGGTGGGTTGGGGTGGGATGGGGTGGAGTGCGGTGTGCTGCCCAAGGAGTTATGCCCAGCCCAAGCGAGTCTCGGTTTTGGCCCTCCGTTTTGCCCTCCATTTCGGCCCTGCATTTTTTCCGGCTCTCCATTTTGGCCCTCCGTTCCGGCCCTCCATGTTGTTTGGCCCTCCATTTTGGCTCGCCATTTTGGCCCTGCATTTTGCCCGGCTCCTCATTTCGGCTCGCCATCTCTCTTGGGAAAAATGGAGGGCCAAAATGGAGAGCCAAAACAAAGGGCAAAATTAAAACGGAGGGCCGAAATGAAGGGCCAAAAGCAAAATAGAGAGCCAGAATGCAGAGCCGAAGTGAAGGGCCAGAATGGAGACCCTCGCCTGGATTGGGCACCCCACCCCACTCCATCCCGCGCCGCAAGGGTAAGCGGTTTCAATAGCCCGTGCATTTCTCGCTCATCTGCCAAATCAGCTCCAGATGACGGGGAATATTCTTGCATTCTGGCCGTCCATCTTTGGTGGATGCGCGTCCTCTTTGGCCCTCCTTGTCTTAGGCTGTTCCGGTTTTTAAATGAGTTTAGGCTTTAGAGTTTCGACTTTCAAAGTTTAGGGTTCAGGGTTGGGGGAGTAGGGTTCAGGGATCGGGAGTGCTTACCTTTGGTTAGTAGGGAATGGAAGAATGGTTTCAATAGTAGTTATAATTGTACCCCATTCCTCCATTCCCTACTAACCAAAGGTAAGATTGAGGGTCCAGAGGTTCAGCTGTCAAAGTTGGGGGTTTTGGGCTTCGGGCGTCCAGGGTTCAGGCTTGGTGGTCTCGGGCTTAGAGTTTACCCATAGGCCCCAAAGTAGTTCCTTTTCGGGATTACCTTATGGGATTCTATATATGAACCCCAAAAAGGAACTATTATGGGGCCTTAGGGTAAAATTTGCAAGTTGAGACAGCGGCTCCTTCTTTGCGAGGAAACTTGGTGTTAAGCTGCCGGCCACAAGGAAAGCTTGTCACTGGCCACTGGCCACGACATATCCCTCTTGTGGTAACGTCAATTAAGTTCCTGACCCTAAACTCTACAACCCTATGAAACCTCAATAAAACCCCATGAAGCCTCCTAAATCACAGGAACACCTTATCAACACCTGAGCCCGATGAAACCATGTAAAGATACATGAACTCTTATAAAGCCTTTCTAAACCCTACGAATAAAATCATCTAAATCCCTTAGTACTGTAGACACCATAGCCCTCTGCAGGAGGACGCTCTTCAAACGGTTACTGCTGCAGCGCGCCTCCTCGACCAGCAGCCCACGCTGGTGAGGCGCCTTAGGGTTGCGCTTTGGGGCTCTTAGGGTTTAGGGTTCAGGGTTTTAGGGTTCTTAAGACTGGAGACTTCATGTTCGGCGATAGTACTCCCAAATCGTCGCTGGGTTGTTGGCCTGATGTCATTTGGCTGACCCGCAGACGTTGCTTTTTACGTGTAAAATTCCAGCCCACCAGCCCTACAGACCTCCTAAAACCAATGTAGAACTGTTATGGTCGCCGCTTGGAGCCCAATTGTTTTGAAGGCCTATGTCAGGAAGATCTCCAGTTGGGGTCCCAAGAGAGCCCACTTAGTGGGACCCTCTTCAAAGTGAGCTCTCTGTCCGGGTTCATGTTACGCGTTTTTGTGGGGTTGTGTAGGGTCTTGTAGGGTTTCGGAGAGCTTTATGGTGTTTCGCAAAGCTTTTTACAGGGTTCGTTAGGGTGCTAAGACTGCTAAGATGTGTAAAGGTTAGGCTTCAGAGGTTTGGAACTTAAGTATGCTAGGTTCCACAAATCCTTAAAGGCCCTTTGACAACCCTGTACAGCCGATATACAGCGCTTATTGTAAATCAAGAGCCGAGGTTGCAGCTGCCTCCTGGAGCCACGGTGCACCCGAAGCTGCACTTGGCGGTGGCATCAGAGGTTTTGGCTTTGCGGGGGCTTGCCATGCAAAGACAAGCGGGCATGCAGGGAGAGGGGGGCTAGATTCTGGATGAGATTGGGTTGCTCGTGGTTTGGCTTCAGAGGATCGGCATTGCTCTGGATGATCCTTGGCAGGTTGGATGGCATCCTGCTTGGCAAGAGGTTTGACAGTAAGACTCAGTAAGTAATCACTATTTCACAGCCCAAGCACTTGCCAAACACCAACTTAACTCGTTGCAGCCTCCAACACAAAGGCTCCCCCATAGACACGAAAACCCCTCCCGAAAGATACCTTAGGCCTCAAGAAGATCCATCACCCATCCGCGGCATCCGGCGACTGATTTTTTCAAACGCCCGTCAAATTAGGAAGGCCCCCTCCATATTCGAGGCACGTGGTGGGAGACGTCCATGGCCAGTTCTGGGATTTGCTCCACATCTTGGAGCTCTGCGGAGCAACTTTGGCCAAGAGATCTTGATATAGTGGCCTGAATCCACGAGTGCTACCCTTCGTTGTGGTTCCTAGCCCAATAATGAGTCTAAGCAATATCCCCCTCAGGCCCATACAGGCCCTAAGCTACCCTAAACCCTAGAAACCTGAAGACTGAAACCCTAAACCCTACTACATGCTTCTCATGGCCCAGGAGCCGTCCTTGCAGAACCAGTACCTCTTCAATGGGGACTTCGCGCCTCGGAGCGCTTTTTAGGATTCTAAAGTTTTTGTTGTGAGTTTCTTACACGGTGGATTTTGTGTGAGTTTCGTAGATGCATGGCTTTGTGTAGGGGGTTTTTATGGTCCTGGGGCTGCATAAGGGCTTTATATCTGGCTTTACAGCGACTTCACAGGGTAGTGAAGGGCTTTAGCGGGGTCCCGGAATCTTGGGGGTTGGGTTCGTGTCACGGAGATCTTTGTATGACCCACATGGTTGATAGTCGCCTGCGGAACAGATTCATGCAGAACCCGACTCTGAGCCCCGGCTTTTGTTCGGGCATGCTGCCTTCAGCTTCACGCAGCACCCGAACACGCCAAGCCGACAGTTAGTGGGTCATTGCCATAGGGGGAACGGCAATTTGTGCCCTTGACGGAGGAGGCTCCCGCTGGTTTGCCGCCGGTGCGTGTGCGCGTGTGGACGGACTGACTAAGAAAAAATGCTCCATCTCCTGGCTTGCGGCCCCAGCTTACTTCTGACAGGGATCGCAGGAGGAAGAGCCTTTGGGTCGGAGAAGCGAGCTGGCTTGCCAAGTGACCCAAATCTAGCCCATGCTAGCTTGGGGGGCCCGGCTGGGCTGAGATGGCGGGAGGAAATATGCTGGGCGGAGAGCACCCGCGCCATTTAGCACCACCAGCACCGACCCCAAGCCCCAAACCCCAAACCCTTGAACCTTGCCAAAATGTGCTAACAGATGAAGCTTCGATCGCCGATGTGGTGTAGAAGGCGTCGGTGCTAGACCTTCTTGTGCTTCATACTTTTCTGAAAGGCCGTATCTGACCATATACAACCCTTAAAACCAGTTGTCAAACGGTATTTAACCACTATAGTCGCTATAGAACCAGAGAGAAAACCGGATACAACACCTCGAGCTTTTCCCTGTGCCCTGAGGTGGACCGCGGACAGTTTTCCGTTGAGGTGGCTTTGCTGCTGCTCGCGATGAAGGCCTGACTGACTTCCGTTTCCAAGGTAAATTAATATAAGTTAAATATACGGGCCTTAATTCCAGAACGGGGTTTTGGGGTATGTTATACTATTACTATCATATGCAGCCCTATGCACTTTAATTGTAACTATTCCGGCTACAGTATCCAGGATTTGCAAGTTTTCAGGTGTGTAAAAGTCTCCAATGTAACACCGAAACGAAGCTCTGCCGGCCCATGGGCTGAGAGCTTCAAGGTTTAGGGGTTTAGGGTTTAGGGGTTTAGGGGTTTAGGGGTTTAGGGGGTTTAGGGGGTTTAGGTTTTGGGTTTAGGGGGTTTAAGGGGAGTTCCGAGTACGTAGGTTCAGGGTTGGTTACACATTTTTAGGGGCCCTTGCGGCTTACTGGGGCTTTCCCTAGGTAACCTCAAAACGTCCAGAACCCGCAAAATCCGCAAATCCGCTACCTCAAACCCAAAGTCAAGCCCACTAGTTTACATAGTTTTTGGGGTACATGTCTACCAAGTCTACTCTAAGCATCTGCCCAAACATATAAGGACGCGGAGGGAATACTATGCCATCAACCTCAAACTCTTCGACCCTAACCTGCAAACCCTAAACCCTATAAACCTTAAACCATTAATAACTATTCCGGCCTCCATAGTGCCTGGTGCCGCCCAGGTCGCGGCACCCAAAGCCGTGCACCTGAACCGAGGGAACCACGAGCCTTTGCAGAATTGAAAAATAGTTTCTGGGGCCATAACTTAGTCATCACCCTCGGCCCTAAACCCTGCAGGGGCCTAGGGGCCAACACTGGTCTTGCTCCTGAGGGTTGTTTCTGCTTATTTCAGTCTACAAGAACCCCCCCCCCCCATCTCACCACCACAAAAACAAGAAAGCACAGAGTTATAAGCAGGGTAACTGTACTAATAACCCATATTGGGGGACTTATAACCCCACATATAACTACCCCTGAACCCTAAGCCCTTTACCGTCATAGAATCCCTATAGATCCCTCTAAAGGAACCCTACTTATACCTACCCCCTAAACCCCTAAACCCTAAGCATTGAGACCGCTATGGAGTTCGGCTCGAGACTCGGCCGAAGCCCAACGCTCCTTACATGGGGCGAAAGTCACGATTTCACGGTTTAGGGGTTTAGGGGGGTTAGGGGTTTTGGGGGTTTAGGGGAGCTCACGATACGAGGTTCGCTGAGGGTTCCCATCGATCCCATAGAGCTTCATCAGTCAGTGGTTTAGCACTCAGCGGGAGTAACCTTAAGCTCCCAACCGCCAAAGCCATGGACCCCTGAACACGAGACCCCTAGGGGTCGACATTACGCTTTCGGGCGAATCGCCGGCTTCATCCAAGGAGGCTGTCCGGATGAACTCGCTGTATGGCTTCATGCATCTCGGATGTCCATGGCCACAGAGTCCGATTCAGCCCTTGGAGGGAAGGCATGAGCTTCAATGATATCATTACTATAATTATTACTAGTATTTACTATTGTTACTATTGCTACCATTATTATCATTTCTAGTATTGTTACTATTGTGTTTTCCATTATATATAACAATATGTATATATATATATGTATGTATGTATGTATGTATGTATGTATGTATGCAGCTCCTTCTTGCGATTCCAGGGGTCGGGGGAAGCCTCGTGTTGTGCTGCACTCGTCCGTGAGCTCTGAAACTCCCCTTCGTCCCATGCAAGCCAAGTCCAAGCTTGTGGGTCATTGGGTTTGTTTAGTTCAGGGCACCCTAAACCCCTAAACCCCTAAACCCCAAACCCGAAACCCTAAACCCCTAAACCCCAAGCCCCAAACCCGAAACCCCGAAACCCCTAAACCCCAAACCCGAAACCCTAAACCGCTAGGGTTTTGGCTTCACGTCTTTGATGCTTTGTGAAGACTCGGGCCGAGGCAGGAGACCGAGCAGAAGTACAGCAACGAAGCTTCGCGGAACTGCGGATAGGATTTAGGGTTTAAGGGTTGAAGGTTTAGGGGTTTAGGGGCTTTAGGGCTTAGGGGTTTAGGGGTTTAGGGATTTAGGGGTTTAGGGTTCAGGGTTTAGTATGGCCTTTGATGCTCCAGTGGTTTTGTAGTATTGTCAAGAGTAGCCAGTGAAGCGATTGTATTCTTTGTAGGCCTTGAAGCATGGCGCAAGCAAGATATGGGGGCTTAAAAATAGAATAGGGTTTCGAGGTATAAAGTACTATCATCAGGAAAGGAGCCCTATGGCGTACTCATCCAGGCCGCTATAGTAAGATTCTGTCACGAGGAGCTTCCACCATCGCGACGTTTTGTCCCGACTCGTTCCCCTCATCCAAGGAACTGTTTCGCCAGTTTGCGGAAGCTTTCCGAAATCTGCCGCTGGCAACCCTTGTTTCTCGAAAGCAGATGAATGATTAAGGGAAGGTTTATTGCAAGGGGATTATGGGGTTACGGAAACATAGCTTACTACGTCACCGCAAACACGAAAGCATACTACTTACTACTTGCTCTGTGTCCCTATTATGGTTCTGTATCGTTGCTTGTTTTCAGTGCTCAAGTGTTTCCCAGCGCACCCGCAAGGCAAAGGGATGGCCAGCTGTGGGACCTTTGCGGTAGTAAACCAAATTGCACAGCAGTGCCACGATCCATAATTCAGCCTAGGCCATATAGATAAGTGTGAGTCTAAAAAATATGTACACGCGCATACACGCATGCTGGCGCCTTACCCTAAGATGTGCAACGCCCATTCGCGCTCACTGCTGGAATTCCCAGATTAGCGACTCCGTTTTCGTGGTCCATGGTGGCTTGAGCTCGAAGGCCCACACGTGAGCTTGGTTTAGGGTTTGAGGGCCTAGGGTTCAGGATCAGATGCCGAGAAGTAAACCACGTGTTTCGAGTTGAATGGTGAAGGATCCAGCCCAACTAGAGGATTCGGACGCTTAAGCGGAGGAAAATGAGAAGAGCTCGTAAAAGGAGGAACAAACCACCTCACTTTAAACGCTATAGTATGCCGATATAGATTGCAATCCCTAAACGCGCAGCCTTGCAGATCCCAGCCCCACCCCTACTGAAGCTTAAGCTCCGTAAGGGGGAAGCCCCAAGTAGGAGGACGAACTCCTGATTCCCAAGTCTTCAGACCTGAACGTTACTCTTGCTCCCCACACTCCTCGACTTCGGAGGAGGGACCCTCAAGTAAATTTCTATGGGGTTCTCAGAGTCCTTATCCGGAAACCTCCTGAAAGCACATCCCCCTTTTCCCCTTAAAGAGGCTTCAGGCAGCAGTGTGAGCAAAGCTTGCTGGGTTTCTCAAACCTTAGGGCCTCCATCTGCTCCGCGAGTCTCAGCCTTGGCTGTAGGACGGCGTGCGCCTCTCCGAGATCGCCGCACTGGACCGCAAGCGGGAGCCCGACGAGATTGCCGACCAGCTGATGCTGGCCCCTGGGCCCCAAGAGCTTAAGCCAGAGCCCAGGAATGAGCCCTGTGATGTCTGTACTGTGACGCTGCTTATACTTCGTGTGGTATGTGATATGATTGTCACATGCACTGTAATGATACGCAATGTATGTAAGCTGCACACAAGGAAGATTGAGATGCCGAAAGGATCCCAGTGCTTCACAGCCTCCGAACCGAGAGCCCTAGGCCCTAGACCCTGAATTAAGGAATAGCTTCAACACTCAGGTGAGAGCCTTGTGGACACGTTACACCCTTAAAGACACCATGAATCCCAACCCAGCCTCCATGAACCTACTCCTGAAAACCTTGAGCATCGCCCAGAAAGCATGTTTTCTCCCTAAACTCAGAAGCTGCAGCCCCAAATCCCAATCCAAGGAGCCCTTACCTCCAAGAAGACCCCAAAAACCCTCAACCCCAATTCGGGCCTGGGGGCCCTAGAGTTTTGGGGTTTGGGCCTCAAGCCCACGTGAGCCCCACGTTCCAAAGGACTTGCTCTGGTCTGACCCCATGGAGCGCGATGGCTACGCTCAGTCACCCCGAGGAGCCGAGTTAAGTTTCAGATGGTTCGGAAGGCTTGGGACCCAATGGTGCTATAATAAGACATCGTAGTTCAGACAGAGTCTACAATACACAATAGACACCATATTTCGCAGCACAGAGTCTACAATACCCAATACAGTGCAGCATAATGGGGCCTTGATTGGCACACACCAGGCGGCGGCATCCTTTTCGGACCCGATGTCACGGCGCGTGGCTCGTCGTTGGTTGGATGTCTCCTCTCTTTGAAGGACGAGTTCGCGAACATGTTTGATGGAAGAGGGGCAATCACATGTTGTTCCACCTGTACATATGCGCATATGAAATCGTTGTTCTACTACTTTGTATACCCATAACCAAAACCACAGTTTGCACTCACCAATCGCTGAAGGAGTCCTACATACGATGCTGCAAAACCTCAATATGTAACAGCAGAATATGAGAACTACGGTATATCTTGTCTGGTACAGTATCTCGATGAAGGTACATGCATCATACTGCTATGTTCTACAATGCGGCCTGCCAAGGCTTTTGCGAGCAGAACGGCCTCTCGTGCGTCATCCGGTCGCACGAGATGAAGTCGGAGGCCCATTGAGATCCTAAACCTGAACCCTGAACCCGAAACTCTATACCTCAGGCACCTACATAACCCTAAGCCTGAAGCCCTGAAGCTGAAAACCCCTTCTTCGGAGCCACGGAGAGATCCCAACCAAGCCGTCTTCAGGGTTGAGGATCTCTAGGGTTTGGAGGTTGGGGTCTCGGGTACGGGTAAGACGATGTGAGACCGCAAAGCAAGCTCTGAACGGTGCGGTGTTTAGGTTTTGGGGCCTTTCAGGGTTTAGGGTTGAGGGCCCAAAACTCCAAACCCCATAATGTAATCCACTACAAGACAAAATAGTATAGTAGTAAAATACATCATATCAAAAGTCCAGACCCTGCACCCCAAGATTTAAGATCAAAAGCACTGTTGCAGGGCTACGAATGGCAGCGGATGCGCCGATGCCTCACCATCTTCTCTGCCCCGTGCCTTGGGTCGCAGATAAAGAACAGAAGAATAATGCAACACATATCGTCATGCGAACAGTAGCAACTGTAGCAGCACTATTGCTGAAGATAGTTTTAAATTTTCAAGCCGTGATCTGAACAGCAGAGCGAACCACGAAGCAACAGATTGCCGGGCTGAGAATGGCGGGTAATGAGTGTCGGAAGAGTGATACGGTTGGTGATATAAATCCTGCATTACCTTAATCTCGGCCTCAGCGGAGTCAAACCCGGGGAAGAATAGCAAGAGTCACAGGGCAACGGTTCACATCAGAGAAGTAGTTGCAAGAGCAACCGCACTGGTACTAGCGCAAGGAAGGGCACTTGTACACATTGTGTGTGTGAGTGAAACCAAGATAAAAACGTTAGAAGATTCATGCCAGCAGTGCTTGTCAACCTTGACTCGAAGGTGGCTTCTGGATGTAGGGTTTTCGGTTTCAGGGCTTGTCAGGGCTTTCATGGGATTCTGAGGGGGTCAAACAAGACAAACTTGGGGGGTTGGAGGATGGGGGCTTTAGAGTTTAGGGTCCGGTGATCCGGCGGAGGGAAGCTGAGGCCGACTTATGGCTTGATGTTATAAAGTTATAAATCATGCATTAGATGTTATGAATCCTGCATTACCTTAAGGATCCCAGACTTTGGGAATTATGGTATATTCCTTATTATGGATTTATGGGTAATGCAGATTTATATCATCAACCGTATGGCTTGTCTCTTCTAGACTTTGTACAGGGAAGCCTAGCTAGGGTTTGGGTTGTCAGAGTCTCCACTCGGAAATTGCTGGACGTCAGGGGCTTGGGGCCTGCTAGTCTTAGTCTTTGCATGCCGTAGCAGAAATCGATCCGCCACACCCTTCTTGGAGGTTCAGGGGTAGTTCTAAGTAGGGTTACAAGTCCCTTGATACGGGTTATAAGTATAGTTACCCTACTTATAGCCCTACTTATAACTACCCATGAACCTCCAAGTTGAGGGCCTGTAGAATCCCGAGCCCTAAACTCGGATCTGAGACCCTAAACCTTAGACCCGCGTTCTGGAGGAACTACTGCGACATGTGCGGAAATCTTGGAGCAGTCTGCGACATCCAGGCAGGTACGTACAGCTACCGTGAGTTTTGACATTACATTACAAACTCTTACTACACAAATGCCGACAACATAAGAACAGATGCTGTTGTAGCGGCAGCGGCAAGAATTGCTGCGCGGGTGTGGTGCCCTTCCCTTCGGTGTGCTAGCTTCTGAAAGCTAAGCTGGATGTTTCCTACAAGTTTGGGCAGCCCAACTTTCCACCCTTGACGCTCTAACATAGACCTCATATTCTGTAAGAAAGGGGCTTAAATAATTACCTATACTATCTTGGGGGTTCCTTATTATAATTTGAGTCTAATGGGCCCCAAAACCTTACTCTAATTATTTTAAAGGCCCCTATATTAGGGCGTCCTGTTACGGTTTAAGGAATGTTTTAGAAGCTGCCCCCACCCTTTAATAGTGACTATTAAGGATTATATTAGGGCCCTATCATATTCCTATTATGCCACTATTACAGGGTGGGGGCCCCTTCTAAGGAATGTTCCTCAAAGGGTTGGGTCTCTGTGGGCTCTCGGAGATGAGTCGAAGGCAAAGCCTGGACGGAAGCGCATCGCGGTGCAGGGCCAAGATCTGTTCTACGGTTGATAATAGAAATCCTGCATTACCTTAAAGACCCTAGACTATGGGAATTATGGTAGGTTCCTTATAATTAGTATGGGTAATGCAGGATTTATATCATCAACAGAAGGAATGAACACAGTTATGCAAACGGATTTCTGCTGGAAGATGTCTGATAGAGTGGTCATATAAAGGGTTCTGACTAATCACAGCTGCGGCCGATAGCAGGGTTGTTGTTCTGCCCTTTTGGTACAAAAAACGACAACCCCTCTCTTGTTCTACCGGCTTGCAGGAATAACGCCTCCTCGTGTAGAAGTGTAGAAGCAGCTTGCAGCAGCCAGCAGCAGAAGTAGCAGTAGTGGTAGCGATAGCAGCAGCGGTAGCAGTAGCGCAAGCAGTCGCAGTAGCAGTAGCAGTCGTAGTACAGGAGTTGGAGAAGGAATAGGGGTCGGAGCAGGAGTCTGTGTGGGGGTTGGAGTCTGAGCAGGAGTAGGAGTAGTGGTGGGGTTGGGGTGCAAATTGCAAACATGCAGTCTAAACATACATTCAAGCTCTATTAAATTTTAAGTTCATACAAGGCCATACAAGACCATTATACTGCGGGCCCGTACATGGTTCCATGCCGTTGCGGGCCTGGTCGGACGAGGGCAAAACAGGGGGTAATAATCAACATAGAATAGGCTTTATGATGTAGTCCTAATTGGTAAACCCTGCTTATTCAGAACATCTATCTGAGGTGGACGATCTCAACGTCCGCACTTTCGAATTCTCGCCGCACCCGGACCCTAAGTTGCAAGATGTGTCACGGGCGGCTTGCTGCTATGATCATGATTATTGGGTTCTTCGTTTTGCATGCTCATAAACAAAAAGCTGCCATACTAAGCACTCTTGGCGTCATAATAGTAGCTATCATTTGTACTGTTGCTAATGCTGCTCCTGCTGCTGCTGCTGCTACTGGTACTGCTACTGCTACTGCTACTGCTGTTGCTGCTACTACTACTACTACTGCTGCTGCTGCTTCTTCTACTACTACTACTACTACTACTACTACTACTACTAATACTATTCTTATTATATAGTATTATCACTAGTATTGTTATTATTACTACTACTGCTGCTACTACTACTACTACGACTACTACGAGGATGATGATGATGATTGTTATTGTTGTTGTTGTTGTTGTTGTTGTTGTTGTTGTTGTTGTTGTTGTTGTTGTTGTTGTTGTTGTTGTTGTTGTCGTTGTTGTTGTCGTTGTTGTTGTTGAGCGCTTCGTGGTCTTCGTCTCAGCCCCTAGAACCACTGATTCCTCATCCTTGGTGTCAGGAGGAGCCACACACGTCCAACCTCATGTTCCGGCCGTTCTGCTGACAGGACCCAGCCTTGCAGTTTTTTGCAGTACCATAAGAGGTGTGGGATTCAGGCTGATTCAGGGTCTTTGGGGTTCAGGGGATGAGATGAGAATGAGTGTGCTAGTCTAGAGTTTGGGGTGGTTTGGATGGCGGAGGGTGGGACCCTGAACCGAACTACGATTGGAACGTAAGGGCAACCCTCAAGCCCAAAGATGGTTCGGTTGGTTTTGGTCAACAGCGCTGACAGTAATCGAAAGGTCTCGAAGTCCACGGCACATGGGCATGCTTCGTGCAACACTTGGTGCCTTGATGCGAACGGCTGTCTACAGAAGGCTTGCCTCAGGCTGGTTGCGTCATCTTGGGTTCATTTCTGTGTTGAGTGCCTCATTTTCCGCTGGCTGGTTGTCTACACAGTTCAGCTTGGACGCACATCTTGCACAGGAGTGGTGCTGGAACCTGGCAAGTCTCACTGCAGATGAGGAGAAGCACCTTCCACCCCGAGTCCACCCCACACTTCCAAGCTTCCACGGAGCATCTCGCAAGCTTCGGTGCTTCCCGTGACTCGCGGGGTGCTACGGATGTTCTCGGAAGCTGCTTCCGCATCTCTAAAGAATTCGAGCGCTTGCAAGATACCAAAGAGGGGTACGAACCGTCCAAGGTCCAGAAGGGGGCAACAGGGTCTCGTCTACCAAGGATTCTGCTCGGCTTAGCTCATCTTCTATTTGAGCTCGTCACTTGTTGGCTGTTTGAGGCTGAATGCCAGCTTGCACAGGAGAGTCATCACCTGACAACAGCAACGCGGAATATAAATGTTTTGTTTGTTAAGACGCATGAGCACCAGTCATCACCAGTACGCTGATTTTTGGGACGGTTCTGGTTCGCCGCAGTACTCCAAGCGGTATTTGCACAAAGAGGCATTTCCAAGCGCTGGTGCTGCTGCAAGCTCAGTGGTTCGTTCTTCGCAGCTGAAGGTCGTCATGAATGTACATCAAAAGCACCGTTGCAGACATGATGACTAGTTTTATCCTAAAATGCACTTGTTACATATTACATATAATATTTGGTTAGTTCATGATATTTCATAGTATAATTGTATATACACACCATTTTTTTCAATACAACATCTGGCCTGAGAAAATCAGCGAGGCTCAGCACCAGACTTGGGGTAAGGCCTCCGCAATTGTTCAGGCTTTGCACGCGGTTTGGGGCAAGTCCTCGATTTTGACTCGCTGTGCAGACGGGCTCGGTCCGTGGAACCGGACTTCCTAAGCCCTAAACCCTAGAACCTAAACCCTAAACAGAACCTCACACTGTGTGTGTCTTTTTTGATCTTTGAGGTCCCACGGTGTCGACAGCCCAGAGTGCCTGTTCAGCGAAGATTCCTAGACTGGGCGGGCCCTGTCAGCGGGAGCCGGCTACATCTCCTCCTGGCAGTCTTGCTTCAGCATGGTGAAATGCCACGAGAATATGCTACTTGTATTTAGGACCAGAGAGCCAAATCGTCCGCAAGCATGCGGGGTGTCCTTCTTCAGCATGCTGCCTGGAATCTTTGCTTCAGCCTTTTTCCCCTAGCTCGCGTCGCTGGTGGCAGGGTCTAGCATCATGAAGCTATACTGCAAAGGGAATGGCTCATTAATTGGGATAACCATCGGCAGGGAGTCGAGAACCATTAACCCCAAATCCAAAACCCTTCCACTCGACAGTACTGGCGGAGAGAGGGCGGACAAAACGGAACCTTAAATCCTAAACCTGCCGGTTTCGTTGTACTGAATGCTTCTTGCCGTCTCGCACCTGAGCAGCATTGTGATAGATGCAAGCTCCACCCAAACTTCTGTGTTTTCGTAGCCGTAGCCCCGACTTTGATGAAGCATTTGCTGGTCGACATTAGACCCTTATGAATAAAGCCCACTGGAATCCACAATACATCGGAACCTTTTTTTGATTCCCTAAGCCCATGGAGAAGTTGAACGTCGGTGCTCCAGAACCCATGCATCAAAACCCTGCGACGGTGACTGCCCACAAAGATGGGCCCTATTTATTTCGGCTCGCTGATCAGGGTCTGCCAGAGAGGCAAGGGGCACCTGACCTAAAGTATCCCCGTAGAGCTATCGGCTACGGGGTTTACTGCAACCCTAAACCCTAAACCCTAAAGGCACCGCGCCCGGCGGTCTTCGCTGCTCGGCAGATCCTTGCAAATGCTTGCAGCATTCGATGAATGTGGCCATTTTCGCGCGAAGGCTCCGGAAGCCAGGCGCAAGAAAAGAGGGACAGACGAGTATTACCTCATTCGGGTACTGAGTGGGATCGCTCTTGGGCGGGACAGTCGAATGCCAAGAGTATCGTATGTAAGTATGTACGTAGGTAGGATTGTATGTATATATGTATTTATTTATGTATCTATGTATGTATGTAGGTAGGATATACACAGTTACATAGTTACATTGAAGTATTCTGCGAACTTGCATAGCGCACTGGATCAGAACGTGTCGCCCCTGTCCCTTGTGCTGCTTCCTATCGTGGATGTTGCTGAGGCCGCAGAGCTGGTTCTGAGAGCGCGCGACGAGGGCCTGCAACGAATCGGCTCAGCGAAGAGTCTTTCCAGGTCATCGGTTTAGAGTTCATGGCTGAGGCTTTAGGGGTTGAGTGTGATTCTTCAGTGCATGTGATTTAGCTTCCGTAGCATAATTAGTAGCCTATCGGCCAGATGCTGCGGCCACTAATGACGCTGAAAGTGATCCGATCGTGGCGGAGCCGTCCGGAAAGCAGTGGAGGACCGCGTCCGACTTTTCGCTGGGCAGCCTTCGTGCCACAGCAAAAGATCGTGCAGAACCCATGTTTGGGGTCAGAACCTGGGGCGTATCGTTTATTGAAAAGCAATTCCTGAACCTTTAGGGCCGCTTGTGATGAGTCTTCTGCTTGCAGGAAAGATCTTACTTAAAGGAGCCCTTGTCGAATCCAATATAACACTTTCCCAAACAGTACAGCACCCTGCACCGTGTATTCCTCGGTTAGGGAAGATTCCGTAAGCTCAGGCTCTCCAGGAGGCTCCAAGTATCCTCGTAAGGGACTTGGATTCCACGGACCTTTCCCACCCTTTTTTCGGGTTATTAGGGCTCGTTTTGAGGGTTCAGGGTTTAAGGGTTGAGGGTTGGGGCTTCAGGGTTGAGGCCGGAAGATGCAACAAACGCTGACAAGGCAGGTAGACTGTGCACAGCAGAAACCGGTGCACCTCTCGCAGCATTGCGCCAGTCAACTGCAGCCAGAAATTTGCTCAGAGCATGTGGAGAGAAGCCGAATGTTGCTGCAACATGTGCTGCAGATAAGCAAGAAGCCTTTACACGAAGCACACTTGCGTACTCGCTGAGTTGCGTTCGCACACCAAGGGTTGATGATTCTATGAGGAGCACTCGTGGCATCCCCCCTCAAGGTTTCATTCCATCTCATCCGACTCATGCTTAGCCGCACCTGCACACCGGCTTGGAGGCTCATGCCATCAACCTCACACAGCAAAATCGAAGTGAATTCAGATACTTCAGGGCGCGTCTTGCATGCCAGCCAATGGGGCCAGTTGCATTGCGAGGAGGCAGGACGGAAGAGACCACTGTCAGGTTCGACTTGAGCAGTTGGGTTCTACTGCCAGCATACTACTAGAGCCGCGGATTCGAGGACCTGCCATGGTCTTGCCTGCAGGTTTCCTGTGTGGTGAAGGCTCTTGCAAGCTGATTCGGAGACGGAACAAGTCTTGCGGCGTGTTGCCTTGAGAAAGTCGAGCCGTCTTGGGCTACACGTGGTGCTAGTGCAGAGTAGATTGGAGGCGTCGAGACAGGCAAGGTTCTGTCCGCATCCCATCTCTGCCACAGGTTACTGGTCCTGTTGCGAGGGAAGTAGCCTTATCGTACCTCTAAGCGCTAAACCGAAAGCCCTAAACTTAAACCCAAACATCTTCAAACCGGCAGGAGGCCCCCCAAAGCCCCAAAGAGATGCTTGGCAGCCTCCCGAACAACCCTAGGTTTTCGTGTTCCGAGAAGCCTAGGTCTACCCCCTGACTTCGGAGGATGTGTGAAACAAAAAGTCTACCTTAAGTTGGATATGAACCGCTGAATCACAAGGCCTCTGAACGCGAAAGATTGGAAGCCCACAACCCCGAACCCCTGAATCCTTAAACCCTGAGTCCTAAACCCTAAACTTCCTATGCCCTAAACCCTACAGTTCATAAACCCCAAACGCTGAGCCCCTTCTACCCTGACCCCTCTTTCTCTTGGGGCCCTGCCGGGAGCCGCGTCTCCCTGCCTTTCGCAGGCCTGGGATGGAGGCCGGGCGGTCGTTTCCTTCACAGGTCGGACTTAAAAGAGTCAAGTCAGAAACTGTCTGACCTTATGCAACATGGAGTGCTAAACAGCAGAATCTGTATTTCACAAGCCATAACACCGACCGGAAATCGTAGGTCCGAGGTAATCTGGGTTTAGCGTTTTGCCGCGCCGTGAGGTTTCCCAACGCTTGGGCGTCTTGAATTGTTTGAATGGTAGAGGTTTTGAGTTTAAGTGCATCTCCAGGTATGGTGGCCTTAACGATGTCTGGACGGGAGAACTGGGAATGGGCAACAGTGTAATTTGGGTGGGGCGGATGAATAATGACCAATACTATTCCGCAGTTTATCAGCGTACAAAGTTTCAACACACGAGAGCTGTGTAGGCTCTGTACATATATATATATATATATACATGTGTAAGAATTACATGTCTGGCATGTCCCGCAGTGCTGCTAGACCTCCAAGCTTCCTGAGAGTCTTTCTGGGAATTGGCGGGTCTGTTCATCCGTACGTCCTCTACACCCTAATCCCTAAACCTCTATAAGCCCTTTATACGTATGGTTGCGCATCGGCGGCCTCCCCCCACCCCCTCCCCCCCATAAGCCCAAAAGGTTGTGTTGCACCCTCATTACCCATCATTGCGCAAAGGGGCCTACTTCTAGCAGTGGCTTCACTGGCTGCGCCGGCTGATCAGGTGGCACCATGGGCTTCCAAGTAGGGTTTAGGGTTTACAAGTGTTTGGGGTCCCCCAAAAGTATGTAGAGTAATGGCCTTTTATAAGTCTTGGGCCATTATTCTACCTACTCTTGGGGGTCTAGGTCTCTGATGGTGCTTTCTTGAGAGAAGTAGAAGATTTCCTTGCAAGACCCAAGGCCAAGTCCGTTTCCGCCTTTCGAGCTCCGAATGCAATGCTTGGTGTGTGGCATCTGAGTCCCGCCCTTCCGGAATAGCAGGAATGTGCATGACCTATGTGTGAACATATCAACAAAATCTGTAAATATGTTCATACGAGCAAACCATGGCCAAAAGCTGCCTTTCTCCGAAGATACATGGTCTCTCTCAGACACCCTCGCCGAAAAGAAAGTCTCCACTTCCCTGGTCGCCGAGGTTGCGAACTCCGGCTTCTGGGATGCGGTGTACGCGCAGCCCCCAGAGTTCCCGGCTGCGATTTCCTGAGTTCCCCCCGCCCACGCAGACAAGCCGAGGCCGAAAGTGCGCGCGCCGGCGTGCAGGAGAGCCTCGGGCCTTGGGCTTGGTTGGGTCATGGCGAGACTAAGGGCGTTTTCAGGCTTCCTTGCGTCAACAAAGCAGCCATACGCGGTCCTGCCTGCCCCAGTCCCTAGGTCCCCAGAAGCCATCGAAGTATTAGTGCTATTATTATTAGTATTCTTTTTTTTGTTTCTTATTTTTACTCTTGCTAGTGTTTAGACGCGTAGGCTTGGGGATCTCAGACGGTTGCTGCTGCTTTATCGTGGCGCGAAGCCTCGGAAGCAGGACTTCAACGCGTCCTGGCAGGGCCTCACGGCGAGCAAGCTGCTTGAAGCGCCTCGGAGCTGAATCTCCTTGAACCCACTGTTCTCATCATTTTCGTCTATGCCGGGGCTTGAGGCTTCTGAGCGACTTTTCAAGGATGCTCGCAAGTAAATGGCGAACGATTCAGAATACGCACTGTGTATGCACGACTAGCTACCTATGAAGCGTCAGTGAAGGAGCGGCTGTGACCACGGGCTTGAGGTGCGAGAGTGCCCTTCTAGTCTCGATCTAGTATTGCTCCACTAAACACACAAGTCCTGTTCCAATTTCTTGGGGGACCCCAGTGTCGGCCAGGGGACCCTCAGCCGAAGTCCAAAACAAGAGCCTAAGAAACAAGCACCAAAACCTCAATCCGGCACCCGCAAATAAAGCCCAAAGTCGATGCCACAAACCCTGATCTTGAGCCGTATTCCTTATGCAACGACTGTCTTCTGATTATGGTCTAGCTGATATCCCTAAACCCTAGACTTAGACCCTGAAGCCTAAACCCTAAGTCAAAGCATCTTCGAGTCTCTGAGTGTTTCGACGAGGTGCTTGACGGGCGTCTCGAGCTCCGAAAGGACCGCAGCTTGCAGAGTTCGAGGCCTTATGAGGCTTTAGGGATTTTCTGTTTCAATTCTGTAGGATTTAGGGTCGCGAGCAATTGGAAGAACGTGTGAATGCACCTCGTTATAGATGTTCCAGGTTTACGCACCCGTGCGCATAGAAGGTCAAGTACACGGATTAGATATGACCTGATTCGGCGCAACCTTTCAGCATTTGGTGGTGTTATTATCATGGCTATTGTGTGTGTGTATATTTTTCCATGCTGTGCCAGTAATATTATTGTTATGTACTGGTTGAGACTGCGATGCCCCTATTGCCATAACTTCTTTCAGTGTAACCCTTGAACCCTATAGGCCCTATAAACCCTATAGACCCTATAGACCCTAGAATCCCTGTAATAGACCCTATAGACCCTATTAACCCTATAGACCCCAGAATCCCTGTAATAGACCCTATAAGCCCTATAAACCGTTTCAAGCCTGAACCCTAAAGCCTCCTTTGCCGTCCCGAGGAGCTCCGCCTTGTCGTCTTCGGAGCCGGCGATACGTCGCTCTGCCAGGAGCGCAGGATTTCTGGTGGTCTGTAGTGTAGGGGCCTTAACAATTAGAATAGGGCTTAGGGTTGTATTATATATCAAATATTCATGAGAAGGAACCCCCCAAAACCCTATTCTAATTGTTAAGGCCCCTACCTGATGGAGTGTACACATGAGTGTCTAGGGTGCTTGGGAGCCCTTCTAGGCTAGTCTGGTTCTTTTGGATGGAGGGGTTTAGAATGGGCTCCGACGTAGACTCCAGGTTCACGGGGGAGTCCACTTATCGCGTATTGAAGGATACAATTCGATTCGTGGAGGTCTTGTTTATGAACCAAGTATAACAAAACCTTATACGAATAAGGGCACACTCTAAGTAAGCATTTATATAAGCAAGAATCAGACCGTTTTGTTATCCGAAAACGATCCCGTCGCAGCATCTGCGGCAGCTTGGGTCAGGAGCTCGTGGAGAGGGGTCTCGCGGCGGTCACTGCCGGGAGCTCTGTGCAGCAGAGGAGCAGAGTGCTCTGTAAACAAAAAGACAGCTGCTTGCATGCCATGTTTCTTGCAGAGACTGTTCTAGGCCAGGCTCCTCTCGCTTAGGGAATGCAATAGCGTCTTGATGCTGTTACCAGGGCCAGCTACTACGAAGACCGAGGCAGTGGACTTCAGCTCCACATTGTCGCAGCAGAGGCCTGTCTTTCGGATGGGAGTGTTAGTATCGGGGCAGACGCAGCATGGTGCCAGCTGGATATCCAAGTAGCGCTGACAAGCAAGGCACATCTGGCTGGCATCCCCTGCAAACCCTTGTTCACATTAAGCCGTAAACCGCAAACGCCCGAAGGTTAAAAACACCCCAAGCGCTACTATGCGCGGCTGGGAGCCTTTGCATGTGTGTGTGTGTTGTCTGCAAGATGCGACTGTTCCGTCGCGCGGAAGGCCGCAATTGCACGCTGTGCGATGGCTGGTCGAGGAGCCATCGGATTAATTGAATAGTATAATTATCGTATATATTATCGCATATCAACGCTGCCATACTGCATTTTGTACTGTAAGTGGTCCGTCGGCCACTGTCATGCCTGGAGCGCAAAGGAAGCATTCTATTAAGGAAACTGATGATGCTTCCCAAGACACGTCTTCCGTCATCAGTCATGCTTACATGTCTTGCTGCTATCCATGGTAGACAAGGCGAAGTATCGCACCTTCAAAACTGTGCAGGAGCTATGCATGCCTTCCTGTCTCGTTCATGTGCCCATATCCCTAGCCAAACCCAGGACTCTAAACGAAGCCCTGAACCCTGAGCCCGAAATCCTGAATGATACATCTTCAACGTGAAGCCCGACATTCCAAGCCCGAAGCCCGAACCTTAAGTTCCCAAACCCTATGTCCCTTGCAGAGATCGCAGGATGTTCGAAAGCAGACGCCTTTGCCTCAGGAATCCCATGCCATTGACAGATGGGGTTTTGGGGTCTATTGTGGTATAGTGCCCGCTAAGGGGACACTCGTACCGGCTGCCCGACTCTCCTCAAGAATTGTGTTCATGGTCGTTCTTGTGTTTCTGTTATGATATGGGGTTAGGTTAGGTATTACCTGACACCACGGGGCCACTGCTTTTCTTTTGGGACTGCTGTTGTGTTGCTGCTGGTGTCACAACGGTTGCTGTCTTCATGGTGGTCCTTGCTTTTAATGAGGCGTAGATTCTTTTGAGATTCTTGTGGACATTCCCTAAACCTCAACCCCCTAAACCACTGAAGAACATAATATATATAGAGGTCTTAATAATTACCTATACTATTTTGGGGGTTCCAAGACGCCATTCTAATTATCAAGGCCGCAAGAACAAAGACCCCTTCTCTCTGTTTTTTGAGGTCCCTCGAGGCCTCCTCGTTCGACGCCGTGCTCGAGCTCGGTACGCTGCTGGCCTAACGAAGAACTCTCCTCTCGCAGTTCAGGGGTTTGGGGCTTCGGTTCTTAGGTTTCGGGTTTTAGGTTTCGGGCTTCAGGTTTCGGGTCTTCAAGAATTTTGATTCCCTGTGGACCTGCAGCTATGAAATCCGAAAGACACAGTCCTAAAACTTGCAGGCTCCTATGAAGCCCTCTGGAACCTGAGGGCTTTTACTCTTGCTAGCGCTCAAACCCATGACACGAGGTTAGACACAGCCGCTGCTGCAGCCGGGGACGGGGTGCGGGCCCCGATGACTGTTTGGCATCTGGATGTGCTTGACAATGAAGAGATAGTAAAGATATACTAACATCATCTAACAGCACTAAGACTGTACATATACTGTAATTCGACGTTAACGCTTTTATACTAATGGTATCTTAAGGTATATGGTGTGTCCTCATCTTCTGAAGACTCCCCTGGCGTCAGTGTCCTCATATACCCCTTCGTCTCCATTCAGGAGTGCCCTGTAGCTCCTATGCGAGAACACATAAGACTACAAGGGAGATTTCCGAGTCAAACCCATGCGCCGAGCGATCTGAGCTCTGTCTCTCTCCACTTACCTTTGGTTAGTAGGGAATGGAAAAATGGTAGTAAAAGTAGTTACTTAGTTATAATTGTACCCCATTCCTCCATTCCCCACTAGCCAAAGGTAAAGATCCCTTAACGGAACCCTAAACTCCTATAGATCCCTTTAAAGGAGCCCTATTCCCCACTAACCAAAGGTAAGTCTCTCTCGAATCTTCCGAGGCGCCGGGCCTCATCCGCGAGGCTAGGAGGCTCCTCCGCGCCGGAGGCTGCCAGTGGTGTCTGCGGCCCGAGAAAGAGGGCAGGGTTTTCTAGGGTCTACTGCAAACGTGGCAATTTAAATGTGACGATGTGAACAGGTGATTAGGAGTTTTTTTGACATTGGTGCCAGTGATTTCTTCGAAAATCCTTTAATTGCCGGATTTGGAATTTTGTGGGCCGCTGTTTTCCGCAGCTCCCTTCTGCCTTCTGCTTTGAGTGGAAAGGCACCTCGTCAGACACTTCCCTCGCAAGCAGAGATGCTCGTGTAGTTCGAGTCGATGCAATATCGCTTTCTGTCCCTCGAACACTCTCACGGGAGGCTTCTGCCGGAAAATCCCCTTTCAGCAATGCACCCCAAGCCTTTCAGCCCCTCCATGCCCAAAACCCTTATGAAACCCCTTGAATTTGTTTTTCGGCCCTTGGGAGAACCCATGGGTTCAATGACTCTTCGAGCTTCATGGCTCTTAAAGGATTCCCTTGAGGAAGCCCGTTTTGTAACTTTGAGCAGGACTCTTCATCTCGGCGTCCATGGCTCCGCCAGAGCTCGGCCCTCACGGGGGTTTAGGGTTTAGGGAGCGACGAAAGAGGGGCCTTGAGACGAGAATATTCGGGTGTTTTGGGATGTTTCGGGTATAGTTTATAAGGAAACTGGGTTCCTGGATACATCACAGGGCATATGCTTCTAGATTACGTCAATCTCGAGGGTTTCGTCAAACTAGGGGGCTTTCGATGGGTTCTTTGGGGTTTGTATGCGTTTCGCAAGCGGCTTGCGAGGTTTTTGGGTCAACGAGGGTTTGCAGGAAATCTGCGTGGGCTGTTGATGAGGATGCATCCGCAATACGACAACAACTGCTTCAGCAAGTATGTCAGCGCAAAGGGACGGAAGCGCGCAAGGACCTGTGGCTAAGAAGCTGCAAGGTAGAAAACTGAAGGCCGAGCTTTGACTGTTGCGGCCCAGTTGCGGCTCAGACGTGGTCTCTGGACTCAAAGCACTCCGAGGTTTCGGCTGCCGCTCCTGGCCGAGCATCCCGCTGGAGGCGGGCCCTCTGAGACGCCGAGGGATGAATCAGAATGGAGTTTTTTTCGATTTCGGGCTTTGGGTTCAGGGCTTCAGGGTTTCAGGTGTCCGATGATGGCAGAGTTTCTGCAAGAGAGGGCCTCACCACAGACCCCGTAGCGGAGTCTCTCTGCAGCAGGTTGGGCCGACGACGCAGAGGTCCTCAGGCTATCCCGGCACTCTGAGCCGTTTTTTGCTAGGCGACATGTGGTGCAAAGTTGACTGACGGATTTTGCGTGGGCCGTGATGAGCTGCCATTGGGTGTCGGCGTTGGTGGTTTCATAACCTGCGTCTGCTTGCGGTCAGTCTGGTCCGAGGATAAAGAACCCAGGGAGCCCAAGAACAGCAAATCAGGATTAGACACCCTGTGCAACTAGTAACTAGTGTCTGTGTATATGTATATATACACACACACGCGCTGTATGCCCTATCAACCCCCCAAAACTCCGCTGCAGAAGCCCAACTGTGGGTTGTTGGGCTCTGTCGAGCCTGCATCAACCCCCTAGCACTATTCCAGAGACCCTTGAGGGAACCCTCAAAAGAACCCTGGACCCTAAACCCTACATTAAACCCCTAAATCTCTAAATGCCTAAACCCTAAACCCCTTAACCTTAGATCCCTAAGCCCCTAAACCCCTAAACCCTAGATCCCTATGAACCGTTAGCCCCCAAAGCGCCAAGTTCCGCAGGCTTCCGCGTCTTCTTGAGCTCGTTCGGGCCTCGGAGGAACAGGCGTCAAAGTAAGGTCTCCTTTCTTAGGGACCCACGAAGCACATAAGCATAAGCATTTTATGGGGATATCCCTACCTTATTGGCCTTCCTTTTAAGGGGGTTTATATGGGATATCCCTACCCGTATTTTTGCTTATGTGCTTTTTTGGGGCCCTACGTTCGGGGCGCCTCATTTAAGAAGGGGGTTCTGAGCCTATCTTGTAAAGATATACTGTAAGGGCTCCTTTTAAGAACAGAGGGTCTAGTAAGGATATACAAAAAGAGTTCCTTGAAAGGTGGCAAGACAGGCTCCTTTAAAGGTTTTGTACGGTTTAAGAACCCCCTGGGATGAGAAGCGTCGTCGACGTTCTTGTAAGAGTGCTTGATCCTGCGTTTTTGCCTCTGAGCCCTAACCCCTAAAGCCTCAAACCCTCAGCCCCTAAACCCCAAACTCTAAACCCTATGGATCGGTAAAAAAGCCTTCCGCTAGCGCGGATTCTGCTGACCTTGACTGCCAGGCGGAAAAAGGTGCTCCAAAAAATCCCTATGCCTGTACCCCAAACCCATATACTATACTGTAATACAGTATACTGTACTATACTATAATGTAATACAATATGCCCTACCTGTAGCCGAAAAGACCTACCTTTTTAAGGAACTCTATGTAGAAAGCATAATAAGGAACCCTAAACAGGTAGGTCTTTTCGGCTATACCTAAACCCTGAAACCCCCAAAAGAGCTGAGGACCCGAGGGTGAAGGACTTGGATCCAAGTTGGGAGGCCCGGGACCTTGGCTTTTCTTCCGTGAGGTGGAAAGGAGGTCTACTATAGGCGCCTAAATCATCATTCTACACTATTTTTAAGGGTTCCTTATAATATATATATATATATATATATATATATATATATATGGTCACGCCCCCCCCCATGATCCATACCATGGTTTTTTCTACCTCCTGCTGCTCATGCTTCGATTTCTACATGACTTCACCTACATACAAAATCATCGGTATTTGCGGTATTTTCTGCACCTAGCATCTACTTAGCTCTACATGTTGTAATTTGTTCTCACATGTTATATCCCCACGAAACCCGAAACGGATTCTGATTTCACTTTCGGGCTCCGCTCTTCCATCCAAAACCTGGCACTCCATGTTTCAGGAGGCATCACCGGTGGTTGTGCAAAAACTTCAACATGTTGCCTGTCACTGTCGCCATGTTTTGGTGCCGATGCCAATACTCAAACTGGCAGCTTCGAATCTTCCTGGTCATTGCCTGATTGCCTGGAAAGCGTGACACATACTTCAAGTGTGTTCATAATATTATAGTACTAACGCTAATACTACTACTAATACTTATCACAATATTTATACTAACACCAATATTTGCAATAGTATTGATGCTCCTACGAGTACGAATACATAAACTCTTGTGGTGTTAACAATAATGCTATCACCAACACTGATACGGATATTGATAATCTGTTGAATATTCATGAATGCCAGTACTGTTACCAGCATGAACACTTATATTATGGCTAATACGACTATGAATAGTCTTAGTTCTAATATCAACATCAATACTCCTGCGAATACCAATAGTATATTCGTATTGATATGAATACTAATCTCTTTACTAATAGACACCTGCATATACTAATGTACATAAAAATACATACCACTATCTTAAGATACAGATATATACATTAGTGCATTCATGTACTAATGTTTTGGCATAAACATATACCCATATACCAATGTAATAATATACTTCCCGTTAATGTATGATTATACTATACTAATATGCGAGTATACTAATATACGACTACTGCAACATGCAAGTATACCGACCTGACAAATTAGTAGACTAATATGCCAACATACTGATATACTTGTGAATATGACTAGACAATACATGAATATAGCACACATACTAGTAAACTAATACACCAATATACTAGTGTACTCGTGCACCAGTTGTACTAACATATCAAATATACAAGTATACAAGTATACAAATATGTTACTGCTCGAATGCATTAATAATATATTGATGTACTAGTCTGCTACTATACGAAACTATCAATATACTAACATATCAAAACTAGTTCTAGTATTGATACTAATACTAGCACTTCTGCGAATATAAGCTGCGATTAAACCCAACATTAAGACTGACACTGATACTAGCAGTGGTGCTGTATTACTGACATTGACACTGGCACTAGCGCTAACTCTAACACGAGCATGAGCACTGACACTTATATATATATATATATATATTTACTAATACTGACATGTATACTATTACAGCAAACACTAGTACTAATATTATTAAGAACAGTACTCATCCTGATATCGATACTTCCACAAAACTATCACGTAACTCATGTGCCGCGCGTCTGGTGCATGCGTCCTCAGTACATGGCATGTCAAAGTATATGTTGTATGTCTACTGCAGATGTTTTACTTTACAGATTGTCGTCGGGTGTGGTGTGCTTTGATACAATATCTCAAGGAATTGGTGGCATCGAGAGCATCTTGCAAGGATGTGTCACCCCCGTCGCGGATCATGCTGGAAAAAGGAAAAGAGGGACACAAACGATGACTTTCACTCGGGAGAGAACTGCAACGGATATGTCGTGGAACATACCGCACCTTGACATGGCATTAAAACAAAGCATATGCCATGTGACCATGTGTATACACGTGACAAACAAAGACATAATAGGAACACAGCATCCAAGGTTAGCAAATGCCGCCTGGCTCGAAAATCTCCAAAATTTGTAAAGCCTGAAATGCGAAAACATCGGCAGGGATCAAGAATCACCAAAATTCCCAAAATCGTGGCATCTATGGGGCCATGGGTGTTTAGTTTTGCAAAACTTTGGGGATTTTCGAGCCTGGCAATGTTTTAGCATCCGACGTTGACGAAATGCCGCCAGGCTCGAAAATCCCCAAAATTTGTAAAGCCTGAAATGCGAAAACACTGGCAGGGATCAAAAATCCCCAAAATTCCCAAAATCCTGGCAACTATGCGGAGTGCGGGGCCATAGTCTCTCACATTTTGGGGATTTTGGGGATTTTTGATCCCTGCCAGTGTTTTCGCACTTCAGGCTTCAGGAATTTTGGGGATTTTCGAGCCTGGCAGTGTTTTAGCATCCGACGTTGACGAAATGCCGCCAGGCTCGAAAATCCCCAAAATTTGTAAAGCCTGAAATGCGAAAACACTGGCAGGGATCAAAAATCCCCAAAATTCCCAAAATCCTGGCAACTATGCGGAGTGCGGGGCCATAGTCTCTCACATTTTGGGGATTTTGGGGATTTTTGATCCCTGCCAGTGTTTTCGCACTTCAGGCTTCAGGAATTTTGGGGATTTTCGAGCCTGGCAGTGTTTCAGCATACGAAGCTGCCCACCTCCCATGATCCACTGCTTATTGCCAAAGGAAGCATAGTATGGATCATGGGGGGGGGGGCGTAAGCATATATATATATATATATATATATATATATATATGTATGGTATACTATATACCCGAAAACCCTCAGACGTATGTCCGATTCACCCCAAAACCCTATAATTATTAAGGTCCGCCTTTTAAATCGTTCTGGAAACCGTACACGTTGGTGGCATTCGGCAACTTCGCCCAAGCACTCGTGGGCCATTGCGAATAACTAGCCACTGCTCCCCTCTATATCGATTTCAGGTTCAAAACATCTTCATCTACGTCGGCAAAGCTGCTGGTGAGGCGGCACTTGGCTTGCGAATCATCTCTTTGGGAAGCTTCCTGGCACGAGGACCATAGATCTCGCTCGAACCCTCAACCCGGACCCTGCAAACCTCGGCCGAGAAGCCAACGTGCCAACTTTGGGCTACGACCTCGCGCCGGTCTGATCTGATTTTATGCTCCGACAAGCCCAAACCTTGAATTCAGGGGGCCCCGCAAGATTGCATCAAAGTGAAGATCTCCCAAGTAAGGGTTTTCTGAGATACCGCTCACAACTTGGCCTTCTTTGGAAGCCCTGTGTGTTCCTCAACTAGGGCGTGCAAGGATTCGACAAAGCCCTTTGCTTCTGCTACCCGTACACCCTCATAAAGGCAACTAAGACTTCAGAAAGGTCTGGGGGGGTGGGGGTGAGTGTGCAGGTGGAAACTGGGAGGAGTGAAAGCGGTGAGGACTGGGAGTCGCCTCTTTGGGATTTTTTCTCCTGTCCTTTGAAACGCTCATCCGGAGTCGTGGGCCTGCTCTAGGGTTCACCGCAGAAGTTTCAGGCTTCGTCACCGTCGTGTTTGTCTGAATTGAGTCTTAGGTGTGCTTCGTTTCCAATGTGCCAAGCATGCAGGCTCTCTGTGGATGTGAGGTTGTGTTTGCTGCAAGGGAGAGTCACAGGCTGAGTCCATCGGGGTCAGGGTTCAGGGCTTCAGGTCGAGGCCTTCAGACATTGGGGCTTAGGGTTTCGGGCATCTGCCAGGAGCCTCAACCGTCTCCCGAATCCGCAGCAGCCCAGCCAACGGAGCAGGAAGAGATCGAGACCACCACCACCACCACCACCACCACCACCACCACCACCACCACCACCACCACCACCACCACCACCACCACCACCACCACCACCACCACCACCACGACTACCACAACTGGTGCTCCAACAACCACGCCGACCCCAACGACCACGACCCCTGAACCCACGACAACCCCGGCCCCTCCAACAACTCCGCCGCCGGAGCCTGCACAGCCTGTGCCTGCGCCGCCTGCGCCACCGGTGCCCGCTCCGGAACCCCAGCCACCCGCTCCTCCTCCAGATCCCGTGCCCGAGCCGGCACCCGAACCCAGCCAAGCAGAAGACCAAGAGCGCCAGCCACAGGAAGCGATTGAAACACCACCTGCTCCACCTCACCCTCTCCCACCAGCCCCTCCAGCACCCCCGGTACCCCCAACATCTCCAGAATCCCCAGCACCGCCAGCACCACCGGCACCACCAGCACCGCCAGCGCCACCAGCGCCGCCCGCACCGCCGGCGCCGGCGAAGGCAGGGCGTGGGATGTAGACATCGAGAGCTTCAGAATGTTTGCAGTAGACGCTTAAGTCTCAGCCTAGGTCTCGGTAAACGTCGCTACTTCCTCGAACTGAAAGCAGATAAGACGCCAACATACGCCAACCACTGGTTCTAGAAACCACCGATGAGGGCTGCTTCAATACACGAAGACACGCCAGTTGTTTACCGCACGCTACAACCCGAAACGCCAAACCCAAAGCCTTAAGCCCCAGTCCGACCCGAGACCGTCGTACTGGAGGGGCCGGAGGGCTCCTCCTGACATTCTATAATATGGGTACCCCCAAAACTCTATGCTAACTATTTAGGCCTCTGTAGTACCAACCGAGAGCTCCCACCAGAGGCCGAGGACGCTTTTGCCGCGAGCATCCGCCGACTGCAGGAGCAGGTGCTGCAGGTTTTCTATAGGGTTCTACAGAGGATTTTTCTAGGGTTTTGTAGGTGGTGTTGCGGGTTTTAGGGTCTTAGGGCCTTGCAGGTTTTAGGGCAGTAAATAACAGTTTAGGGTTTCAGGTGCGGGGTTTGGTGCCTTTTGGGCTTGTAAGGTTGTAGTACCATTGGCGCCCATAGTAGTAATGATCGCACAATTAACATCAACTGCGCTGCCCCAAGTTTGGTTTCAATGTTGGCCTGACGCCGAATGTGAAAGACGTATAACAGTGCAATCGGAAGACGATCGGTCATTCACAGCCGACTGCCGATGCATGTGCAGTGAACGTTCACATGAAGCCTAGTTCCGTGCGAGCTTCAGAAAGTCTTGGATCCCAACGCAAACTCTAGAAGGATCCTTAGTTAAGGATGCCTCATGATGCCTCCAAAACCCATTTAGAACCGTGGGAATGGTGCTGCGTTTTAGCCGCACAGTCACGAAAATCCTCGCATTTCTTGCAACAGCGTGAGCAGAAAGAAGCCTCACCGATCAACTCGAACAATTGGGCTCAGGGTTCGGTTCAACGGTTGGTTCAGATGCGATTTTAGGGTTTTGGGTTGAGGATCTCCAGTTTAGGGTTTAGACTTCCGGGTGGTGCGCACGGCCGACATTTGCAGGCAGAGGCCTTGAAAGCGGCAGCAGAGGCGTCAAGGTAAGCTTCCCGGCACCAGAAGACTCCAATATCCCTCCATTGAGGGTCTGTTACTGGGATCCTTACTATGTATCACGAATTTGCAGACTTCAGTTTTCTGTAAGTCAAGAGGTTTGGGAGCATGGAAACCCCGACGTGGCCGTATAAACCCCCGAACGAAATTCATGAACCAAAATATTTTGGAATCTTTCCCATATAAAACCGCTATTCAAAGCCCTTTCCTGAACCCTAAATCACAAATCCTAAACCCTCAATTACGGGACTCCGGAGTCTTTCCCGCCGGTGATGTCTGAAAGCCAAAGGCTTACAGATTGCTCGAAAAAGCCTCCAAGTGCCAACCCTGAGTTTAGCTTTAAGGAGGCTGTAAGCTGACAACCTGAGGGGTTTAAGGTTTATAAGGGTTCAGGGTTTAAGGTTTAGGGTTTAGGGGTTAAAGGGTTCAGGGGCTTGAGATGAAGTCTTTCCTCTTGTTCAGTCTGAGCTCTGGCGTGGTCGCTCGTCATACAGCCAGCTTAGGAGCTGTTTAGGGCTTGCTTCAGGGTGTAGGGCTACTTGGGGCAGTGCAGTCTTGCCATATTCTTCGAGTCAAGTTCAGCTGCTGCAGCAGTCTTTGCATCGCAACTTCAAGCTGTCTCGAGCGGGAATTCGAAGAGTCAACACACCTCCACTGCGCACGGTGCCAGGAACGCTGCGTCTCTGATACTCGCAACCTCCGTGTAGTCGCCAGCCCAGAGCTTTTTCAGATTCGGCCCATGCCTGTCTCCGTGCCACTGTAGCGCCATGCAGCCTGGCAGTAAGCGGCGAAAGGCGCCTGGGCTTTGCATTTCAGATCAGGTGTTATGTTGAGGTTGAGGTTCTCACATCCATCGGTCGTCATGCTGCTGCGTCAGCTTTGTAGGAGGCAGATGTTTGCCAGTGCAAGCAAGTGCGTAGGCGTAAGCAAGCATGTAGGTAAGCAAGTAGGTCTGCACATCTGTACGTATATGTAAGGGATGTACTGTATAACGTCATGTAGTGCAGTGCAACGTAGCGGGTAGCTGCACGAATCATAATGTAAAGTAGCTTAATGTGATATAATGTAGTCAGTAAGTAAGTCAGTCAATAAGTAAGTAGAGCAAGTATGCAATGTAAGTGCGTCTGTATGTCTGTATGTCTGTATGTCTGTATGTATGTGTGTGTTTGTTTGTTTCTATGCTTGCATGCATGGATGTGTTTACGTAAGCAAGTATGCAAGTAGGCAAGTAAATACTATTTTTCAAGGATGTACGTATGGATGTAAGTATGAGTTTGTGTATGCATGTATGTATACATGCATGTATGGGTATGCATGTATTTATGTATGCATGTGTGTATGTGGAATCTGTTTGTCTGTCTGTGTGTCTGTCTGTCTGTCTGTCTGTCTGTTTGTCTGTCTGTCTGTCTGTCTGTCTGTCTGTCTGCGTGTCCGTCTGTCTGTCTGTCTGTCTGTCTGTCTGTCTGTCTGTCTGGTCGTCGGTAAGTCTGCAATGCTGTAAGTTTGTACATATGTATGTACTTATGCATGCATGTATGTATGTATGTATGTATGTATGTATGTATGTATGTATGTATGTATGTATGTATGTGTGTGTGTGTAACGCATGGATGTATGTATGTATGTATGTATGTATGTACGCATGCTTTCATTCATGCATAAATGTATGGATGCAATGCACGTGTGTTTTTATGTGAAGAGAAATAGAATACAGAGCCATAGGGTCATGACCCAGGCAGCTATGGATCGACTGCATGTGCTGCCGGATTTTTCCATAACATCACTGCCTCCTCCGTTTGAAAATGCTTCAAAACCTGTAAGCATTCTAGAGTTCCATGCAAGAACTGGGGCTTCAGAAAGATATAACGGAATAGGGTCCCTGATATGCACAGGTAAGATGGTTATGCGGATCCTTGAACAAGGATCCCTTATGTTAAGAGGCCATCAATTCGTGCTGCATGATGTTCTCGGCTGCCCTTCCTCACTGCAGCTGCAAACCGTGCGGACATGCTAGGCGAAGGAGGGGCTGCGCATACGCCCAGCAGCTCCTTGGCATACTTAAGACCGCAGGAGCTGTCCGGCTGTCCGCCTGACATGGGAAATCCCCAACCCCTAAATCCCCCCGAAGCCACAAACTCGAATCCTCAATCCTATTTCTTCAGCTGCCTATGGAACACTTCTACGTCCCTGCAGCAACCTTTGGCACTTGGTAATTGATAATAAGGAGCCCCGCCCTGTCAGGCAAGCTTTTGAAAAGCCCTGCACCAGTGCTGAGGCGCCAAGGCGGTCGTGGGGGCCTCGGAATCGCTTGAGGACACCGGAGAGCACAGCAAGAGCCCTCATACTAAAATCATGTCTGAGGGGGAGGTTTAGGTGTTTTGGGGTTTAGGGTTTTGTTATGTGGCATAGGACTTTCTCCCAGCTTTTGCAGTTTTAGAGTTTGCGGCTTGCGAAAACAATGGTTTGAGGTTCCACAGCGGCCGGCCCATCCAAGTTTTGACTCGTGCGTGTCATCAGCTAGCCCAGACCAACGGTACCACGACAGAACTAATGATGGTTGGTAGCGCAGCTTTGCTGAAACATTCTCAGAAGAGACATCATGCTGTTTGTCAGGACAGTTTTTGTGTTCGAGTGCCAGATGGGTTCTGGCATACTAGCAGGGAGGTGCATGGGGGCCTGCTTTTGCTGCAACCTGCTTGTGACCCTGGCCCGACGTACACAAACCGTTGCAGGACGAAGACTCCAGAGCGGGAAGTGCCATTCGTGACCCGACTACAGCCAGCAAGGGGCTGACTGGGGTGAGCTCTTTCGGCGGTTCGGCACCCCTTGGCACACGACTGTGATGCGGTTGTCCAGAGCTTCTGCCACAAAGCTAGGGCACCGCAAGGAGATGACCCTTTCCTCCTTGCTCACTGCCCGAGGTGCGACAAGTTTCGGACCACCTCCGTGTTCCTGCAGGAGGGCATCCACAGAGGACGGAATTCCTGAGCATGATTTTAAAGCTGCAGAGAGCACGCACCCCTTCGGCTAGGCGGATCTTGGCGGCCATCCTTACACCCTTCTAGCCTTGAACTTCTTCGGATCGAGGCTGTATCTGGGTGCAGGACAAAGCCTCCTCCCCGAGAAGTGTGCCGGGCAGCACGGATGCACTCAGAACAGGTGTTCGGTGCAGTGCAGCATGGGCCCAGCATGGGTATAAGTCGTGTCGGCCCTGTTGGCGTTCGAGCATCTGCAGATGCTGCGCCACTGAGGAAAGGGAGTTGCAGCGCAGCAGTGACCGCCGGCACAAGCCGCGACGGCCACCGCAGTTTTCATCCGCGGATCCACGCCTGGTATCTCGGAAGCACTTATGCGCGTGCTCTCGAGGCAAGCAGGTGCTTGAGCGGGCAGCTCCGAGTGGCAAGAGGGGTGGACGAGAAGCAGTTTGAAGGAGCTAGTCAAAGAAAGTTGTCCCAAGAATCCAGCAGAAATCTGGAGAGAACTGACCCTAAAACCCAGACCCCGAAATCACCTTAACCCCACCCCTGTGTTTTCTAAGATCCAAATTCCCCCGCACAGCCGGAGAGAGGGACCCGCTCTTGCAAGAGCTGAGGCCAGTCGGCGGTCCGAGGAGCTGCAGAGGGGATTCAGACCCCGGCATCGCCTGAGGACACGGGCGAGGGTGTTAGGGGCGGTAGTCCGTGTAGGAGTCCGAAGGATCAGTTACAAAGTTGTTATATTGGAGTCCCTATACTCTAGTGTTAGCATGCACCCCAAATTAATCAGACTAGTATATTGTGCTGACTTCTCAAGGTCTTATGGGGTATGGACAGCACCAACCGATCCAGGACGAAGACACCAGAGCGGGAAGTGCTCTACGAGACGTGACTGCAGCCAGCCAGGGCGGGGCTGACTGGAAGAAGCTCTTTCGGTCTTTCGGCACTGCGTCGCCCTTGGCTTGCCCGAGGTGCGCCAAGTTCCGGACCACCTCCGTGTTCCCGGAGGAGGGCATCCGCAGAAGCGGCTGAGGACGGAAGGCCTAAAGATCGTGAGACTGAGAGTCCATCAGACCGAGACCAGAAGTTGTGATCCTGTCCGTCATCAGGTCAGGATGCATCGTTAGACTTTAATTGTCAACAGGCCGCTGGATCGAGCATTCCAGAGCTTTAGAGACTCGGGTGCAGGACAAAGACTCCTCCCCGAGAAGTGCTTTGGGTAACATGGATGCACGCAGGACAATCGCTCGAGTCATCACGGTGAGTTGTGTCGATGACGTCGGCGCGTGAGCTTCTCCCAACCGAGGAAAGGGGTGTGCAGCGCAGTGGTGACCGCCAGCACAAGCCGCGAAGGCCACTGAAGGGCGAGACCGAGACCCGAGCCGAACCCCAAACTCTGATAAGATAAAATAGGGGCCTTAATAATTAGAATAGGGTTTCGGGGCTCATTATACTATAGTTACCGCAAAATAGAATAGGTAATCAGAAAGGCCGCCATATTAGGATTCGTGGGTTCATGCTTACGAGTCAGGTCATCGAGAAACGACGCAGATGCACGCCTGGTATCTCGGAAGCACTTATGTCATTATGTGCTATGTCGTTATTGTGCTGGCTCGCGAGGCAGGCAGGTGCGAGAACAGGGAATCCCAGCGTTGTAGATCGGAAGTGCGTTGTCAGGTGGGTGGCAAGAGGGGTGAAAGGAAGGTAGATTGAGGCATTAAATGCCGTTCTGCCCAGACATCGGATCCTCCCAAGTCGTAGCACGAAGATGGAGCCAAGGCAAAGTCGTCCCAGGAGTGCAAAAGGCGAGGAAGACCACCAAAGAAAGAGGTGGGCACTAGGTTGGATTGCAGACGAGTGGCAGCAATGCCGGACAGGGATCTCTGTGATCCGTGTGTAGGAGCGACTTCAGCGTCCATCACAGATGCAGTGTCAGCCCTCAGGCGAGCAACAACCGCAAAAGATGTGAACAGAGCGCAGGACTCGGCTGCCCGGGATGAGGTTTAGGGGTTGAGAGCTACATTTCGACGGTCCTGCTCCCTGCAGGCTGCATCTCGCCAAACCCCCAGAAAGCTCAGCACCTTTTGATCGAGACATGTGACTAATCTATGTAGTTGATTGTGATTTTACAATGCCACCTCAAGACCCTTGGAAACGACACGAAAGACTTCAAAAAAGCCTTATGAAATCATATCTGAAGACCAGTTAATGATCTTGCATGCCCCAACACAGACCCAACAACAGCCTGTACAGCTGTACCTTAGCCACAAGTCTGTCAGAGTCCTCTCTCTTCCGAAAGCTTCGTGAGGATCCGAAGACTTGGACATCTGGAGCCCCACACTCTGCCAGGAGGACGCCTTTAGGGTTTAGGGTTTAGTTTAGGGTTTTTGTCGGAGTGGAGTGAAGGTGAAGGGTTTCGGTGCGACAAGTTTCACAGGGTCAGGGTTTGGGGGCATGTGTATAGGCTCCTATAGCCGTGCGAGCCCTAAAGGTTTCAGGTTTCAATAGGGTTTGTGTGTCTTCATTGTCGTTTTGGGGTTGGCTGAGGTTCCTGAAGCCTTCCTTAAGCTCCGCCAAAACCTTTCAAAACAGCCAAAACCCCACGAAGGAGCTCCGAATGGGTACTTCTCTACATCAGGGTCCCTTTTGGGATGGGGGCCGTACTATTTTGGGGCCAAAAAGACCACGCATATTTAGAGACTTACCCACATAGAAGATTCGGGGCTGACGCGTGGCAGCTGATTTGGGCTCCCATGAGGGCAGCTAGTCCTCCGTTGTAGTTCTGTTTTGGGGCTACCTTGCAGGATCCTAACTGTAGAACTGGTTTAACCCGAAAAAGGGACAAAATATACTGGAGACTATAGGCAAGATTCAGGACATGACATCGAAGAAAAGCTGGCGAGGAATGGTGTCGAGCCCCATGGCTTTGAGAGTTCGAGGGTTCCCCACAGTTTCGTTGTTTCGGGATTAGGGTGTAGGTAGCAAAAACATCCCCAATGAAGGAAATTCGCTTACAGGTGCTCCGGGTATGGTGACTGGTTCGATGTATCACAAACATATACATATACATATACATATGCATATGCATATACATGTACATATACACATACACGTACATGCACATATACATATGTACGTACACATATACATATACACATACACATACATATACATACACAAATACACAGACACATACACATACACATACACATAAATTACATAAATATACATGTACGTATACGTATACGAATACATATACGTATACGTATACATATAAATATCCATATACATGTACATATATATATATATATTATGTATGTTAGTTTTCATTTATGACAATCACGCGTGCATAGACGTATTTTAATCCCATTTATCCAGCACAGATTTTTACACACACACACACACATGTAGGGTGCCTTCGTCTGTATAAGGCTTCCGGTGATTGCTTAAGAACGTGGGCCTTAGGTGGATTGTGTTCTTCTTTTTGTCTTAATACTTAACCATAGTTTCAGTATGAAGGTCTGAATGGTGAGTACCTTAGATCTCCCCATTTTTCCTGCATCACCATGGTCCAAGACCCCAATCAAGTAGATCGGCCTTTTTGAAGAGGGGCGGTCGAATCCTGTCACAGCTGGACGCTTGAACTGGTGCGTCCTTTGAGCGGCCCCCTAAACCCTAAAGTCAACGTCGTTCGACGAGACTTGAACCCAGGGTTCCGGTCGCCCGAGCCGGAGGACTGGCCTACAGACTTTCGGAGCAGTTTGGGAGTTTTGAAGCATTGAGGAATGGAGGGGGTATAGTTATAACTACTATTACTACCACACTACTACCATATTACTACTATATATTGAGGGCTTCTCGAAGTTTTCGGGTTCTACGGGGGGCTCGGGCCCAGAGCCCCCGTCGCTGCCGGCGCGAGGAGCCGGAGGCAGCCGAGGATGGCGAGTGCGCCCGTGAGCCCGGCACGGAAAGCCGCTTGGTGATCAGTTCAATCACTCGTCACTCGACCCAGTGGGCTCCATAAGACGCTTAATTGACCGGTACAGGCGTCTAATTATTCTAATTATGATGTTAAGGATTCCCCCTGTAGTACAGAGTACAGATTTGGCACTTGAGGATCCCTCTTTCTAGGATCCATAGAGGAGGCGGGTTCTGTTTCTGTGTCTTGCTCAGGTTTCGCCGGACTGATACCTCCGAAGTCGGAAGCCACTCGGCCACGAAGTCCAGCTGCTTAAACGAACAAAGGACTTGTGCAAGCTGGGGTCAGAAGCATGGTACACGCAGCAGTATAGTTCTAAATTGTACAAGTACTTGTCACCTCGATTAGAATACGGATAAGCTCTAGATCGTAAACCCAGAGCCCTCGTAGTACAAACCCTAGCACAACGTAACACTCGAGGTTGTCGACGTGGACACAGGCCTGCTTGGGGCACCTCTCAAGAATCGGGGGGATACTGTACGGCAGAGGCCAACGGGTTATCGTCGCTGGACTGAATAGATACTGCATCGTTTACACTGGGCTTCTTGCTGTGCTTGACGGCGACTTTACGGAGGCCGACCCTGAACCTGGTTGGTGCAGTAGGATCCTGGTTAGAAGTGCCTTGATTTTGCGACCACAAGTTATAAAAGAACCGCCCCCAGTTTACCCGCCTGACAGGCAGCGAAGAAGAGCTGCACAAAGACGTTGTGGCAGCTGTACGGCCGAAACGCGCTGCTCCACAGGCAATCGCTGGCGCTACTTTCATGTCTGTCCACTTATTGTCCATGGATGTGGCACTGGGTGATCGTCAGGGGTCGTTGCGCGTTCTTCCAGATGTCTTCAGGATTGCAGTTGCGTCAGATAGACTTCGAACCGACCGCGCCCGAGAGACCAGGCTCGTGATGAGACGGAGGTCACCATCCAGATGATCAAGAAGATTCTGGCCTCTTGCTTTTGGAGCAAAAGAGTGTTTCGGGCTGTGAGGCCGAGGGGGGGTGGCGGGGCTAATGAAACGACGGGAAGGTGAAGTTGAAGGTGATATTATAGTAGCACCAAAAAGCCAACCGCTTGGAACCTTGGTAAAACTTTTTCAAACTCAAAACCCATAAGATCCTTAACCAAAGCGTTCTGCAGGCAGCCCGTACACAGAGACTTCTTCCCTCCTTACTGAAAGCCGCAATCCGCAAAATCCCTAATGCCCCAAACCCTCAAACCCTAAATCGCAACCCTATGAACCCTAAACCCTAGCCCCTCAGCCCCCCTAAAACCCAAAACCTCTATGCCCTCTGAGGATTTCCGTGGCCACCGGGCCCCAGCTGGCCAGCGCTGCTACGCCAGGCCTCGCTCTTCAGAAAGGATCCGTTAAGTTATGTTTGCTCGCAGTTGTATGTTGAATGATGTTGACATATTTCGCCGCACGTTGCCCAGCGCCGAGTCGTCCAGAGACTCGGAGACTGCCCAGTTTCCCCGCCCTCCACGTCCGCTCCCAAGAATGGCCGCCGGCAGTCCTGTGAAGACCTCCGAGCTCCCGCTTGACTTGGTGACCCCACCAGTTGAGGTGGATGCGCCCCTGGACGAGCCGGATATCGAGCTGGTGCAGACCACCTTCGCCAAGATGGCCGCTGTAGGTCCGGAGGCTGCAGGCCGCATCCTCTTTGGCCACATCTTCCGCATCGCGCCGGAGGCGAAAGGCCTTTTCTCGTTCGCGAAGGACGAGGAGACGATGTGGCTGCCGGGAAGTCGACTGGAGAAGCACGGGGCGAGGGTGGTGACCACGGTGGGGACGGCCGTGTCGCTGCTGAAGGACCTCGACACGTTGGTGCCCGTCTTGCAGAAGCTGGGCTTGCAGCATGTCGGATACAATGTGCTGCCAGTCCACTACGATGTGGTCGGCCAGGCCTTCATTGCCACCTTGGAGGACGCGCTGCAGGCGGAGTTCACCGAGGCCGTCAAGAACGCCTACCTCAAGGTATGGAATGTCGTGCAGACGACCATGATGGGAGACAACTACAGCTCGTCCTACTCGTATTGCGTGATTGCATGAGGGCTGTCCTCGCTTGAGTTGATGACCTTTGGCGCCGAATTTGTCCAGAAACGGTTTGCAGCTTTCGGAAGTTCCCTCTGCGTTGTGATGGTCGGAGACCTTACAGTGCTATGTAAAGTGTCAGTCTGAGAGGATTCCCTGCGTCCAGCAGAATCTGGTGCTGCACGAAGTCCTCCTGTCCGTAGTCGGGAGCTAGATGAGATGCCGTAGACGGAAGTCAAAAGAGAATGGAGCCGAGCAGGACTTGCAAATATGAGTTAAGTTCACACACTTCCAGATAAAGGCATATATGTAGACAAACAAAGGAGTAAACAGCCGAGTGTATATACATATATATCTATATCTACATATACACATACATATATATATATATATATATATTCATATATATATATATATATATATATATTCATATATATATACTAATAACAAAACTCATAAAGCACTAGTAAGAAGATTAAGTTAAGCATACATACATATACACACACATAAGTATATATGTATATACATGTTCGAACATATATATATATATATATATATATATATATATATATATATATATACACGAATATATATATATATACACACACACCCATCCGCATGCACATATATATATATATATATATATATATATGTAGACGCACACACGCACACATTATATCTACATATATATATATATATATATATATATATTTATGCATATGCGCGTGTGTGTGTGAATAAGGCTTGGTTGGTAATGGTTTGTGCCGCTGGAGACAGGCGAGCCGTCTTCGAGCTCCTCGAAGAGCTCTTCCTGCAGGTGCCAAAACCCGTCCTACAACCCTAAACCTTGAACCTTATAAACCCTGAACCCTATTTCCCTAAACCCAATAAATCCTAAACCCTACAAACTTAAACCCTAGCACTAGTCCCTAAACCCTGTAAACCCTAAAGCCCTAAGCTCCAGATCCCAAACCCTAAACCCTTGTAGAAAACTAGGATGAAAGTCTGGAAGCTGATAGAAGCCAGAGTGGCCCCCCTCCCCCCGCCGCCTCCGGCAAAAAAAGGCCCAGAAGCTGGTCGGCGACAAGATCTGGCGAGGGCAGGTCGCCTGGGATAGATTTAGGGTTCAGGGTAGAACGGAAACGGGTAAACGGGTTTTCAGGATTTCATACGGTTTGTTTTGGTAGCCTGACATTTTTGGAGCTTTTAATACCGTCTAGAGGAGTTTCTCGGCCTCCCCTTGCTTTTAGATGCACGATTGTATAAGGGTTCTAGTTGTAAGTGGGCTTTTAGGTTCTACGCGAAGCACCTGCGCGCATTCTAAAAGTGTATCATAGTTATCTTGGGCTTACTCAAAGGGCCAGAAGGCAAACATAGGTGTTATGGGGAGTTAGAAGCGCAGAGTCTAAGGGTTTTCGGGTTTTGAGTTGTTGCCCTGCGCCTTGGGTAGTTCAAAGTGGTAGCGGACTTTGTCAGCATAGGTATTCACAAGGTCGAATGGGTTCTATGCAGGGTTTCGCGATGGGCACCCTTGCCTGTATATCTATACCATACTATGCTAGGCTGTACTTTACTCCACTATGCCCACTCATCGAGGGCCTCATATCACCATCATTTCGAGCCTACAGTTATGCTTAGGCATGAAAGTTTCGGGCCTGCAGATATGTATAGATATGAACCAGGCGCGCAGGGATCTCTTTCGTCCATCTCGATGTTCTGCTGTGAACGAGATACTGTAGCAAGATTCAAGCTCTGCTAATTGGGCTCGGCGTCTTGTAAAACACCCCCTCGCAGTTGCGATCCGGGGTGTTGGAATGATGCCCGGAATCTCGAGGCCAAATGTCCTCGCGCAAGGTGTCGAATCCTCGCGTGTTTCACATCCCTGAAGGTGCTGCACTACATCTCTGACCTCGTCACCGAGCTAGAGACGTCGTCTAAATCTTGCCTGTACCAAAACGCATCTAGGCTAGATTCAGGGGGAAACGATCCGTCTCGGACTGGGGCTGCGTGCGATCATGTCGGAGAGCTGATGGACAAGCCGGGCCGAAATTTTTGAAGGCTTAGGGTTACCAGTTTGCCAGTTTGGCGGCCCCTATATCGTGTTGTTTAGCCTTGAGTCAGAGCTGGGCGATACTTGCATTCCCGGAGACCCCAATATCCCTTTGTTCAGGAATATTCCTGAAATTTTAGTTGGATCCCTAGTATGATTTCAGGGATATACCTTAAATTATCATACGACTCCTAGTATGATTAAAGGAATCGAAGTCTCTGGGTTCCTCACGTCAGCATTCTTGGGCCAAGGCTTCCTTCTGGAAAGGTGCCCTGCTGCTGCTGCTCAAGCATTTAGGCCAGGCTCCGGGATCTAAGAAGGGTTTGGGGTTTCGGGGGGTACCCCAAAATCTGAACCCTTAAACGAGAAACCCTGCAAACTTAGGGTTTTTGTGGGGCGTTTTGGGGTCAGGTGGCTTGTTCTTCTCGGTACATGTGGAATCCAAGCCTAAGGACCCTAGAAGCCTGGATCCGAAAACCCCAGAGACCTCAACCTGATAAAGCCCCTATAGAGATTTTGTAAGGCCATGTTTGAAGACCGATAAAGCTATGTTGGAATCCTTATCAGCCCGCTTGTCCTGCTTAGCAGGAGCCCCGAAAGAGGAGGTTCAGCAGCTGAGGCAGAAGTGGCTCGCTCAAACGGGGTGGAATCTGTTTTGCAAGTGCTTCTGTCTGGGGGGCTTTATACTATAATAGTTATGACGGAGTTTCCAGCCACAGAAAGGCCTTCATCGGAGCTTACAGGGTGTCATTACACGGCTTTAAAGGGGTCTTGCAGTGTCGGATAAGGGGTTTCGAAGGTCTCGGGGGTTTCGTTGGTCTAAACAGCTTCATGCAAGTTACGATAGGCAAGACACCACGTATTCGTTACGTCGTATCCCGATGTTGGTAACTCATCTCACGTTTTTGTTGACAAGAACGTACTTTGGGGTTGTAGGACGACGATCCGCTCTGTATCTAGCAAAACTGCTGCTGGCATGTATTTCCGCCCCGCAGACCGCCCTCGACTAGATCCAGAAACCCAAGAAACCCTAAAACCTGAAGCCTCAAGCTTAGGCCCAAACCGCTAGTCAACCTGAAACACCGAACCCCAAAGCCCCTAAGGGCCCTCTTTAAGGTATTACCTCACCGCTGGACGCATCAAGCAGACGACGGTGCGAAGGCCAGACTTCAAGGACTCTTTCGGGCTTTCAACTGGGTGGTTGTCAAAATCATGGTCTGTTTTTGGGTACCCTGAATATCAGGTGCCGTGCTGCATAAGGGACCCAAAAAGGGACCATAATTTTGACAACCATCCACATGGCAGCGGGTAGAGTCTACATAGGGTTATCCCATTTGGGGGGAGGGTTTTACTTCGACAAATAGGCTTCTGGTGAGCTCTTGAACTAAGGGTTTCTTATCTTATCAAGGCCACTTGCATGAAGGATGCTGCTATTTAGGGTTTGTATTGCAATGGCTTTGACCAGGACGAGTACAAAGTTATATCCAATATCTTTCAATCGGTCGTCCGCTTCAGTAGTCAAGTCAACATATTCGGACGGTTGTGTTTCAGTTATACAGTACGACCATCGTATGTTCGATTTAGTAGGGACCGTAGAAGGCACTGCGACTTTCCGCAGACCTTGCATGGGGCTCTCGGAAGGACCTGAGCCAATACTACGCCGAGTGCAAGCCTTTTGATTCTGTGGACTTTGACGTGGATCCTGCGGCGCCCTGCACTTGAGCTGCAAAGAGTGGGTTCTTCAGACTTCATCCTACTAGATAGCCCCATATCTCCAGAGACAATCCCGGAATCTGGACCCTAAGATCGCGACGGTTTGTTATTATATATACATTTATATATGATTATATATAAGAACATATATATATATATATTAATATTCATAATAATAGACCCTAATTTCCCACCGAGGCCTTCTCCGCCCGGATCGGCCGAGAATGAAAGTCACCCGGGCGAAGGCGGAGACCGAGGACGGAGACGCGCCCGAGCCCGAGTTTCTCAGAGATCAAAAGGGTCCGATCTCCCTCTCCGGGACTTAGTAAGTTGGTCGGGTTTAGGGTTAGGGGTTCGGGTTTAGGGATAGAAGTATGTAGCTACTTTCCTTACGACCCAAGTTGCTGTCTTGCTCCCTGATCCTGAACGTGCCGCCTCGTTAGGAATCCGGGCTTCCAGTCTACCTGCTTTGCTTGCATTTGGCTTCCGTAGGTTGTGGCTGCCGCCGACGCGTGAATCCCTAGTGCTGTCCCCTGTGTCCTGGACCCGAATCCTCAACTCCACGCGCTGAATCCTTAATCCCAAAACCCAAAGCGAGAGGACTTGAATTAACCTTGAACCTCACATGTCACATCCTAGAGCCACGAACAGACCCCTCAGAGCCCCAGAAGCGACGACACAGCCCACAAGCGACCACAGTCATACGACACCACAGTATACTATACACTGCCTATTGTATACTATGTGACGACTATGTGCTTATACTACATACTGTAGAATATGAAGCCCTAAGGCCCCCCAAGAGTCTACGGTCCTGGATGCGCTACTACGTCGTGCGAGAAGACAACTCGGCTCACCTCTTCCGAACGGCAAAGTACGCCACGGTGCCCAGGAAGCAAAAAACCTGAGGGTTTGGGGTTTTGGAGGTCTTTCTGACATCACCAACGCATTCAGAGGCTCCAACATCTCAAGGATTCAGGATTCCGCCTTCCGGTTCCTTATCAACTATGTTTACACCTCCAAATCCTGTTTCGACATGGCGGGCCCCTGAATTCGTCGTGGGGCTACTCCATAAATATCTCGGATTAGCTCTGAAGTCCCGCCGCTTCCGGTCAACATAAGGGCTGTAGTGCTTATGGTGTACGGTGTGCAGAGTTTCGAACTGCATCGCTCTGAGGGTCCAGAGCTTGACTTTCGGGTTCGGGGTTTTCAAAGCTTCGGTTTTGGGGCTTCTCCTCATTTCCTTGAGCCCAAAGGAGGCGGTGAGCTTTTCGGAAACTCGTGCACGCAGAGACGTGATCTCACTACCCATTCTGCTCCGAACAGAAGCAGTGACGGCAAACGGCTGCTCCCTCCACCTCTCGTACTGACTCAGCAGTGGAATGCTAGAGTGCCATGTTTCGTAACAATTTCACTTCATCCATTGTCTGTTGTTTCACTTGCAGCTGCATAGCTCCTCTCTTTATATACTTCCCCAGCACAGCTGGAAGTCTTCGCGACACTATGGGAGTCCGATGGGGCATTTTTCGGCACATGATAGGACCGAGGTGCAGGGTTCAGGGCTTGGGAGTTTGAGCTCCGAATCTCCGAAACCGTACACCTGAATTTGTCTATCTTCGAAGAGCTTTGTTCCAGGTGCGACATTGCCTTCTGGAGGCCTGCAAGGACACGGGCTTCGAACCAGAAAGCCACTTAGCTGTGAGATCTGGAGTTTCAAAAGCCCCAGACCCTTACAGTAGACCCTGGACTCCGAACACAGGGGACCCCGATAGACCTTATATGGTAGCATCATGCTTATTCACCATGAACAAAAACCCGGGAGATACTTTCGACAGTAGAATGTCACTACGAATACCAACCTATCTTGGGACCTCGCAATTTCAGAAGCCGCCCTTCGCAGCCCTGGAGAATCCTGGCCAAAGAATTCGGACATCGCAGCTCTGAAGTAAACCCGGAACCTTAAACGTCTATTCACTTAACCCTTAACGCTTAAAGTATCAAACCAACAAGAAAGTTTTAAGCCACTTTGAGACCCTGGAACCTCGAAGGGTTACTAAATCCCCAGTGCTAGACCTTTGACCCCTAAGCCCTGGCTTCCTAAAGCCTTGGGTTGGAAGCCAGAAACATTCGCAACATAATTCTCTGAAAGTTCCCTACACGGTTTCCCCACTCTTGCTTGTACACTCCTGTCTTTTGGATTTTTCTTGACGAAGATCCAGTAGGTTTGTTCCTTCCTTGTCCGAGCTGAGCCGCTCGCATCCCGAGTGATTTAGGGTTCGTTGTTGAGTCTCCCGACCACCCTGGAAGTCTTATGGGATGTTGGGTTTCATATTTATACAACTATGGCATCCTCCCAAATCCCATTCTATTTACTCAGCCCGCTATTACAAAACCATATGAGAGCCCACATGAACTCTACATATAACCACCCTTGCAAGCAACCCTTACGGAAGCTCAATTGAAACTATTCTGTATTAACCACCCCCTTGAAATGAAAGCCATGAGCGTCCTCCACCGAGGTTTTCTATGCCTCTGCGAGAACGAGGCCGTGTCCTTGGATGCCGAGAAGCCGGGCTTAACATCGGTTTCAAAGCTCTTCAAGGGTTCAAGGGTGCAACAAGATTTCCCTCTTTAGGGGTCTCTAAGGGTATCCCATAATGTGGGTTCCTCGTTACGGGCTCCTTGAAGGGTTGCTTCAAGGGCCCCTGTGAGATTCCTTTAAAGGCTCCTTCAAGGTCGTTGTCATGTTTCCTCATCAGCTGAGGATTGGCAGTCTCCCGTGGCCGACGCACAGTCAGTCGCCGCGTCTCTTGTATGCCGCTTCGCTTCCATGTGGGTACAGTACTTGGAGGATCATGCATGGGACTTAGTAAGTATGGTTAGTAGTCAGTACCTAGATTGGGGTGATAAGTAGTCATAGGTATAGTTGCCCTATCATAACCTCAGTTACTAAGTCGCATGATCCTTTAAGTAGTGGGCCTCCTCCGAGTAGGTAAAACCTAGGACACTTCCCTGGAGGTCTACTTGCGCAACACTGCAAAGCCGACCGCAGCGCGTTGTTGCGAAGCAGCCGTGCAGCCGCGCAGCTGCAAGTGCTGCCTGGAACATTCACAGAAGTGCAATACTACTTTTATCCCGACTCAATGGTTTCGCATCATCGCAATAGGTACAACATGATCTTCAAGCCATTTTGCAAGCATGCGTGGTATGCATCATGACGTTGGAAGTGATACGTCTTGCGCCCAAAGTTGCAAATAGTGCCACCTTGTTTCAAGGTCCCAGCATTATGATTCCGATTCCTAGTGCGCCCCATGTTTTGTATGGCGAAGAAATTAGGATGGAGATTCCCTTTTGGGAGGGATGCTTAACTGGTTCGAGACATAGTAAGTATTTATAACTGAAGTAGGAATATTCGGTAAAATCACCTCCGATGTATACTACAGAGATTAGAAAATTGCTTGCAGCTACCCCACAAGATCTCCTTGTTGAGGTATCCGTATTCGGTTAATACAGGGGCCTCAATAATGACCTGTACTGTTTTGGGGGTTCCTTATTGTAATTATAATGGAATATACCCCGCACACACCCCAAAACCCTATTCTAATTATTAAGGCCCCTATATCACCTTGTCATCTGAGGTCCACGGGTCCTGATCGACCCGCGCTTGCGAAATGACGCGGGCACGGCCGAGTCGGTTGCAGCTTCCCAGAGAGCCCACCTGACCCCCCCTGCCGAGTCAAGAAACATAGAAAAAGTTAAGCTTCATACGTGTGTAGCTTACATCCTAGGGGGTTATTGTCGCGAAAGGGATAATATTGGGCCCTCTGGGTTAGCTCTTGGGGTGCTCAGGGCACCGCAGGAAGCCGCACATGACGGGACGCCCAGGCCCCTGCAAAAGCGATTCGCAAGCCAGATGTGGGTTAGTAGATCCTTGATTGCTGCTCCATCTCCCCTTACCAGGGCCGAGAAGGATCTAGAAGTTCTAACAGGCCATCCCAGAGGTTCATGCATCAGGGCTTTAGGTAGCTGAGGTTCATAGAGTCTCATGGTCTCACACTGGTGCAGCACCCTGTTCTTGAAACCTAAGCCCCAAAATCCGAAGCCTGAAGTGCTGCACCCTGCAGCCGACACAGCCGCCCCGTAAATGAGATGTGCTGCAGACCACTTTCTGGTTTTCCCCGTGGCATCCGCCGGAATGTTCGTAGCTCGCGTCCAGGACTTCTGTTGCAATGGGCACCTGGCTCTCAAGAGTGCTCTATAGCCTTGTTCCGCAGCGCCAGCTCCCAGCGCCTAGCGCCAGCGCTCAGCGCCAGCACCAGGGCCAGCCCGAGGGCCAGCGTGCAGAATTAGTCTATCCCCCAAGAGTGTCCTCGCAGGAAACGTCCAACCCCCTAGAAGCTGAGGGCCGGCGCCATTTCCCTTGGATTCAGCAGGTAGCGTCAGCAGCGAGTGGTGCCTTCGAGCCTGTCTTGGGTGAGCCCGTCTTGGGTGATTCTGCTCGGCCCAGGACATTGTATTTTAGCACGCCCTTCGAAGGCTGTGCGCAGGATGTATACGTCATCAACGAGAAGCCTAGCACCAAAGCCGAGGTCGAATTTGCCTTGCTGCGATGCAAGATCCTAAGATCCGGCCATGACCCTCCTGAGATCTACTTGTGCACACTGGAGAATCGTCATGTCTATGTCGCATTGTTCAAGGTCTTCGCGCCTGCGAGGGGTGTGCCCCCACCACAGCTGAAGGACAATGTTCATGTATCGCCCATCCGGCACCAGTCGGGGTTTGACAATGACATAGTGGTCATGGATCTTGAAGGACGAGACGGCAGTGGAATTTGGCATTCATATCGGCTATGTCACGAGAAGAGCGATCCTGGAGTGCCCTCTCCCCCCGGGGGATACACCGAACAGAGCCCGGAGCTGATATATTGGCTCGGGTTACTGGAGCAAGCGGAGCGGCTGACCTCCGTCAGCGTGGCATCACGTTGCTCTGACACTCCCGAGGAAGCCTTAAGCTACTTGATGATGCAGCTGACAGACATGATCTTTTCGTGTAAGGCTCCTTCCAAGCAGACTGTCAGACAGCACAAGGGGCACGCGCAGATTGGGCCTGTGCCAGCACATGACAGCCACGGTGTGGCAACATCTGTCAGCCCAGGCAAGCTCGCGATGATGCAGTTCGTGTCTCTGCTCATGAACACGGGGGACAAATACTTCTTCGAGATGGCGTGGTTAGCGCGATCATTCGAGATTGGAAATGCTGGTAACTTGCCGTCAGGCAGCTGCGGATCCCTAATCTTCAAATTTGGGACGGACCAGCTTGCGGGAATGTACTCGTGCGTGACTGCCGATGCACCATGGAAGTGTATTGGGCATGCGCCAGAAGTGGAGCCCGATGTCCTCCCACACTTCAGTTTCGTACGGGTCCAAAAGCTCGATGAGATCCTCTCCAAGATACGCGGGCAGACCTCATCGGAGGATTTGGGGCAGGAGTGGGATGACTGGGAGGCCTCCTTCCCGCCCAATGAGGCAGCCGAGATCGGGGTCGACCTGAATGAATGCAATCTCCAGAGATTGAGTGATTGCATCTATCACATTTCTGACATAGATGTTGACGTGCAGCAACTTCGGTTTACGCAGAATACAATTAGCTTTCGCTTCCGTGACGGCCGCTCCGTCAATTCCTTAGCTGCCGATCTCCGTGCCGGTGCGACCAAAGCCGGGGACCTACCGAAGCTTCAAGTCTTCGAGCATGACCATGCCTTGTACTCATTGGACAACCGTCGGCTCTTTGCGCTGAAAGTTGCAGGGATTAGCCGCATTGTGGCCGAGAAGGTTCAGGTTCGCCGCGATTTGCTGAGCAAGAAGCTAACCACGACCAGTTCCGGCCGTGTCGTGGTCTTTGCACCTGACCCCTCCATTCCTGATGTTGCCGACTTCAAGGTCCTTGTTGACGATTGCTCGGGATCGCAGCCAAACTGTTCCCATCGGGTGCAGGTGACACACATGGGATCTGCACGCCCTACTGAGCAAGTCATGACTGCACATGAGATCGTGAAGATTCAAGCGAAGAACAGATTTCCCGTAGACGGACACTTTCAACCAGCTTTCATGGATGTCATGGTAAGCCTTGCTTTTCCTCCGACACCATCAGCAACTCAGCCTCGGCGCAAGCGGAGAACTGAGAAGTCGAAGATTAACGGCAAGAAGCCATGATAGTGTGCTAGGGACGCAGGGGGTCACTTCAGCGTCCATGTCGCATTCGTTGCACATATTGTGAGATTCCAGACACTTGAAGAGGACTTCTGCTTGCTTTACTCTTTTGGGCAGATAGTCGATAAGTCTCATGACCCTCGGCAAGGTAGGTCGTAGCCCAGAGGTATGCGGTTGTTCACAAGCGCAGCAACTGTGGATTACTACTGTGGAGTTCGCGGGCTAGCATGCAGAGCTCTGGTTTGTGTTTGTTGTCCAGTTTTCCTGTACACCTTTCATCCCCGACAAGGGAAGCCCCGACCAAGGCTGTTTCCAAGAAGCAGGAGAGGCACAGCTTCCATAGGAAGCGGAGCCTGCCTCGAGCAGCAGAGATCTGACTGCTGCCTAGCCAACAAGTGGGACTGAGATGCAGGGTTTGGGCCGGAGCGTTGAGGGTTTGAGGTGTAGGTTCAGTCGGTTAGTTTTGGGTTCAAGTCCTTGGAGACTCATGGGGCTGGGAATGCTGCGCAGGCTACAGTGGCTTTCGTCGAGGAGGGGTTCGTCGCCCCAAGCCACACTTCAAACCGTCGAAAACCAAATCTTTAGCTGCCGTCAACAGGTCCTGAGAGTACAGCGTTTGTACGAAAATGTGCAGGGTTTGGGGTGTTTTGGCTCCCCGAGCCTGATTGCCAAATGGCCACTGCCAACCTTGAGAAGCTTGGGATAACTCAGGGACGGCTCAGTCGACTCCAGATTTCCCCATGCAGACGCATAGTTCATATACCCTTAGTATATATAGCTATTAGCAATTATATACCCATTATGTAGCCCATTATAGGGTAGGGGTCCCGATTCGTTTGCCAGTGTGGATTCAGAGGTCTTCGTAGGACGCTTCGGCTCCTGAGGCTCGGTCACAGGCTCGATCGTGTAAAAAGAGTCATTTACAAGCATGACTCAGCTCTTAGTCTTACACCCTCGGAGGTTTAGGGTTTTAGGGACAATATACAGGTGTCTGTGCGAGAGTATTTGGACGTGTACGGAAATGGCAGCCGATTTTTCGGCAACTCGCGAAGCAGAAGATATTCCGACTCTTTCAGACCATGATGTGTAACATAGACCAACAGAGCACTACATGAAACACTGATGAACTGTTGTCAGTAACGATGATGATCGAGATCCTGATGCTCCAGCGCCCTCACAGACCGGGGAAATGCTTGATCAGGGGTCTGTGTTGAAGTTCGCTTTCGGCCATGGAATCGGCGCCACGTAGTTTATTGAGCGCCCTGACCACCTGGAATTGCTGGGGCGTGCCCTTTGCCTCTCCGCTGCTCTTCCACCGCTTTGGGCGCTGGCGGGCCTTCCATGACCAGCAGCTCGTGAAGCTTCTCAGTGAGCCTTGGCCATTCTTGACGTTTGGGGTTTGTTGCCGTATGTACATAGCTTCTATGTTTGATGCGTGCACACATGCAGATACGCACATGTAGCCATATTTAGAGTTTGGTCTTTACGTAGCACCTAGTCGGATGAAGGAACAAGAAGGCGAGCTATGAAAAGGCCCCCCCCCCCCCGATGTCCGACAAAAGTACAGGAGCATGGAAAGGACACTCGGGAGGAGTCTGGCCTGCTGGTCTGCTGCTTCCAGGAGCTCTAAACCCTCCATCCTAAATCGCCATGATGTAGGGCCCAATGTAGGGTTTAGGGATTAGGGCTTAGGGTTGGTATCCTAAGCCCCAGAATACCAGCGCCTCAAGTGCAAGCAGGTCGAGCTCTACGACACGCCCCTTGAATCCTTTGCAAAGCCCTAACAAATCCTTGTATAACGCTGAAAGACCAGCTCATTATCCTAGCTAGAAGCCCAGTATCGGAGGTCTTAAACTTAGGCTCCACGCGATGGGATTCTTCACACAAGGGCCCGCAAATAAGGGATGCACAACAACCCCGACAATACCTTCTTTCAAAAGTCAAATCGATTCATAAAACACTTTCGAACCTTATTTACTAGCTGTAACTTCCTCAAAGCCCTGTAATACATGTCTAACCCACCAGTAACCCCACAATGCCTCATGCAAACCTGCAGGATGGGGAGGTGCCTATATAAGCCTTAGAATCCAATCCAAACCTTAACCTCAATACAACACTCTGATCTCAAAATCCTAATATTAATTTCCTAAATCCTAAGGACATTAGGAGATGCATGGGACCTCCGGAAGCAACATAGAACACCCGATGAAGCCCCCCTAGTGTTACGAAATCCCGAAATCCCAAACCCCTGCACCCAAACCCTCTAACACCTTACAGCGCCATACAGCACCTTGTATAAACCCTTATTCGGAATCGATCAGAACCTTATGAAACCTATCAGAACCCTACTAAGCCCTCTGAAACCTACAGAACCCCTGGAATATCAACTCTCATAAGAACAACAACCCTAAACCGTGTAGAACCCCTCTAAAACCCCGTAGAACTCTCTGGGTCCCCATCAACTCCATAGAGAAAAGCCTGACTTCACCAGGAGATCTGGAGCTTCCCCCGAGGTCCACTGATGGAATGCACTGCCTGGCGGGACCCTGCCAGGGTCACAGCAGGCCAGGGGTGTCAGAAAAGGGGCTTAGTGCTTATAGGGTTTATAGGGTTTTATAGGGTTTAGGAGTTTAGGGTTTCGTCAGCAAAGGAGTTTCGGAGGCTTTTCCTGGTGGGGAGGTGCTTGCGTGAAAGGTTCTGCGATGGAAGCATGCGGCCAACCGGGAGTAGCCTATGTAGTCGTGCCCAGATGTAGCTACCCCACAACTCGATTCTATTCTACTTGTCAAGGACCCTACTCCAATTGGCCTCTATCGTACCTCTTATGGATCCCTAAAAGAGCACTGAGGCTGGGAGCGATTTGTGCTTGTCCTTGGTATTCTCTGCCGTCCGCTTCTGGGCTCTTTAGTCAGGGCTATAGAAACGTGTCCTATTGGAGTTTACAAGTTCCATGTTTTTCGTATTGGAGTTTTACGAGGGTCGAGGAAGTGATTCTATTCTGAGTTACCCAAGTAGGGTGGGACCTAGCCGACCAACATGCTTTCCTTACTATGATAACACAAATCCAATACCCTATAGACTATATGCTATATACCTTACCACCTCGAACTTATACTAACTGTACTGGACGAAAACGAAAAATACGACAACAACTAAGTTCGCATACTAGCACTCATTGAAGTTCCTGCGCAACCGAGCCGAGGCTTTCCTGCTGTATCTGGGATGCCGCTCAGAAGCTCTTCGACAAGTGGGAGGTTGGCGCTCCACGGATTGAGTATGCCTCGGTGGTCGGGAACAGAGGACCTAGAGCGGTTTAGGGTTTAGGGTTTGGGGGGAGGAGAAAGAAGATTTCCAGTGAAAGAGTACACGAAGCCCAAGAAACCAACCTCTTGATTAGGGCCGTTCCGTTCGCCTAAAATGCGGGAGCTCGAAGTCCTCTACCTCCAGGAGTATAATCCTTGACTCGCACTACGGTTGACGATATAAATCCTGCATTACGGAATTGTGGCATATGCTTTGTTATGCGCAATGCAGGACTTATATCATCAAGCGTAGTGAGCCCGATACCCTTGTCGAGTCAAACAGAGCTGCGGTGCTCTGTGGAGGAATGTCCTTGGCCTGGAACTCCTTGGTGGACTCTGGGCTCTGCATCTTAGCGACTCGGTCGCCCTCTGAGAGGGGCTTCCGCGCCTATCGAAGCTGGGTCACATACGGCTTCATGGGGTGTTTATAGAGTGTTGTCTTCGGCGTTACTCTGGTTTCTATGGCTTGGAGGTGCTTCACTGGGATATTGGCATTTATGCGCAGTCGCAGTTTTCGGAGTTTCCATAAGCGGCCAAGCCCAAGCACAGGAAATTGGCCAGATGGGTGGCACGAGGAGCGGTTGGCCAACAAAGGCGTTCTCTGGGCCTTCTGGGGTGGGCCCCAACAAGGATTGCTGGTTTTGAACACCCATTTGTCCACGAGAGGGGCAGTAAAGCGAAAACAGCTGGAGGAACTGTCCTGCCTTTTTGCAGAGCTGCGCAGCAAGTTCCTCGCGTTCTCCAGAGTACTGGAGGTTTACATCTGTGGGGACTTCAACATGGATTCTCGCTGGGACGATTGCTTCAAAGCGTGGTACGAGGAGCTCGAATTGGAGATCTTGACCACTCAGAAGCCGACCTGTGGAGCTGCTTTGGACCACATTTTCCTCTGGCGCTCCGATCGCAGGAAGATCGCTACGGAGGTCTCTGATCCGATCAAGCCCTGGGTTGGTGACTTCTGCCGCCGGCAGAGAGAGGACCTCTCAGACCACTGCTGGCAGGGGCTCGTCCTGCCTTAAGGCGCGCGCCAAAGTAGAGGCTCCGTAGGATCCCGACATCGTGGAAGCACCTCTGAGGGTTGTTTTCGGAGCCGATATGATACGCCTCAGATGAGGGTTTCTGGAGCTACACAGGCTCCACCAGACTCTCGATTGCGTGCAGTTGAGGCAGAGAAGACGATCTGCAGTATGCAGAAGCTTCGGGGTTCAGGGCCATGGCATCATAAACGCCCCGCACCCCCCACCTACACCCTGCTGCCCTAAACCTAAAGCCAATCCCTCAGCCCGGAATCCTTGCCACTTGTGAAGAAGGCACATTCCGAGCAAACGGAAACTGCAGATGCGAAGCCGTGCGAGACAAGCCATGAAATGAGTGAGATCGCACTTTGCCATAGTTAGCTGCAAAGCAGGCGTCATGACAGGCCAAAGTCAAGATGTCTCTCCATTCTAGATAAGAACTGCCCGAAGACCCTGCAGCCTCGAAGAGAAGCCCCCAGGAGCCCCCCTGCGCTCAAACAGCACAGTCGTGAGAGCCGACTGCGTCCCATCAGAGCTGCCGCCATGGCGGCCGCAGAGCGACGGCCGATGCCACTGCAGGCAAGATCCGGAAGGATGTTGAGATGTAGGGGCCTTAACAACAAGAGTAGGATTTTGATTCTGGAGGAAAACCGTACAAAATGACTGCAATGTCAGGAGAATACCAAGAAAACGTAAGGGTTCATTACCCAGTATGCTCACGCCAGTCTGATATTCACAAGAACTGCGATACTCAAAGCCATAACGATATGGACACCAGCAACAGGAAAATCTAGAGCAATCGGTAGTAGCAGTACGAATCGTACTAGATCCGGTACCAACAGCAAGACAAGTAGCAATAATCATTATCACCATCCTCTTCCAGAGCAATGATATAATGATCGTCCCAACCCTCCTCGTCAGCATCATCACCACCAAGTTCTGTCACCCTGTCACCATCACCATCGTCACCACCATCACAATCATCACCACATCATCATCTTCTTCTTCGTCATCATCGCCATCAGAAGCACCACAACAGTGCTAAAGCAGCTTGCCCCGCGGAGGTGGCAATGGCCGTCCTTGCGAAGCCTCTGCCCCGGGAAGCGTCTGAGGCTCTTTATGTGCTGACTCCGACGAAGGGCTCCGCAGAGTTTGAGGGCTTAGAAGTGTTTCTTTTGGCTTGGGCTTCTTTAGGGTTTGTGGCCGTCATGGAGTGTTTGGGTGTGGGGTGTGTGGTCTAGGATTCAGGAAATTTGGACTTGTGAGCAGAGGTTTGAGTCTAAACCATCAGTACTAGTATCCCCTCATCACCTTATACAATACACCATAATACCCCGAAGCCCTCATTGTTACAGCCCTTCTTCTATCTTCATCGGGGAGTGCAGTTCAAGAAGGCTGAAGTTCGCAGGCTCTGACTCACGACGAGCAGTTCTCGGCCGCCGCTGGAAGTGCTTTGGCAGCAAACGCCCGAAACCCGCGAACCCTAAAATGACAAGGTAGCTCAAAACCCTAAGCCGCCGTAGACCGCCCTAAACCACAGTGAGACCTGGGTGTTTTTGGTTTCCTGGATGTGGGTCACAGTGTCAAGGGCTTCGTGCAATGTCTCATCGACTAATATAGGGGGCCCTAATCATTCAGAATAGGGCTTGGGGGCCCATTATACTGTAAGTATAACAAGGAAACTACCAAATGGTATAGGTAATTACGAAGGTCCCTATACCATAGAACCCTACTATAGATCCCTCATAGACCCCTTTGAGGAACCCTTTAAAGGATCCCCCCAAAATAGTTTCGGTATGAAGGCCCCTATAGTCGGCTGAGTTGTGGCGGCAAAAGCTCCGAGGCGCAGGGAGTGCGGGCTCCTTGACAGAGCCCTACGAGGCGTTACATCTGATTGCTGGGTAGCTTTAAGGGGTTCCTTGATTCCTTTAAGGGATCTATAGGGTTTTAGGGTTAAGGGTTTAGGTTGATGATATAAACCCTGCATTTCCCATAATAAGGCATATGCCATAACTTCCATAGCCTGGGGTCATCAAGCTAATGCAGGATCTTTATCATCAGTCGTTGGATCTTGTCTGCAGAGTCCTGGACAGGTTATACCGAGGTTGAGAGTGTTCGTGCGCTGCTTCTGGGTTTGCGCCAGTGAATTGGAGATCTTAGTGTTTTGGAACAGGGTTTGAGATATATTGTCCTACATGTATACCGGGACCTGAAGGGAATACGGAATCGAGTATAGACCTCTAGTTGAGAGTTTTCATGATTTCACCATGTTTGCCGAGTTCAAGAAGGCGATCCCTTAAGACGACCCTAGTCTAGAGAACACTATAATATGCTTCAAGCGGACTCTTTTCAAGAACCCTGTAGTACCCTTTAGGGGCTTTCCACGGCCCACTGCCGTGCCCCAAGCCTCCACCCAGAGGCCAAAACCTCAGGAAGCCCTGGCTTACCTAAGACACCACTGGTGCTACCAGTAGGGTCCAGTCATTTGTGGGCTGGGCCCCTACGAGAATCCCTATAAGCCAAACCCTTTCGAAGCTGCAAAAACCCAGGCCCAAGCCCCAAATCCTGAGCCTCGTGAAGAGCCATTATAATCAAAAAGAAGTTTGTGTACAAGATAGTTATCGTATAATGGGCCCCAAAACCCTTTTCTAATGATTAAGGGCCCTATATTACGGAACCGTTGGCCAGTTACTTTTTTGATCCGCGCAGGAATCTTCAAGCACACTTGACGGGCCCAGAGCGATTCCGGACACTCGCTGCTTTTTTGGCATGAGGGTGTGGGGCTCGCGACTTGCTGCTGGGCTCTTGGCGATTTTTGATTTTTAGAGTTTGGGATTTGGGGTGAGGGCTTCAGGATTCTCAGGTGACTTGCAACGAGTCTTTGGCCCATCTAAACCTTAAGCCCGAAGGCCCTCAAGCCCTCAACTCCTCTCCTCATCATATGTGCTTCATAGAACTCCGTAGAAACCCATAAAAGAGGCCTTGTACTTGTAAAGTCCTCATAAAGCTATGCCCCAGATTTGGCGAAGCGCCTTTAGAGGAGCAAACCTGAAACTCCAAAGCCCTATAGACCCTGAACGCAGAACCCAGAACCCCACTGAACAGGACTTGGACGACCTGCTGTCCGTGCAGACCTGAGCGTCAAAGGGATTGATTGTTTTGTCAAAGGAGATCCTTCATTCAGCATCATTAACTTAGGATCCCTGAAGATGCAGGCCAGACGAAAAGAGTGATGTACGCATTCTGAGGGAAATGAAAAGCGAGATCCAAAGTTCGAGGACAACCCTTAGGTAACGTGAACCCCTGAACCCCCAAACCCGTAAACCCCCAAACCCCTAAACCCCTAAACCCCTAAACCCTAAACCCTCAATCCTGAAGCCCAAACCGTAAGCCAACCGCTGTTGAACGCTCCTTGGTCTCCCCATGACGGTGGTGAGCACAGCCCGGACCAGCTCCCCCTCGCGAAGCCCGACCTGGCAAAGAGCCCAATAAGGCTTCTGAAGGGAGGAGTACTACTACTACTACTACTACTACTACTACTACTACTACTACTACTACCACTACTGCTACTACTACTACTACTACTACTACTACTACTACTACTACTACTACTACTACTACTACTACTACTACTACTACTACTATAGATCATGCCAGCAAACCCTAGATAAGTTAAGCTATCGTGTTAATGCGGGGGTTTTAGGTTCAGTGTTCTGCTCTCTCAGGATGCAGCTCCTGACAATGCTGAGACAAGGCTGGGCAAGCAACGGGTTACTGGCTTTGCAGGTGCCTTCAGAAACCCAGAGAGCTGAAAGCCTCTCATCTGCGGAGTACTCCCATAGACTGTGGTTTGAAGCAACATGCCCTAAACCCCTCAACCCCTAAACCCCTAAACCCCTAACCCCTAAACCCTAAGCCCTAAACCCTATTCCCTAAACCCTGAACCCTAAACCCTGGCTAGGGCCAAAATTGGCCCTCGGCCGGGTGGGATGTGAGCACTTGGCTGCGTCAGACTTCGCCTCGCAGGTCCATCTCGCCCCTTGTGGTGGCCATGGCCGTCCTCAGGCGATTTGGTATGGCCCATTGTGCTATAACTATAATAAGGAACCACCAGAATAGTATTGATAATTATTTAGGCCCCTACACTACCCTAGCCTTACCTAGGGTTAGTAGGGAATGGAATTGTGACTACTATTACTGCCACTGTTCCATTCCCTACTAACCAAAGGTAAGTGTTTTGGGCCTTTGAGGTTTGCCCAGAAACTGGGAGTCGGGGGGGCCAGCAAGAGCTGCAGGCATAGCTGATGCCTGACAAGCTTGCTCCTCTACATCAGGGGAAGGGAGAGTGATGATAAAACGGTTCCAGAGATTGCTGAAGCTGCCTTGCGGTTGAACCATTGCAAGGGCCTTCGAGAACGAAAGGCATCGGCAGTTGTCTTGTGCTTTTTACCCCGAATTTGTCAGAGGGAACGAGCCTATGAACTCTTCTGTCCTGCGAGCATATGCCAGGATGCCAGTGTTGCACACACTTGACTCAAAGCTTCCAAAACTTCCACACCGAACCCGAGACCCTCAGCCTGTCAAGCCTGTATTCCTTAATTGACTGGTTTTGGAGTCTCTGGGAAGCCTCCCGGGTCCTTTCTTGCTGTGCTGCCACGCAGTCGCGCGGAAGCCGTCCGCAAGCGTCACATCGCCCGCCGTGCAGCAATGGGTGGCGCATAGGCTTGGCTGCCGTTTCGGCTGTGTTCAAAGAGCTACTTAACTATGCAACAATCCTAGCTTGGTGATCCCAGGACTTTAAAATTGTCCCGCATACATGCTGTCCTCTGCGTCTTAAGCCTCCTTGCCTTCCTGTCGGAACGTACGACGTAAGATGCATATCATATATGCATACTGCCCCTTCTTTCGCAGCTGGATTGGCCACTTGGAAGTACGTTCATCGTTTTTGTAAGCGGCGTTAGTAGCCCCTACAGGAGCATTTGTGGCAGCCGTTAGACAAACCTTGCGGTCACCTTAAAGCTGTACTTAAGATGTTGGGTTCCCCCTCCGTTGCTTGCCTTGTGTCTGCAGGCGTGAAGCTCTCGAGAGACGAGCTGAGATGAGATCGTGCAGAAACACGAAGAAGACGAGCTTACCCCTCTCCCGAGATCGCAAGCTTAGAAGCGGTTAGACTGAGTGTTACCTGGATGCTGTCAGCGTAGGCCAAAGCCGCACTTGTTTAACAGCTTCTATCCCTTAGCGCCGTGACACAGTGTCTTTAGTCTTGAATCCAAAAGCGCGATAGGACCCTGCAAGCTCACATTACTTTTCCTGGCTTCCTTACGAGTGAACCGCGAGGAAGTGCCAGACCCAAGCCGGGCCATCTGTTCTTGTGCACTTGTGTAATGAAAGGATGAGGAGACGTAGTATCCAGGGTTAAAACTACTGGCATAGAACTCTAAAGCCCTGATGAAGGTACTTGAAGCTGAAGGTACTTACAAGAAGGTTTACAACTACCTATGAACTTTCAAACCTGCGACCCGACTTGTCGGAGCAAAAAACTTGCACCCTTGGCTAGCACAGAGGATTCATATGGATCAGGCCCCAGAAGACCATCCCTACTACGTTCTCAGGTCTGATTCCGTTTTTATAGCATGTAAGCGGACGAGCCTGTCACAGACGACCCGGCCAAATCAGCATCTGTTCTGCTGCCTCTTTTGAGATGCTACCCGAGCGCCAGTTATCACATGCCCAACCTGCGGGGGGTTATGGTATGTTCCGCATGTGTCCGTCACAATTACCAGCAAGATTGCACTAGCTGCTCCAGGAAGGTGCTGGGGGTCCTTCCAAGTTGTACCAGCAGCCTGCAGCGTTTTTAATCGACAGACACCTCCCTGAAGCCTCAACCCTCAACCGTACCTACCGAAGTTCGTTGTGCATCTGCGCAGCTCCGAGTTGGTCCATTCATCGCACCTTAGTCGCTTACTTTTTTAATAAAACTATTCTGATTCTAGTACGAGGGGTACTGTAAGGGTATGAATACGGGTTTATGTGAGTGCAGCACCATATAGACATAGATGTTCTGATAAGTTTGCTACAACCTTACTATATACAGGCCATCACAAGACAGGCGGCAGGCAGTGAGCGTTGATCCGGCGCATCCACGGCTGAGGCTGCTCGCATGCTCGCACTCGTAGCACGAATTTGTGGGTCACCATACTTAGTTCTGGTATAGCTCTATTAGTACAACACCCCAGAACCCTATTACATTCACTGAGGCCCTTGCGTTACGCCATGAGCCCCAAATCCCGAAGCGGTAGACCCTTTTGTTTTTGAACCCTGGTTTCGGGTTAAGTGTTGCAGGTTGGGGGTTTGGGATGTACCAGGGTCTCCGGTTCCGGCTCTGGATTGCAGGGTTTAGGGTCTCATGTTGGGGAGTGTAGGGTCTAGGGCTTGCTTCCAAGAGCCCACGCCCCAAAAGCCGAAGTCTATAGCGCAGCAGCGTAGGGTGTAGGGCTTAGGGTTTTCGGTTTTGCAAGGTTTGTTTGGGAGACTGGGAGAGAGTTGGTTTTTGAAACATGATATCGTGTTGAACTGGTGGACTATGGCTCAAGCATCAGAAGGCTGCTACAGCAAACTTTCGTTTTTCCTTCGCTACCCTTTGCCATGTCCGCCTATCCGGGCGGATCTATGGGTTTAGGCGTTCAGGGGTCCTTCAAAGGGATCTATAGGGTTTAGGTGATTAGGGGTGCGGTTCAGGGGCGTGGTGGGGTTTAGCATTGCTAACGGGAAAACACATTCGGGGGTAGACCAGAACCTTCTGAACCCCGAATTCCTCCTGAGAATGCTTTTGACGTAGAAATTTGGGGCCAGGGTCAGCAACAGGGGTTGCCCTTTACGTCATTGCGACATATTGCGACGTCCTATGTTATCCAAACTAGCTTAAGTTGCTCGTTTGTTGTTGTTTGTTGTCTTTCGCAAGGTGGGTAACGGTATCGAAACCTAGCATACAACACTCCATATATATATATATATAGATATATACATACACGCATGCATAGACATGGACATATACATATACATATACATATATATATACATACATATACATATACATATATACATATATACATATAAACATATATACATATATACATATATACATATATACATATATACCTATATACATATATACCTACATACATATATACATATACATATATACATATACATATATACATATACATATATACATATACATATATACATATACATATATACATATACATATATACATAAACATATATACATATACATATATACATATACATATCAATATGCTCGTTTGTAGGGTTGGATCCGCGGGGGCTGGATCAGTGGGCTTGGCAAAAACCAAAGTTATCAAAATCAGAAGTCAACCTGAACAAAGACTTATTGGATACGTTACGACACGGTAGGTTTGTCCAGAATTAATGTAACTGGAGATTTGCAGACACTGAAAATTGTTGAGAAAACCATGAAAAAATGTAGTATTATTTCTGTCCAAGCCGGTGTGTGAACAGAGCAACCGGAAGCTGTGCCATTCCAGTGACTCCTTGCACCGACATTGGCACGTCGGGCAAGGTCACACTAGATGGCTGGCCTTTGTGTCCCCAAGCAAGGAAACTTGATGGCTCTTCGGGTGAGAGCCCGGCAACACCAACAGGTTTTCGCAAGGCTGAGGACGTCTGTGCAAGAGCCGGCAGAAGCTGCAAAGGTGTGACTCCCAAATTGTCAACAAGAAATTGTTCCTCAAGTGTGTTCACTTGTGCCATGCCACTGACCCCTTGCACCGACATGGGCACATCGGGCAAGGTCACAGTGGATGGCATCTATTGTTTCCTCACACTGCTCAGAACAACCTGTCAACTTAAACAGGTTGCTGCAAGGTTGAGGAAATCTTGAGTCAGCATGGCATTGCTTGGCAAGGTTGACGATTCGAATTGAGGAAATCTTGAGGAATCCTCCTCAAGTGGGGCAAAGAAGGCAAGAACGACGTCCAAGGCCCTGATTTGCCGGCGCATACTCATTCACTGAAAGAGCCATATCAATTCTGTTCCTCCAAGTGTGTTCACTGAGACAGCCACATCGACATAAGGCTGCAAGCA